CTGTAAATACTAATCTGTCATAAACTGTATTCAAGAGTCACAAAGAAGTCACAAGATTTGTCTGTAAATACTAATCTGTCATAAACTGTATTCAAGAGTCACAAAGAAGTCACAAGATTTGTCTGTAAATACTAATCTGTCATAAACTGTATTCAAGAGTCACAAAGAAGTCACAAGATTTGTCTGTAAATACTAATCTGTCATAAACTGTATTCAAGAGTCACAAAGAAGTCACAAGATTTGTCTGTAAATACTAATCTGTCATAAACTGTATTCAAGAGTCACAAAGAAGTCACAAGATTTGTCTGTAAATACTAATCTGTCATAAACTGTATTCAAGAGTCACAAAGAAGTCACAAGATTTGTCTGTAAATACTAATCTGTCATAAACTGTATTCAAGAGTCACAAAGAAGTCACAAGATTTGTCTGTAAATACTAATCTGTCATAAACTGTATTCAAGAGTCACAAAGAAGTCACAAGATTTGTCTGTAAATACTAATCTGTCATAAACTGTATTCAAGAGTCACAAAGAAGTCACAAGATTTGTCTGTAAATACTAATCTGTCATAAACTGTATTCAAGAGTCACAAAGAAGTCACAAGATTTGTCTGTAAATACTAATCTGTCATAAACTGTATTCAAGAGTCACAAAGAAGTCACAAGATTTGTCTGTAAATACTAATCTGTCATAAACTGTATTCAAGAGTCACAAAGAAGTCACAAGATTTGTCTGTAAATACTAATCTGTCATAAACTGTATTCAAGAGTCACAAAGATGTCACAAGATTTGTCTGTAAATACTAATCTGTCATAAACTGTATTCAAGAGTCACAAAGAAGTCACAAGATTTGTCTGTAAATACTAATCTGTCATAAACTGTATTCAAGAGTCACAAAGAAGTCACAAGATTTGTCTGTAAATACTAATCTGTCATAAACTGTATTCAAGAGTCACAAAGAAGTCACAAGATTTGTCTGTAAATACTAATCTGTCATAAACTGTATTCAAGAGTCACAAAGAAGTCACAAGATTTGTCTGTAAATACTAATCTGTCATAAACTGTATTCAAGAGTCACAAAAAGTCACAAGATTTGTCTGTATTCAAGAGTCACAAAGAAGTCACAAGATTTGTCTGTAAATACTAATCTGTCATAAACTGTATTCAAGAGTCACAAAGAAGTCACAAGATTTGTCTGTAAATACTAATCTGTCATAAACTGTATTCAAGAGTCACAAAGAAGTCACAAGATTTGTCTGTAAATACTAATCTGTCATAAACTGTATTCAAGAGTCACAAAGAAGTCACAAGATTTGTCTGTAAATACTAATCTGTCATAAACTGTATTCAAGAGTCACAAAGAAGTCACAAGATTTGTCTGTAAATACTAATCTGTCATAAACTGTATTCAAGAGTCACAAAGAAGTCACAAGATTTGTCTGTAAATACTAATCTGTCATAAACTGTATTCAAGAGTCACAAAGAAGTCACAAGATTTGTCTGTAAATACTAATCTGTCATAAACTGTATTCAAGAGTCACAAAGAAGTCACAAGATTTGTCTGTAAATACTAATCTGTCATAAACTGTATTCAAGAGTCACAAAGAAGTCACAAGATTTGTCTGTAAATACTAATCTGTCATAAACTGTATTCAAGAGTCACAAAGATGTCACAAGATTTGTCTGTAGAAGTCACAAGATTTGTCTGTAAATACTAATCTGTCATAAACTGTATTCAAGAGTCACAAAGAAGTCACAAGATTTGTCTGTAAATACTAATCTGTCATAAACTGTATTCAAGAGTCACAAAGAAGTCACAAGATTTGTCTGTAAATACTAATCTGTCATAAACTGTATTCAAGAGTCACAAAGAAGTCACAAGATTTGTCTGTAAATACTAATCTGTCATAAACTGTATTCAAGAGTCACAAAGAAGTCACAAGATTTGTCTGTAAATACTAATCTGTCATAAACTGTATTCAAGAGTCACAAAGAAGTCACAAGATTTGTCTGTAAATACTAATCTGTCATAAACTGTATTCAAGAGTCACAAAGAAGTCACAAGATTTGTCTGTAAATACTAATCTGTCATAAACTGTATTCAAGAGTCACAAAGAAGTCACAAGATTTGTCTGTAAATACTAATCTGTCATAAACTGTATTCAAGAGTCACAAAGAAGTCACAAGATTTGTCTGTAAATACTAATCTGTCATAAACTGTATTCAAGAGTCACAAAGAAGTCACAAGATTTGTCTGTAAATACTAATCTGTCATAAACTGTATTCAAGAGTCACAAAGAAGTCACAAGATTTGTCTGTAAATACTAATCTGTCATAAACTGTATTCAAGAGTCACAAAGAAGTCACAAGATTTGTCTGTAAATACTAATCTGTCATAAACTGTATTCAAGAGTCACAAAGAAGTCACAAGATTTGTCTGTAAATACTAATCTGTCATAAACTGTATTCAAGAGTCACAAAGAAGTCACAAGATTTGTCTGTAAATACTAATCTGTCATAAACTGTATTCAAGAGTCACAAAGAAGTCACAAGATTTGTCTGTAAATACTAATCTGTCATAAACTGTATTCAAGAGTCACAAAGAAGTCACAAGATTTGTCTGTAAATACTAATCTGTCATAAACTGTATTCAAGAGTCACAAAGAAGTCACAAGATTTGTCTGTAAATACTAATCTGTCATAAACTGTATTCAAGAGTCACAAAGAAGTCACAAGATTTGTCTGTAAATACTAATCTGTCATAAACTGTATTCAAGAGTCACAAAGAAGTCACAAGATTTGTCTGTAAATACTAATCTGTCATAAACTGTATTCAAGAGTCACAAAGAAGTCACAAGATTTGTCTGTAAATACTAATCTGTCATAAACTGTATTCAAGAGTCACAAAGAAGTCACAAGATTTGTCTGTAAATACTAATCTGTCATAAACTGTATTCAAGAGTCACAAAGAAGTCACAAGATTTGTCTGTAAATACTAATCTGTCATAAACTGTATTCAAGAGTCACAAAGAAGTCACAAGATTTGTCTGTAAATACTAATCTGTCATAAACTGTATTCAAGAGTCACAAAGAAGTCACAAGATTTGTCTGTAAATACTAATCTGTCATAAACTGTATTCAAGAGTCACAAAGAAGTCACAAGATTTGTCTGTAAATACTAATCTGTCATAAACTGTATTCAAGAGTCACAAAGAAGTCACAAGATTTGTCTGTAAATACTAATCTGTCATAAACTGTATTCAAGAGTCACAAAGAAGTCACAAGATTTGTCTGTAAATACTAATCTGTCATAAACTGTATTCAAGAGTCACAAAGAAGTCACAAGATTTGTCTGTAAATACTAATCTGTCATAAACTGTATTCAAGAGTCACAAAGAAGTCACAAGATTTGTCTGTAAATACTAATCTGTCATAAACTGTATTCAAGAGTCACAAAGAAGTCACAAGATTTGTCTGTAAATACTAATCTGTCATAAACTGTATTCAAGAGTCACAAAGAAGTCACAAGATTTGTCTGTAAATACTAATCTGTCATAAACTGTATTCAAGAGTCACAAAGAAGTCACAAGATTTGTCTGTAAATACTAATCTGTCATAAACTGTATTCAAGAGTCACAAAGAAGTCACAAGATTTGTCTGTAAATACTAATCTGTCATAAACTGTATTCAAGAGTCACAAAGAAGTCACAAGATTTGTCTGTAAATACTAATCTGTCATAAACTGTATTCAAGAGTCACAAAGAAGTCACAAGATTTGTCTGTAAATACTAATCTGTCATAAACTGTATTCAAGAGTCACAAAGAAGTCACAAGATTTGTCTGTAAATACTAATCTGTCATAAACTGTATTCAAGAGTCACAAAGAAGTCACAAGATTTGTCTGTAAATACTAATCTGTCATAAACTGTATTCAAGAGTCACAAAGAAGTCACAAGATTTGTCTGTAAATACTAATCTGTCATAAACTGTATTCAAGAGTCACAAAGAAGTCACAAGATTTGTCTGTAAATACTAATCTGTCATAAACTGTATTCAAGAGTCACAAAGAAGTCACAAGATTTGTCTGTAAATACTAATCTGTCATAAACTGTATTCAAGAGTCACAAAGAAGTCACAAGATTTGTCTGTAAATACTAATCTGTCATAAACTGTATTCAAGAGTCACAAAGAAGTCACAAGATTTGTCTGTAAATACTAATCTGTCATAAACTGTATTCAAGAGTCACAAAGAAGTCACAAGATTTGTCTGTAAATACTAATCTGTCATAAACTGTATTCAAGAGTCACAAAGAAGTCACAAGATTTGTCTGTAAATACTAATCTGTCATAAACTGTATTCAAGAGTCACAAAGAAGTCACAAGATTTGTCTGTAAATACTAATCTGTCATAAACTGTATTCAAGAGTCACAAAGAAGTCACAAGATTTGTCTGTAAATACTAATCTGTCATAAACTGTATTCAAGAGTCACAAAGAAGTCACAAGATTTGTCTGTAAATACTAATCTGTCATAAACTGTATTCAAGAGTCACAAAGAAGTCACAAGATTTGTCTGTTAATACTAATCTGTCATAAACTGTATTCAAGAGTCACAAAGAAGTCACAAGATTTGTCTGTAAATACTAATCTGTCATAAACTGTATTCAAGAGTCACAAAGAAGTCACAAGATTTGTCTGTTAATACTAATCTGTCATAAACTGTATTCAAGAGTCACAAAGAAGTCACAAGATTTGTCTGTAAATACTAATCTGTCATAAACTGTATTCAAGTGTCATAAACATTAGTAGCCTACATGTGTTGAACTAAATTTGTCTCTCACAACATTAATTATGACATAATCAACATATAATATAACAATATAGTGGAGGCTAATATTATTATTTCCCTTAATTATTTAAATAATTGACGTTATTTATGGACTTTAGTTATTATTATTAATAATATTTTGAAAACAAAAATATATAAATAAATATAATTTGTTTTGACATTTAAACCCATATGTAATTTGATGTCTATTTCGATGGTTATCTTATGAAATAATTTTAAAGACAGTATAGTATTAGTATATATTTTATTTGTAAAGTTTATATGATTCATACCATTCCCTTCCTCGTCAGCTAATCCCAAGTCTTTACTCAACCAATCGAAGCTATCGACTGCTGCGGACATCATTCCGATCGACAACAATGTAACAAATACTGGATCTCGTCGTTCATTGTCATCAACAACAACGATGTCTATCATGAAGTCAGTAATCTTAATGACGAGCCGCACGGTCGGCAAATTGGTTCACTTAACGGCCAACTTGTGTCATTGCTGTCACCGATGGACCAGTTCGTCGACAACGGCCACAGTTTTCCTAGTTTTTGTTATATTTGTTTATCTGACTTTTGAAATACGATTCAGACATCTAAGTGATCAAAACAGACGATTGACATCATATGACGATAAAGACACTGTCGTTATCTACAATAGAGTCCCGAAGACCGGTAGTACCAGTTTTACGGGTCTGGCCTACGATTTGTGCGATAAAAATGGTTTCAATGTTTTGCATTTGAATACATCGAAGAACAGTCATATGATGTCACTCACAGATCAGCTAAGATTTGCCCGTAATGTTAGCCAATGGCGCGAAAGACATCCGGCACTGATTCACGGCCACATTGCGTACATTGATTTCGGCCGATTGGGTGTCAATCAAGTGAAGCCAATTTACATTAATCTGATCCGCAAACCGCTTGACCGGCTGGTGTCGTATTATTATTTCTTGCGAAACGGTGACAATTTTCGGCCTTATGTTGTCCGCCGCCGACAAGGAGACAAACGTACGTTCGACGAGTGTGTCCAACACGGCGAACACGATTGTAATCCGGAAAATATGTGGCTTCAGATACCGTTTTTTTGCGGCCATATCTTCGAATGTTGGATTCCCGGTAACGAGTGGGCACTGGCCGAAGCCAAACGTAATCTAGTGGACAAGTATCTGATTGTCGGCCAAACAGAACAGATGCACGATTTTGTGGCCGTATTGGAGGTCGCATTACCGAAGTTTTTCGCCGGTGCCCGCCGTCTGTACGAAAGCGGACCAAAGTCTCATCTAAGGAAAACCTATAACAAATTGGAGCCGTCGGCCGAAACAGTGGCCAAAATTCGCGAGTCTCGGGTCTGGCAAATGGAAAACGATTTCTACGAGTTTGCTGTAAAACAGTTCAAATTTATTCGCCAACGAACACTGATTACCATCGATGACCAATTGGTTGGCAAAGAGCAACAGTTTTTCTTTGAAAAAATTCGACCGAAGAGGTAGTCTATTAGTGAACCGATAGACCGACTCCTATATCGTAACAAATATTTGTTGCGCTATAAAAACCAATTAAACGATAGTATTATTATTGTATTTATGATATTATCTACTGATATGATATCTGTTTGACAATCAATCAATTAATTAATTAATTAATTGTATTATTATTATTAGTATTATTATTATCTATAAACACATTCCAATTGTTGTTAACTATTTTTTTATATTATTTTTTCTATTATTATTATTATTACATAATTAAGTCATAAACTAATTGAATGCCAATATTATTATTATTTGTTTAATATAATTTATACATTATAATTATAATTATAATAAAAACAATCACTTTTTTTACATTCACACTTTACCAGTTATAAGTTATATATTAATTAATATAAGATATATATTATTTTTAATATAATCATTTGTTTAATATAATTAAAAATAATAAATTGTTTAAATATAATTTATAAAAATAAATAATAAAAGTTTAATAAAAATTTATTTTAGATTTTTTTTTGTTTATTTGAATAGAAAAGTTACAATAGTTATGAATAACTCCAATATATAGCATATTATTAATATAAATGTAATTCAATGACAATAATAATAACAAAAATAAATATTTTGAGGAAAATATTTGTATAGAAATTAAATACAGTATTTGTATAGTAATTGCGGTATTAAATAGTAATTAATATTAAATGCGATTACAATAGATGTGATATAACTTCGGGTGTCGGCAGCGGCTATTATTCATTAGTCTGACCAGAAATTTTCTGGTCAACACTTAAACAATTGTCTTAAGACACTAATTATAAGATTATTCGGCGTCGACGACGATGTCATCGCCGAAAAGCAGGGCTCGGGTCGAGTCGGACATTGAACGGTGTCGTGAAGAGTCCAATTGGCGCCGATGTCTCGATTTGGCCCAACATATGCAACACGAGTTGCCACAAATGGTCCACTTTTTGAGCGGCGAAGCCAAAGTCGAACTGTATTTGGAGGCCAACAGCAAACATATCACTAGTGGCGACTACGGCAGCGGCGCAAGTGGTACATCAGCGGCAACGGCGGCCGCAGCCGAAGCTAAACTGTTGAACGAAGCCGTTGGCCATCTGAATGCTTGTCTGGACTCGTCGCAGACGTCGCCGCTGGCCATGGACGCCAATCTGTTGTTGGCCAAGTGTCACTATGTCCGCGGCGACTACGAACTGGCTCTTCGACATATCGACAAGTCTGGTATCGACAGTATCAATACCGTCGATAAAGTCCTGCCGCTTCGGGTCGTCAAATTGGTAGCCGAATCGTATGCTGTCAAAGGTATGTCACTCGAACAGCGAAACAAAACCGACGACGTGACCACTAGGACGTCGTGTTTGGTTAAGGCATCCGAGATGGCCATCCGATATCTGCAGAACGTAGAGAAACAGTTGGGACCGTATATTGTGGTACCGTTGGGATCGATACTAGAAACGGCTGTACAACGGGCACCGATAGTCTATATTAATACCGCTTCCGATGTCAAGTCAGCTGTCAATCAGTACAGGTCAACGTTGAACGCCTGCGAAACACCGTCAACGCTGACCACTCGCCAAATTCTTGCCAAACAATTGGCCGAACTCTTGATACGCGGTGTCTCCCAAAGTACGTGGAGCTCATGCGATCTCAATACCAGTTCATCGTCAGTAAAACCGTTGAAACCTCTCCGATATATCGGTCAGTCATTGTTTGTGCCGAAAGTACGCGAAGAGGAGATCCTATTGTTGCTTCTGATGAGCGAATCGTTGGCCTCGCGTAACGTAGTACTCGACCGAAGTCCTGAATTTACTGATAGTCGGCAACAGTCGCTGAACGATGTGATGGCCATCTATGACCTGTTGACCATTACGTTGACACCTTTGCGCTGCTATTATATGGATTTCTTTGAGCGATCAATGAAATTCAGTTTCGAAGTCAAACATATATGGTTTCAGTTTGCACTGACACTCATCGAGTCGAAGAAGTGTCCTCAACGGGCACTGCTTCTACTGAAAGAAGTTTCTCGTATCGACTCAGCGGATCCATTGCCACCGCTAATCGGTGCCAAACTTTGTCTACAAGAGCTCAGCAAATATAAAGAAGGTCTTCAGTTGGCCAAAGAAGCCTTGAATCGGTGTAAAGACAACGAGTCGTTGCGCAATAAGATTCATATAGTTATCGGTGTAACCAATGCGTTGATCTATGAAACAGAAAGCGAAACCTGCAAGAAGTTCTATACGGATAACTTAAACAAATCGATTGAACACTTGAAGATTGCCTCCAAATCACGATTTGCCGATCATTTACCATATTTTCATTTGGCTCTTCATATGGCAAACCAGCGGGCATTGAACGATGCGCTTAAATACGTTAAGATTGCACTACTACTCAATGGCCAACATTTGCCATCAATACAGCTATTGATTCTCTGTCTATCGGCACTCAAACAATACAGCGAAGCACTGGCACTGTGCGAGACGGCTCTCGAAGAATATCCCAATCATCTGATTGTTTTGTATTTCAAGGTTTGTTTGACTTTATTGATCTTTTTATTGATTGTTTATATAATAATAATACTAATAATTTCATATAACTGTAGGCACACTTGGAAGAAATGGTCGGAGAAAATGGTCGCGAAGAGGCATTGTTGACGGCAAAAGAGATGCTCAACTGTTGGAAGTTTGCCAACAATGAAGAAGAAAAACGACTGAACTATCATTTCAATTACTTTCCGAACGTCAACTACGATACCATATCGATGAAAATGGAGCAAACATTGAGCGAAGTGGCATCGCTTGATAGTACACCAATTCCGCCGGCAAACGACGCCATGTCGGGTACGGGTGTCTCACTGAGCGGACACAATCATCTAGGCGGCGGCGGCGGTGGCGGAGGAACTGGTGGTGCCAACAGTGCCATCAATAAGCCTCTGTGGTCGCTGCAAATGCACATCTGGCTGCTGATTGTTGAACTGTTTCTCAAATTGGGACACATATCGGAAGCCGAGTCGTGCGTCAATGACGGTGCTCTCGGTATATTCGGCTCACTGTCCCATCAGCTGATGTATCTGAAAGGTATTATTAGTAAAGCCAAAGGCAGTCTGATTGATGCCAAAACTTATTTACAAAATGCAATATCGATTAATCCGAAACACGTCCGAGCGTTGCAACAGTTGGGACACACATACTATTTGTTGGGCAATCATTTGGCAGCCGATAAGTATCTGAAAGATTCTCTCAATATTGACGCCACTGTTCACCAGACCTGGCAATACATGGGTCTGGTATTGCAAGCCATCGATGATCATCAACGGGCAGCCGATTGTCATCTAACAGGACTCCAGTTAGAGGCAACAGCACCGGTACTACCGTTTAATGTCATTCCACGTTCAGTATTAGAGTAGACTATATATCAAACAAACAAAAAATAATAATATAAATTGTTGAGAGTTGTCATGTAATTTATATATATATATTAAATTAAAATTAATTAAATTTTATTTTTATGTTTGGTTTTTTAAATCTTATATTTATTATCTCCATATTATGAAAGTTTTATTTGTTAATCAAATTATATTACTATTAATACTAATTTGTATTTGTATATCAAGTTATTATTGTATTAATGTTTATCAATTTACTTGTGAAATGTAAATACAATTAATTAAACAAAAAATTAGGGCAAAATATAGAGTAGGAGCTGTGTATACCCCCTCTATAGGATATTAGTTTAACTAAAACTATACACTGTCTATGTTCTACAGTATAACATATACATAGAAAGCAAGCAATAGTAGTCAAGTAATAGTAAATTAGTGTTACCTAACGTTACCTAACCTGGTGTACGCCCCGCAACCTAACCTAAATTTTAATGGTATTACACCATAATTAATAATTTCTAAATAATTAATTTTGCACTTAATTAATAAACTATTAAGTGCTTATTATTGATCAATTAGTGTTTTCACTTAACTGTATGCTATACTGTGGATGTACTGTATATATTTAACAATATGTAGCTTTAGTAGTGTTAACACAATAGTTAAGTTTCAATCTAATAGAGGGTGTAATCACAGCTCATACTTTACATTATATCCAAAAAGTATATTTAAATTAATTATAATAAATTCAAATTGTTATTCAAACATTTTTTTTTATTTTGAAAACTTTTTTAATTAATTAAATTTATTGAAATTACTTCTCATTTATTTCAAGATATTTAAAGTCAGAAAAAATGATTTCATTAAGTATTTATTAAAAATTATTTATTTTTTTTCAAAATTGTTTGAAACTAGTTGAGAATGCTAGACATTATTTTCATACCATTTATTATTAAATATGACTCAACTTTAGTCATGTAGAGTATTAAATGTCAAAAATAAACAACTTAAATATTATTATAAATGTGACTCATATTATTTTTTAAAAATATTTTTATAAATGTTTTATTTATATTTGTTTTTATTAAAAATATATATTTTTTTTTAAAAATTCGCCATTCAAATATCTAGCTGTTTTTGGTTAATTTTTCATACATTAAGTCAACTATAAAAATAAAAATTATACAAATTTTAAATATTGTTACAGTTTTCAAATTTTAATTTAGTAAAAATTTTTTATTGATAACCACTTGTCATAATGGATATTAAATTAATATTATTAATGATGTATCATTTTGACACTTTTGTTGTGGTATATAATTTCTAGTTGTATTTGTAATCTTTAATATCAAGTCTCAACACTTGAGCACCAATTGTATCGTTTATCGCTTATATATATATATCACACGTATTGTTAGCGTACCTCAAATAACTACAAATGCGTATATAGGATAAGCTAGATTCATCTTGTACTGTATAATAGAATAACCATGTTTGTTTATATAATAAAACATTGATTGTTGGCTCCGATATAGAATGGAATGTTTTTGTCGAGTAAAATTTTTTTAAAAATGTTTTATTTATATTTTAGTTTTATTTGAAAATTTATTATTTAAACAAATCGTCATATTCAAATATCTAGCTTGATAAACATTAATTTTTCACACATTAATTCAACTATTAAATATATATAATTTTTAAATATAGTTAAAAACTTCAAGTTTTAATTTAATAAATCTTTTATCTATAACCATTTGTCATTAATGATATCAATGATGTATGATTGGAGACTTTTGTTGGGGTATATAATAATTGCTTGAAGTATTTGCAATCTTTTAATATCAAGTCTCAACACTTGATCACCAATAGTATCGTTTACTATACTTTATACGACAACTGCCAACAGATCAATGTTGGTAACGGTTTCATTGTTATCGATCTGAACTGACTATAAAGTCAACCAACACTACTGCCCGTACTAGTAGTTCCTGACAATCAGTCCGCACAGACACTACTTTCCCAAACATAAACTAATTGATATTATTGTTAATTTCGTGTCCACTAATTATTACCGCTGACTATCGCATCGGCGCTTATATATATATATATATATATATATATATATATATATATATATATATATATCACACGCATTGTTAGCGTATCTCAAATAACTACAAATGCGTATATATGATAAGCTAGGTTCATCTTATATAATAGAATAACCATGTTTGTTTAAATAATAAATCATTGATTGTTGGCTCCGATATGGATTCGAATTTTTATGAATTAAATCAAAATGTTTAACATTAAACTTTTAGATGTTTTTTTTTAAAAAAAATTTATATATTATTTTGTTTTATATATTGTTTTGTGTCGGGAATTGTTGATTGGAATGAGATCCGTAATAATCAGTTAACCAATGATAATGACCACCAATTATGATCACCGAACGGACAATAAACAATATCGCCGATAAACACTACTCTGTTCTATCTGTAATCATTGCTTAAATGACCTACTTGTCCTTAAAACCTACCAGTGCTCAATAATCATTTAAAATTATCCATAGGAATAACATTGCTTTAAATTAAATTTTAAAAATATAACAATAGATTTTTAAAGTTTTTTTTTCTTAAAATATAGTTGCTTTTTTGAGAATGTGTCATAGTGAAAGTTTATACAGATAGAAACAATTATCTTAAAGTGTTATCTAGATATATTAAATTTTTTTAATCAGTATTACTAATAATTATTATTTTGAATACTGTTTACTTAATGTATAAATAAATTTAATTAAAAAAAATCTATTCTAAATATAAGTTTACTTAACAATAGATTATTATATTTTAAAAGTAATAAATATTATTTATTAATAACAATAATAGTAAATATTAAGGTATTATTATTATTATAATAGTAATATTTTATTATTATTATATAAGTATTAAATTAAATTTATATTATATATAAATATTAATTAAACTTTATATTAAAAAAAATATTATTTACTTTATTCAATATACGATTTTAATAAATATCACACAATGAATAATAGAAAATAAAATAAAATATTTATTTTGTATAAATAAATAAAAACTTAATTAATAACATTATATATAAATAAATTGTTTGTTTTTTATTCCTAATATATTGTTGTCTTCAATAGAAATATTAATCTTATTTTTAATAAGTTTTGTAAATCAATTTTTTTAAAAAACATATACTAATAGTCATAATGGCATCAAATTATTATTTAAATGTGTTTTAAATGATTAAAAACTATTAATAAGTATTGACTTATAACTTATACAATGCTATTTTGTTTAGAGTATATAAAAAATTAATAGCTATTAATATTCAATTGATTTCAATCAATCAATTAATCAAATGATGTGTACAATTAAATTTGCATTATATAATATGTATTGGAAAAAAAATTATTTTATTAATTATTTATAATTATATTAAATAATTTATTTTTATATTACTAAACAAATAATTAATTACATTAAAATATTATTATATATATATTATTAAATCATATATTATATGCAAAACATTTACTATATTGACAAAATAATTAATTAATTAATTAATATATCACTAAATGGGTAAAAAATAATTTTGATAGTAATAGTTTATTTATAAATTTAGTAAGGTATATGATTAACATTATCATAAAATATGTAATAAAGTTAAATTAAAAAAAAATCTATCATGATAGCATTAAAGAGAGCTTAAAAGTTAGTTTAAAATATTTAAAATTATTATTATTATCACAATTATCGTTAATCAACTATTTAAAAGTCATTTAAAAAATGATCAAAACTATTGATAATAACTATTAACTTATAACTTATATACAATATTTTGTTGATATATATATATATATAAATAGCTAAATAAATGCTATATAATAGCTATTTAATTGAACTTTAATTAATCAATTATTAAATTTATATTATAATAAATTATAATTACTTTTATTTTGGACGTTATTGATGAATATGTATATAATATATTCCCCAATACATTGATTTTTTATATTATAATAATAATAGTAATCAATGACTATATAAATGTGTATTTTTTTATAAATATAATTATTTCTATTAAATTATTTTAATTCAATTCAATTCAATTCAATTCAATTGTAATGTAATTATATTTATTGTTAAAAAATTGAATACAAAAATCATGAAATCTATTGAACTATATATTAGTTCATTAATCGTATTAATTGTTAGTATTATTATTATTAAAATTATTTTATAATTCAATAACTTTATTGCTATTGTCGATGATGTGTACCAATTGTTTGGTGACAATTGATAAAAAACTTTTTTTATATATAAATATTTTTATTAATTTGTTTTTTGATATCTTTGTCTGTCTGTCTGTCTTTCTCACCAAAAATAAAGACCCGATTGGTGGCCGCCGTCGAGCTATCGGTTGACGAATGTCTGGCCGCTGGTTATCGCCGTCAGGATCTGTCGTGTCATCGTTGCGATGAACTAATCAAATTTGATTTGCTATCACTAAAGTCGTCGTGTCTTAGCTGCTGCCAGAAGGAAGTATCTACCGATGGCCAGGAAGAGTCGGTCAAAGTATGTATATTTGATTTGACTAACTAATGATTTGATCCATTGATTAACCCGTCGGTGGGGTTGTATTACACACACACAGAAGTATTCGGCCGCCCGTCTGGAGGTCTGCGGATGAAAAGTAGGACACTTTCCACAAATCAATGGTAAGCTTTTGCTGGTTGGTTGTTGTTGTTGTGGACCAATTCAGTGACCATTTTTTTGTTGTCTCAATAAAAGCGTTCATCAAAGGAGACAAAAGCCATAAGTATCCAAATCTATCGGTAAAGTATATGAGAGGCGCGGATCCAATTATCAAACTACTGGACGAAAATGGTCAAGAAGTTGATGAACTAAACATCCAGAAGTGGGACACCGATACTATTGACGAATTTTTGAGCCAACATTTGGCTTAAGATCTAATCTAATGACAACTGTTTTCTGAACGCAACTATTGATTTGAATGGAAAGCTTAATGAAGATTACAAAACAATTCATTGTCTATAACACATCCCAAAGATATATATATGACAACGACATCAATAAATCCATTAAATAACTTGGAATTGATTCGTTCGATGACTGAATTATTTAGCCATTGAATTGTATCTTCAAATTTACCAAATTATGTGATCAAATAAATAAAAAAACCAATATTTTTGCACAATATTTGAATAGAAATTTTTTTTCTTCAAATTACTACTGACCACAAAAAAGCACTCATTTTATTCAATCATTCATTTAAAAAATTGTTTTTTTTCGAAATATAATAATAATAATAATTAGAAAAAGCAAACGTTTTATATATAATATATAAATTATGGAAGGGATCGGGGAATGGGATGTGAGAGAGAGAGGGTAGGATAGAATAATAGCCGTTCCCTCTCTTTTTTGTTTCAGTGACCAACAGTTGTTTCTTCGACTTCGATCAACGGCTCGTTATTGAGCGGCGATGTCTTTGTCTTATAATTGAATGAACAACCATTATAGCCATCGCCGGTAATGCCGTTTGTGTTCATAGAAATACCGCAACATTGTTGCTGTTGATGATGGTGTTTGCCATTGTGTTCATTGTTATTGTTGTTATTATTATTGTACTCATGGCTGCTATCGTCCGAATCAGTGATCAGACATTTAGCCACCGATTGTGTCCATTCATTGGTATCGCTGTCGAAAAACTCGATAGTATTCAAAAATATTTTGCCATTAAAACCGCCGACAGCTTCGCGAAAACAAAAAATAATTAAATAATTTAGTATTGATTTTAATGTAATGTCTTTCAAGACAAAAAAAAAATATACCATAAAGTCTTTTGCCGACCACAGCTACGCCAACATTAGCTCTACAATTGGTCAACGATGGACCAGATGTCCATTGATTGGTCTCGGGATCGTAGATTTCTACCGAACAGAGTGCGTGCACACCATCGTGACCGCCGATAGCGTAAATCTTGCCGTTGAACGCTATGACACCACATCCGCGACGGGCCGTATGCAGGGCTGCAATCGGTTTCCAGAAATCGTTGGCAAATACTTCGGCCGAGTTCAGACATGTCCACGAATCGCAACCACCAACAGCGTAGATGTGACCATCGAGTACGGCGACACCAGTTTGATATCGTCCTGATATATACACAAAGAGAGAGATATAAATACCGTTTGAATTATTTATAGGAAAATAAAAATTAAAAACTATTATCAATTATTTTTGTATACACAAAATAATGCCCTTGGCATAAATAAATAAAACAAAAATAATCAATTTAAAAACTTTATCACCAACTAAACTATATTTATAATTAGGATTAAGAGATAACATTATTTGACACACTTTTCCTTATCAAAAATCTGATACAAAATTTATACATTAAATTGAAAAAATAAATAAAATAAAATATACCGGTATTTAATGGGTTTATCTCTTCCCATTGGTTTGTCTTTGGATCGTAAGTATCACATCGGGTCAGTCCTCTCTGGCCATTCCAGCCGCCGATAACATAGACTTTATCATCCAGACTACAAACACCTAAATTAGATACGAGTATAATAGTATTTATAGCAATGTTTATATTAGGAGCGCCGCGCGCTTGCTATACAATAACTAAAATATATATATATTTAAATATTTTTAAACAATTCAAGGGTTGGCACCAAATTGTAATTAATTTTTTTTTAAAAAATCCAATGTTTTTGTGTGTGTTTTGTTATAACCACATACCAAACACCGTTGAATGCAATCCCGATATATATAATCAATCAATTAATTAATATAATTTATATAAATTTAAGTTAAAAAAAATGTATGTAATGTCGGGATCGCATAAATGAGTTGATGGTCGACAATGAAGATATACACAGAGAGATAGAGAGGTCTTGAGTATAGAGAGGACACACATACCTCTCATTTTTAAAGTCCAGTCAACATCTTAACCTGAAATTATAAAAAAAAATAGGAAACATATCATTATATTCAAACAGTATATATATAAATAGGATTAATACTTAAATGATTTTTTTGAAAAATCGTTTTAAATAATTTTGATAAATACTATACAAAAAAATCAAATAAAAACCGATAATTTCAATCAATAGTGAGTGAGTGTCGGCGACTGACACAACAATCCAAATGTCTAGTTCACACCCACACTATTTGGGGGAATATGACTGCAAAAACAGAAAACGTGAAGATTTTGTGGCAATATTATTTAGGGGGTATTTATAACCATTGGATGCCAACCGCAATACGGGTACTTACCGATCAATTTTAATATATATTTATTTTTTCAAACCCGTTATAAAATTTATTTTGTTTCTCAATAGTGTCTATAATTTGACTCTTATTTTTTTGAATTCTTACCGGCATTCGAACGAACAATAGGACAGTTGGTTATCGGTGTCCACTCCTGAGTGGCCGAGTCGTACATTTCGGCAGAGTTGAGCTCATTCTGGCCGTCGCAGCCTTTAGTAGTCAAATAATAATAATATATATTATTAATCAAATTTTATAATCAAATGAAAAAAATTTCAAACTATACCTCCGATGGCGTAAACGTTTGTACCGATAGCGGCAATACCGAACCGTCCGCGCGGGACAAGCATTGGACTTACTTTATTCCATTTGTTGGTCAACTCATCGTAGACTTCGACAGTTTTCAGACACTCTCCTCTGTCATATCCACCTAAAGATATTTTAACGAAATAAAAAATATTAATCACACCATTAAAGACTAACTCGACATTAAGACATACCGCAAACAAACAGTTTTCCGTCAAAAATAGCCGTACCGACCGCACAGCGGCCAGAGTTCATCGGCGGAATCAGACAATAAAGTTCCGGTTTTTCCAACGAATGGTGACGTGAATTGTTCGGCGAATTTACCGGTGAACTAACTCGCAGTTTAACAATCAGTACCGACAACTTTCCCGATACTATAATCAAACCCATAAGCGTATGTTTGGCCGAAAAACAGACGGACAGTACTTTCCAATCGCTTTCGACATCTTCGTCGGCAATCGATGACAGCGACGACTCCGAATCGGAACGAGTGAACATAAACTGACGCGACTTTGACGGCTGACTCGATGAGCCATTATTTGACGACGGCTTTTGATGACCATTACTCGACTTACGTGCGGCGGCCGCATCTTTGGCCGGAAACAGTCGCCGAGATTGTCGCTTATAGTCTTGTATTAGATCTGAATCATAATAGTTGGTGTCGTTTTCAATTTCGTTACAGTCGTGAAGCATTTTGTCCGACTTGTTTACGAACAACATAAACATCTTTTCGCAAATGTTTAGCTCATTTAGCTCTTCCCTGGCAAACGACTGTTGAATCCATTCGACAACCATATTGAAGACATGCTTCTCGTTAATGGCCGACCTTTCTTCGTCATTGTTAAGCAACACTTCCACCTGAATCTTCTGCAATCCGTCCAGACATTTGCTTTCGACAATTTCCGACATATTCTGTCGGATAAAGTTGTCAACCGATGACAACAGAAACTGATCGTTGAGAACGCCGCGAATGGATCGTATGTTCAGACAATTGTCGGCGGTTAGCGAAGACATCAGATACTGTCCACATTCGTAGGCAATTGAACTCATCTTCAGCCGACTGGCAATGCCGTAGACATCTTTGACCTTATCGTTCGGTACTTCTAGCCGTGCAGTATAGGCATAGTCGACGATACACTCGAATGCTTCCATATCGTAGTTTCCGGCCAACAGTTTATATTGGTTGACAGTAGTGGTCGCGGACGATGATGTCTGATCGTTGGCAAACAGTTCCAGCAGATAGGGACTGGCACTGGCCAACACTACTTTGTGGCCATAGATTTCGTAGATATCTTGTTTGTTATTAATCTAATTAGACAATCAATAAGGTATGGGATCAATAAAAAATAAATCATATCTATATTATTGATATTATGTATACAAAAAATAATGTCACCGAAAATATTCTTTGGCAGAACCTATAAAAAAATGGGTAATCGGTTCTGTCATACACACTATTCGGTCATTGCTATTACCCGTTTGTTTTAATATTAATTGCTAACTAAAATTAATAACAATTAACTATATTTATCAAACGGGTTGGTCATCATCACTGACTTTTGTGAAAACCATAATTACTGGTAATTTTTTTCCAAACAATCATTCATTCAAATTGATTACCTGAAGAATAACATCACAGAATTGCTTGTTCTTCCTTAACATATTAAGATTGTCTAAAATCGACTTCTGGTAGGTCTTGTCCTCAATCAATAGGACCGGCGAGTGCTGATCCTCATCATTGTCTCGGATACTCTCAGTTGTTGATACCATTGTTGTTGTCAATATTACGGTAATTAATTAAATTTAATATTTTATAACTAATTATTAAATTTTTTTTCCTTATTATTATTTTATAACAATTTATAAATATGAAAACAATTATTATATTTTAATAAATAATTATTATATTATTAATTTAAATTAAAAAAAAGAGAAGTTTTCTTCGACTTTCTTCTATAGTTTCGGTTTCCGTAAAAAACTTGTAATAACTTTTTGTATATCACTAGACAAATAATAAGACATTATTATTATTAATATTATTATATAATAAATAATTTGTTATTAATTAAAATATATAATTAATTCACAGACACACAAATAACAATTTCAATAAATATACAATTATAACTTTTTTTTAAAAAAAAATTGTATAAAATTGACTAAAATATAAAATGTATAAAAACGTGGTCTAAATGTGTGTGTGAGTTGTCGAGTCTATTGCCAGACAAATAAATTAATTATTTTACACAAAGTATTTAATTTATGACTAAACTTGCTTTTGATGAGTTGGTGGGGGCTATAGGATGTCATATATATATAGAGCTCATGTATAAGTAAGTAAGTATTGTATGGGATATATGGGAAAGGGAGGGAGAGAGACAACTGGGCAAACATATTAATAGCAACAGTTTTTCCCCCACAAAAACCAATCACTGATTTGTTAAATAGCTATTCAAATACAAGTATTTTATATATATATTTAAACACTTGAAATACAGGCCCCCATAAAAATCAAGTGGTAATTCCAGCCATCGATAAAAATCAAGCCTTCAATACATACATGTCATAAATGCCGGTATTTTACAGCATATATATATATATCTATTGAAATAGTTTTAAGTTATAGTTAAGTTAATAGAAAGAAAAAATAAATAAATTATAACCAAATATTTGACTTTTTTTTAAAACACATCATCAGACAGACAACTATACACATACAGAAAAACTCACATTTTTGCTAAAAAATTTTAAATTGTAATAAAATTATATATCATATAATACTTTAATAAAAAAAATGGTAAACATATACATAAAGTACATTACATTGAATTGACAAATAATTTTTCAATCCAATCAAAATCAATTAACGTAATAGATAATATGTTTACATTAATTTTTATTATAGCTATTATTTTTATTGATATATAGCTAACTAACTAACTAATAATAATACTGTTTTTTTAATAGACAATTTAATATTAATAATATTCAATAGTCATCATCAATGTGTTAATGAAAATGCATTTATATATTATTAATGTTTTAATTATTATAAATCACATTTTATTTTGAATGGAAAAATTATTTTTCATTACAAATTTACATAATTTCTTTTCAAAGTGTATAAAACAATAATTTTATAAATTTATTGAGTGATATTTATATAAAAAAAAATATTATTATTAAAGCCTATCAATAACTTATGACTACTCAGTTATAAATTGTTTTTTAAAACTATAAAAATATAATTTCAATATTAAATATCAGAGAAAAAATAATTAATATATATATATATATATATATATAAGGATATCATTTAAATAATAAATATAAACTTATTATAATGTTATTGTAATGAGAGAGTTGTTATTTAAAATTAATGTTTTGTAAAGTATGTAATTGTTTATAACATAATAATAATTATTATTATTACACAATGCATATCCTAATTGGCATTGTATCAAATATGTTGTGTGTTTGTTATAATTTAAATTAAATCATAACCCCAAAAAAATAATGTCAATATTTATTTTCAATAAACATGATATATATATATATATACACTAGAATTATCTATTTTCTAATATATATTTGTTATTATTATTATTAGCTAACATAAATAAAAAACATAAAATTGTTTTAACAAAAAATTTTAAGCTAATGTGATATCAAAATTTTATTTTTATAATGAAAATATTTAAAAATTTTATATATGCAACGTGTACTTAAACTAGTAGAGTAATGTACAAATATGGACATGTACAATTTATTATACACACAACAAAAATTTGTAATTGTAACTAATTTTTTATGAATAACTGTATTATAATTGTATTAAAAACTTGGGTGAAAAATTGCAAACAATTTTAATAATAACAACAAAATACAATTTGTTGTTTGTTAGTCTAATAATAAATAATCTAAATAAATATACTATTATTGCAATTTTTAATTTATATAAAATATAGCGCCATTTTTTAAGCCCATAAAATAACTTTTCTAAATATGTATTACATATACAGTATATTTTCCCCATTATTATACTATATATCTATGATTTTAAAGGGTTAGGGGGCTATGTGTTGTCTATCTCACTGGACATGTATGCATATTAACCGGCAATAACCGGTCAATGTATTTAAGAGAAAGAGATAAAAGGGTTGTCTCCCTAAACACACATACCATACATGAGTTTCTCAACTAAACTAAAATAATTTATTTCTAGTTTTTATTTCACAACACATTGTATATGTAGTGTTGAATAAAACTAATTATAAAAAAAACAAAAAAAAATTCAAGTTTCATAATATTAAAAATAATAATATAAATATATTCACATAAACCTAACTGAGCCGATGTATTAATAAATATACATTTATATCATATATATATATATATATATATATATATATATATATAAATTTATATAGTTGTTTACCATAAAATAATGTTTTTAAAAAAATGTTTAATTGCATTATAACATGAATAATAATAATACAGTAGATTATATGATAATAAATTAATAATAATAAACATATAGTCTATAGAAAAACATGTTTATATGGGTATAATAATAGACAATACTGTATCTATTTAAATGCATTAGAAAATAACAAACAAATATATAATTCATTGTGTTATTAATAATATATATGTATATTATTATTATAAAAAAAGACAATACATTTATCATGTTATCTAACTATATATATATATATAAATAATATATGATAAACATTTATATACAATGTATTGTATGTGTTTATATGCATTTACATTAATATATCCTATATATGGTATAACAATCCTTTTATATCATATATATATATATATATATAAATATACATTATATATATCAATAAAATCGGGTCTCAACTTAAACAGTCGGTGTCAAACCATTTACGTCAATAGATCCGCGAAGTGTCCACCAAATAGATAGACATACATACAGTATATTACAGTATGTGTATTACATAACCATTTTTATACCATTAAAATATATATATAGCAAAAAATATATAAGCATTTGATTATAACTTATATACAGTACATGTATATTGAAAACTGTTGGGCTATTTATTAAAAACTATAATCAAGAATAAAATAAATAGCCTATGGATGGCCTCAATAGACATCATATATATATATATATATATATATATGATATGATATATAACCTAATAGTTATGTTATATAATAATAATTTAGTAATTTTTATATAGCATATATGGGTTTTAATATACAACTGTATATTGTGTTGTCAATTATGTCAGTTATTATTATTATATAATATAATAAAAAATCATTAATAGGATAGCAAGCAAGCAAACAAACAATCAATCAATTAATATATAATAATATGTTTTTTCCATGCATTTAGCGACAACAACAACAAAAAATACCAATAAAATAATAGATTATATATGATAGGTATATATCATATATAAAATATTTAGATAGATATCATCAATACATATGTTAAATAATAATATGATATATCATTAAAACAATATGTTATTACTTATACATTATAATAATAAAAAATCAATTAAGTTATAATAATGCAATCAAATGCATACATACCTTTAAAAATAGTTTTTACAAAAAAAAAATTAATAAAATAAAATTTTGATGACAACGAAAATTAATTAAAAAAAAATTGGTCTCAAAAAAAACTAATTATTAATTATAAATATAATTTGGACTTCAAATTGGTTTGTAGTTTTCATTTGGTTGTTATTGTTGTTGTCGTCGATGACAATGGCATTCAAAAAGATGATGAAGAATAACAAGAAGTCATATTAAACCACATATCAAGAGACAAATTGTTTCCAATTGTCGCCACAATTGTCGACATATATTACCAGCAGATGTTTAGTCCGTTGATTAGTAGCCATTCATTCAGTTATTTTTGTCACCAAAAAAAATTTATAATAAAATAAAGAGTCAAAAATCACATTCAAAATTGTTGACAGACAGACAGTCAGACAGACAATTAGATAACAATTAATAATAAATCTTAAGTGATTTAAATACAAAAATTATTAACTACTAAATCAATGAAAACGTTGCCTACAATTAATGGTACGGTATTATGAAAAGCACACCTTTCCCTCTCTACTAATAATAATAATAATAATACAGTACTAAAACACAATGCCTTTCCCTCCTCTATAGTACAACAATATAAAGAGCACCAATAGTTTAGCAATAGTAGTAGGTTTGGCTGTTGTAATACCAGTGCAATGCCTTTTCCTCTACAGTACTACTACTACTTGTAGTTAAACATACTTCAAGCGCATAGGCTTGCATTCACTACTCATATTTGGTATATATTAAAAACATTGTATTATATATATATATTATAGTTTTATAGTGCTATTGACTATTTTTACTGCAGTGCATAACACACACACACACTAGCATTTACTGTATGATTGTGAGTGTGATGTATTGCACGCACACACACACATACACACACAAACAGTACGTGTGTTTCACTGTACGACAGACCATACACTGTATAAGTTTATTATTATTATTACTATTACTATATAACTGTCCTCTGGTGTGTCAATATATTATGATATAATTTTTTAAAAAAAAACAGAATATTCTGTGATGTTATTGATAGTAGTAATAGTAGTATTGATATATATTGTATATAAATGTATGTATAAGTAATTTATTGAAAAAATTCATTTATCTATTCAATTGTATTACTACTGTATTTATATATATATATATAATAAAATCGATTAATTTATTATTTGTTTTTGTTTTTTCTCTACTTTTGTTTGTTTGGTTAATAAAGTTTAATACTTTATATATATACATAAATGTAATTTTTATTTATTTATTTAATCATAATTTATTATTTGAAAATAAATTGAGTTCATAAAATATTATAAAATAAAAGTTTTATCTAAATAAATATTTTTTGTGTATACTTAAGTGTATGATTAAGTTTTTTTTAAAAAAAAATTATTACTATTACTAATTTAGGTAATAATTTATTATTAATATTTTTTTCAATTATTAGTTTCGATCATTTTGATACATGTTTTATAATATACCTATAAATTAAATTTGTATTTATTTTTTTAGTAAACAATATAATTATAATTAGCTTTTGAATATTATTTTTAGATTTTTCAGTATAACTGTTATAAATATTTGATTTTTAATTATAATTATATAACTATTTTTTTATTCATTTAGTAGCATCAACTTAGAAAATTAATTATCTGTTTGAATAATTAAATATAATATTAGATATAATTGATTAAAAAAAATTAATGAATTTTTAATGCATGAAAAACATTGTGATATATTCAATATAAATTGTCAATTAAATTACTAAAAATCATTATTAAATTGTATTGAAAACCAAAAACAAAAAATCATTGCACGGATAACGTGACAAATAAGTGTATTAAATATTATCAATAATTTTAGACAATAGGATAATATATTTGAGTTAAATTTATATAAATACATAGACACACACACACACACACCCACACACACACACACACAGTAACTATAAATAGAAATATATTTATTTATATGATAATTATTTAAATTTCTTAGAAAATTTCATAAAAATTTTATTATTAGAAATTATCTAAGTAAATGGTTTATAATGAAATTAATAATATGATTAGCATGATGATTTTTCTAATGAAAATTGCATAGATAAATAAATAATATTAAAGTAAATAAATAATTAATATTTAAAAGATAAATAACCTTGCTAATAATATTTTTAAGCAAGAAATTTCCAATTAATTATTTTGTATTTTATAAATAATACAGTAAATATGTATATCTATAGTGTGTATGTGTGTGTGTGTGAGTGAGTGTGTGTGTAAAAGTGATTATAGTCTATCATTTGATGTCAACTTAACTATATTTGTTTCTTATGCTTAATATTTTTTTTGGTAAGACATATCATAAATTAAATATGAAATCAATGTGACTTATTTATTAAACAATTTACTATAGTTTTATTACTATTAACGTTATAAATAACTTATTTTGGGCTTCACATCATTAGCCATATATATATATATGATATATACTGTATATATTATTTGTTTAGTTTCTTATGATTTATATTTTTTAGTCTATTTAGTATCATTATTACGCAACACTTAAATTTACAAAAAAACTTACTTATTATACACACTTATTGTATTAACTTTGTGTGTGTGTGTGTGTGTGTATGACATTTGTTTGTTTACTAAAGTTTTAAACGATTAAAAAACTTTTATTTTTAAAAAAAAATGTGTTAAAGCTATGCTAACTATTTTTAATTTTTAATAAAAAATATTAGTGCATTAAATATATACTGTATGTAGATTGTGTTGTTGATTATTTGCACTAAATATATGTACAAATAAACTAAAAATACAGTAATTAAACTGATTTAATGGCATATATATATATATATATATATATATATATTAGTATCTCATATGTATTGAATAGTATTTGTATAAATATATAGGACACTAGCAATTGTATAGTAAATTATTATAATAATGATTAAAAATAAAATTTAAATGGAAAAACTAAATTTGTCAATAATGTTATTCAAACAATAATATTAATAGTAATGCTAACAACTATAAGTTATTATTTATTATATATATATACATTTATTTGATGAAAACATAAAATCATCACATATTAAATATAAATATATTATACAGTATTATATCTATATATCAAATATATATATTATTTATAATATCACAACATTTAATATCCAATGGTATCCAGTAGTGACATAATGACAACATAGATATATATATAAATATAATTATATATATATATATATATATAATTTTTTTAACAACAATTATTCTCATATATGTCAAAATAAATATGTGTGAGTGTATGTGTGTGTAAAATGTATGGAAATAAAATTATGTAATATTTTTGAATAATATAAAATCTATAGATGTATATTGAATATTGTTTATAAAAAAATTAAATAATCAAAATTTTTATAAATTAACCACAAAAAAATGTTTATTTAAATCAAACTGTATTATATACTCAGTTATTATTATTATTTTTATATATTATAAAGTTAATTATATACTATAAAGTTATTTGAATGTTTAATGATTACTGAATGTTAATACTTTAATAATAATTATTATTCAAAAAAATATGTGCGTGAATATATGATATTAAATGTAACATTATAATTATGTTATAAACTAATAATATTAATAATAATGATAATATTAAAAATATTATCAATGTTATAGACATCATGAAGTTATGGGCTGTCAATTGGGTAAACCATCAAAAATAGTGGCCATAGAAGAAATAACAAGTAATTACATACACATAATAAAAATGTTTTTTTTATAAATAATATAATTATTATTTTATAATAATTGTATATATAATAATAATAAAAAAATAATAATATTTTTGGATTAATTTGATTGTCTAGACTCTAGAAATCAAAGTGAGATCAGCAACACTGGGAATGATATTGTAATTATTGATATTATTATTATTATAATATTTTTTAATTTATTATATTTTATTGCATATAATTATTAAATATGTTTATTATTATTATTATTGTATATAATATACAAACCAATATTGTTTATATTATATTAAATATTAAATTATATGAGATTTTCTTTTTTTCATTTTTTGATATAATAAAAATATATTATTATATTATTAAGATTTTTTAATTAACTTAAAAGTAAAATTCTAGTTTCAATGTCCAATAAATTAATTAGTTTTATACAAAACAAAACAAAATTTAATTTACTTTTAGCTTTTTTTAATCATATATTTTTTTAAAAAACAATCTATAGTATAGATTCTATACTAGCATTTGTATGTATGTATGTATGTATTAAAATCAATTTTTAATGACACTAGTTGTACAAATGTAACAAATAAATGTCACTGTATTTCCATATAAATTATTATAAAAAAACATTAGTAATAAATTAAAATATGATAGCTTAGGGATTTAGGGTTTAATTCAATCAAATTTTTATGTTATAGTATAAGTTAAAAAAAATTGTTGTATAATAACTAAAGCATGAAAAAATATTTAACATAAACTTTGATAATATTCAATAAAATATTTAGATTTACTAAAAAACTATATATTTATAATTTAATAGAAATTGCATAATAATTTTCAAAACACTAGTTAGTGTGTGTGTGTGTATTACATGCTTGTTAAACAATTAATACAACAACAAAAAATAGTAATTTATAAATAGTAATACATTAAAAAAAATACAAAATAATACTAATAATATGTAAATTAATGTATAATTAATTTTTGTTTTCAATAATTTATTTTATATAGACTAAAAATGGTCAGGGTACTAATATAACTTTGAATGGTAGCACAACTATTAATAATGGTAATAAACGTAGGTATGTAATAATAATAATAATAATAATAATACATTAAAAATAATAATTTTATAGCTTTTTAAAAATTAAATTTAATAAATATCAACACAAATACATCAGCAATTTATATAATTAAATGTGTATTTATAAAGATAAAAATTTAATTATCCTAAAAGTATTTATTCAATAATATTAATAATATATAGTATTACATAATTATTCGTATAAATTACTATATGATATAAATTAATTTACTGTAAATTTAATTTTATCTAATAATTAAATCTTGTTTTTTAAAAAATTTATTATTAAATTTATTAGAGAAAGTGCTCGCATAGCTTGGAGAGAGAAATCTAATGGTAATAATAATAATAATAATAAAACTATTGGTGTCACCAATAAAAATAATAGTAATAATGATGGTATCGGTGCTACCGGTGCTGGCGGTGACCGCAAGTTACGCACAATTACTCCAATCTTTAAGAACGTGCCATCAATTGTATTGTAAGGAAAAAAATAATTGTTGTATTTATTTTGAAAAAAATATATAATTAATTAAATTAATAAATTTTTTCAATACTAGGTATAGAAGTAAAAGTCAAATTGAATTTTTTGAACGTTTGGATAATAAAATAAATGATGTAATTATTATTATTATTATTATTATTTGTTTTGATGTTATTGCTAATATAATTAATATAAATTGTATATATTTTTTATGTCATAAATTAGGTCAAAATTGATAATTGTGAAAAAAACAAATGATTTTTTTAAATCAGAAAAATTGTGATATAATTTGTATAATAATTTCATTGAACTCTCACTGGTCTCTCTCTCTCTCTCTCTCTCTCTCTCTCTCTCTCTTTCATCATTGGATTATACATTATTACAGTAGATATCAATTTGGTTTTTATAACAAACAAAATCTAAGTAAATATTTATTTAAATCATATATTAAATTAAAAATTAAAAATTTAAATTTATTATTATTATTATTGAATAGATTTGCCGCTTATTAACTGAATCCGATGCAAATAATCATAACCTACAGTATTGTACAATATATTAAAATTTTTATTAAAAAAAATGTTTTAATCAGTAAACTAAAAGTTTGTATTTTGTATTATATTTTTTATATATATATTTTTAAAAATTAAATAAAATTTAATAAAAATTGTTAAATATGTATATATATATTAAATCTACTGCATAACTAAATTTATTTAGTTATTATTATATCTAACAAAAATTATTGATAAAATAATTATATCATAATCATAATAAATTTTTTTTAACAAAATTATATCATAAAAATTATAATCTAGCTAAATATATATATACTGTATATATATAAAAAAATAAATTAATAGGTCAAACATTTGAACACACCTAAAAATAAATTGACGTTTTATTGGATTATTATTTTTTTTAACGATACAATCATGATTTATAATGATAATGAAAATATTTTTACTATCATTTATTTTAGGTCTTTACTCTTAATATATTTTATATACAGTGTATATACAGTGAATATACAGTGTATATACTGTATATACATATATTTGATAACACATTTTTTTATTGGTAATAGATTTGTCCTAAAAATAGAGATATCATTATTAGGTTTGAACCACAAAACATAAATCCTGGTTTGGTTTTGTTTGGTTATAACTGGCAATAATTATATATATTATATTTATATAGATAAATATAAATATTTATAAATTATATTTTAAAAATCTTGATAATTTACTCCGAAAAAATTTCCTAATTTTTATTTATAAATCAATATAAAATTTATATATATATATAATTTATATTATAATATTTTAGTTATTGAATTACATTACTATTGAATTACTAGTTATTTTTTTAAATAATAAAACAATGGCACTAATTAAGTTGAAATTGTTAAATATGATGTATTTTGTTATATAATAATTGTTTTTGCATTAAAAAAATTAATTACAAAAAAATTAAGTTAATGATTGCTAAATACTATATAATTATTAATATTCAATATAATATATATACTGTATATACAGTATATTTATATATTGATGCCTCTTTGGTACAAATATTGTCCAATTAATTAGTATTATAGTAGTAGTAGTAAATAGTTTTGTTTGTAATCCGTAATATAATTATTATATAATATGTATGTTTAAAACACAGTTACATAATATTCATACGACTAACCAAAAAAAATTATTTTTTTTAAATATTACAAATTTTGTTACACATTTCAAAATAAAAGATTTAATGCTATGATAGTAAATAGCTGTTAGTTTTTTCAAAAATTATTATTTTTTTTATAAATTATAACAAAATATGGCAATCGCTTACAACTTTTTTTTAGATGACATACATATATGTTTGTGTAGATAATACACTAATTATTAAATTATCATTAAATATAGATAGAGAGAAACATTTAAAAAAATAAAATAAAAATTAGTTATTTCAATAACAACATGCAAATGATTTTTTCATAAATACATTTTTTATACTTTTAAACGACAAATATTTTAAGTTTTGTAATTTTTTTTATTAATTTATTCATTTGATTATTATTTGATTAATTAATTAAAAAAAATTGAGAAAATTAGTTGTGACTGACATATATAAAATGTTTTTTAAGTATGTTTTTTATGTGTGTATATATATATGTGTGTTTGATATAATTAATTATATATATATATATTTGAAATTATGAACAAACAAAAATAGTTGTCAATAAAATTAAAATAATAATAATAATATAATTTATGTGAAAAAAATTAACAATTAATATATATATATATTCAATATATATATATATATAATCAATCGATGGTATGATTTATTTTATTTTTTATTATTATTAATTTTTTTTGTTAGTTGCGTCCGCCGTCTCTCTGAAGTTTTTTCACTTGTTTTGAGTCAAGATCTCCGTAATATTTTTCACTAATAAATTAAACAAAACAAAAATTAAACAAAAATTAGCTAGATAAATTATAAATGGGGGTGGGTGGGGGTTAGAGTAACATACCATCCAGGTACGTTTTCGGGATCGTCACATTGTAGGGACTCGACATTGAATACAGTTCCTATACTACAACCTATTTATATAGAAAATAATTTTTTGTATTAGTTATATAAAAACTTTTTTTTTAAACAAAAATTATTTATAGTGTAATCAGTAATCAATGTATACCATAGGGACGGGCGACTCCTTCAATGCAGACATAAAATTTGCGACAATCAGTTGGGTGGGCGTGACGGGTGTAATGGCCTGGTTGGTCAGTTTCTGTGGGGTCTTAATCAAAATAAGACTGTTATTTAGTAATAAAATCATTTAAATAAATATCATAAACATAGTTGTATTGATAATATGCGGTTACATACCGGGGCAGACAAATCCATCGCTAATTTCTAGAATAAAAAAAAATAAATACAATTTAAATGTTAAAAAAATTATACAATTGGTATTTTTGTTTAAATTACATAATAATGTGTATCTAAACTAATCTATAATTTATGTATTAATTAATTAATTTTGTTTGAGGGGTACCAATATATCAAATAATATATGATATCAATATATATTATGTAATTTATATTTATGTAATACATATTAACGACAAATTAGTACATCATTTTTTTCAAAACATTATAATCTAGTTTTTTTCATATATTAGATAATTTCAAATAATTTTATTTTATAATTAATTCAACAGATTATTTGGTATATATATTATTTCCTAAGGGCTCTAAAGTAAAAGTTAGAGATAAATATATATTGAAATATACAGTATATATATATATATATATATATATATCATTATAACTGTATATTTACACTAATTTTTTGTTGTTGAAAGAATGTCAGATAAAAAAAAGTTTATATAAAAAAAATTTAAATTTTTGTTGAAAATCTAAGCTAATGTTTTGTGTGTGTGTGTGTCGTGTAATAGTCAATGGGAGGAGAGGTTATACTGTATATCAAAAAAACTATGGGATCGCCTAAAAGCAAATTATTATTTTATTTATTTATTTTAAATCAACACAAAAAAGTCAGTCAAAGTTTTCTCTTCCCTCGAGAAAATAGTTTTTCTCAAAAAAGCCATTAAAATATATATATGTGTTTCAAATAAAATTAAAAAATTATATTTATTTTATTGTATATACTGTATATCTTTTTTTATTTATATTGAAAAATGTCTTATTTTAAAATTAAATAAATTTATATATACTGTATATGTATAGCAAAAAAACTACTTGTTGTTTAAGTAATGGCACAAATTGCATAAATTGTAAATTATTATTATGGGGGGAAACTTCCGTAAACTTTTTTTTTATTTGAATTTTTTGTTGTTTGATGTGTGAAACAAATTAATGGACAATTTGTTGTTTTTATTTATTTATTTAATTATTTTATTTATTAGTATAGCTATAATTGTTATATAATTTTTTGTTATTTGTTTGGTTAACAACAACAACAACAACACTTACCCGATGAGTCGCATCGGTCGACATGATCGGCCCAAACGCATACACGTTGGTCGGCATCGTAGGCCAGGCCGGGCGGGCACTCGTATTTGGATGCCTCACCGTTCCAGCATGAATAAAACACCCGGCAATTGGTCGGGTCGCTAAAGATACCGTACAATCGGGGACAGTGAGGTGTCGATATGGGTGGCTCTGATATATATATATTTTTTTGATAGACAAACCATACAATTATTAATTTAATTAATTTTAAATAATTTTGAATTACATAAACACATAATAATAGTAATACAATAACATTGTATAGTAATTGTCTAATAAAAATTAATTTTTTTTATCACCTAAATTTAATATACAAAACATTGTACTGTATGTTATAATTTTTTTAGACTAATTTTTTTTATTGGGAAAAAATTTTGTATAATTTTTATATTAAGATATCTCTAATGAACTCTAAAATAATAAATTGAGGTTTCATTTCACAACTTCATTAGTACTGTATATATATTTATTATATTTAATATATATATATATATATATTAAATATAATAAATCAAATGCATCACTGAATTATGTGTGCAATCAATAGATTTATTTTTCAATATATATATGCATTTTAAAGCTATTAAACTAATTAGTAGTTTTAGTTTAAATGATAACTACATTTTTATTGTTATTACTATTGTTACGACAAAAAAGTCGCGAAAATTGCTATTATTATTATTATTATCGTAAAAATTATTTATTTATTTTTTATATTTAAGTCATCAGACAAACAACTGTTTCTCACAGACACTCAATCAGATGACATTGTATTGTACTGTATATTAATTGATTTGATTATACGATTCAATACAATTATATATAAATATTTATACAGTATATATATATTATAAATAAATAAAACACTATATACTGTATTATAATATGTATAGTAAGTGACATACTTTTTGTTTAAAGAATTTTTTTTGGTTGTTATTAAATATTTATATATATTATCATCATTTCAATCAATTTAAGTAACAAAAAAAATTGTTTTAAAGCAATTAATTTTCATTAAACAAAAAATATTAAAATTATTTTTTATTTGTTTGTTTGTTTTTTTTGAAAGACAAACCTAAATCAGCTCTTTCTCCACAATCAACTGAGAAAGGATAGGCACAGTTCTCTCGTTTGGCATCCGAGTCGTCAAATACCAGTCCATTGCCGCATGTCTTCAGACTACTGGTGCCTAAGAATACAACAAAAAATGTTTGTATTGATAGGGAGCACAGGTAGCCAACAAACAACAACCAAAAAAAAACACTTACCATTATCGCAGGCCCAGTACTTGTCGCAGCTTTTGCCGTGCGGATAGAAACCGAAATCCTGGGGACAAATAAAACTGCCGGCATAGGTGGCCGCCGGTCGCGGTGCGGCCTGCTGGGCCGGTTGCTGTGGCTGCGGCTGTGCCGGCTGATAGTTAGGGTTGGCATTTGAACTGAACGAAAATTGTGGCGACTGTCGCTGCGACCATACTGTCCCCATACAAACAAACAAACAAAAATTATTATTGTTGCAATATTAGTAATCACATACAGTGTATGTGTATATATATAAAAAAATTTGTTAATTGTTTGTAATGTATTGTATGTTTGTCTGTTTGTTAATTAGTTTTATTTAATTAACCAAATATTAATAATATTTATAAATTATTGTATATATATTTTTTTTAATTAGAAAGTTTAATAAGTACTTTAAAATTATAGGTTTATTTTTTTAAATAAAAAAGTCATTACTTATAATATTATAGTAAAATAATTTGTATATAATTTCGCCATCAATTAGGACTCTCTTATAGTTAGGGGGAGAGAGAGAGATAAATATTTTATATTTCACTTTAATATTATTAATAATTAATTTAAATCAAAAACGAGATCTGAATAATTAATTAAGCAATAATAACACATATTTCTTATTTTCATTTATTTAAAACTATTAAATCTACATTTCCTAACATTTTATTTACAAAATTAAATTTGATTGAGAGAGAGAAAAAAAATGGTTATCAATTTAACCTAATGGTCAAACAAACAAAAATGTTAAGTAATTTTTTTTATTACATGTAAATGTTTGATATTTAACACCGTTTTTCTAGTGATGTATTTAAAAAACACTTATTATTATTATTAATAATAATATGACCTCAAGACCTATAAAAGTCATAACTAATTATTGTCTAATAAATAAACTTTTATATAATATATATATATTTAGTGTATATATAAATAAATATGGCATTAATTTCTCATCAAAAAAATTAAAAGGTTATTATAAAGTAAAACAAAACTAAATATATTACATAAAATCAAGGCTATAGGGATATGGGATGTATATGTAGTGATCCTATCGGTCTATGTGTTTAAGGATTTAATTTTAATATTATTATCAAATAAAAAGCTTATATATGATGGGCTTAAATATATCCATAGAAATTATTTTTTTATATATTTATTTATTAAAAAAATATTAACAAAATTGATGCTAATTTTGTATCAGTTTTGATGACCCATTTCAAGCTCTCTCTCTCTCTCTCTCTCTCTCTCTCTCTCTCTCTCTCTCTCTCTCTCTCTCTCTCTCTCTCTCTCTCTCTCTCTCTCTCTCTCTCTCTCTCTCTCTCTCTCTCTAGGATTGGGTCATCAACCTGTGAACCAATAAACTTAAGTCTTAATAAACATTTTGAGGTTTTTTATATAAAAAAAAGTTTTTTAATATTTAATAATAAAACTCATAATATTTTGTTAATAATATTCAAAAAATTTCTAAATAAACTTTTCAACATAAAAATATTTATATACTTTATATATAAGTTTTTGTAATAAAACTTTTAAACTTAGGTATAGGAAAAATAATCGTAAGAAAAATTTTGTAATATAATATAAATTTTAGTTAATTAATTAATTGAAATAATATATAGTTAATTAATTATTGAAAATTATTTATGATATTAATTATTGAAAATTTATTTATGATATTAATTAGTTAATAATAAATTATATTATGTAAAAAACAAATTAATTACATGTTTTTTTAGTAAATTAAAAATATAAACAAACAAACAAAAAAAAGTTTCATACCTTGTAATATAAATAGCGTTGAAATAATTAACTGTAAATGTTGTCTAAAGGAATTCATATTTATTTATTTATTATATAATAATAATAATAATTTATTGACTAATATTATTATTATTATTAAAAACCAATTCACAACAAACAAACAAACAAAAAAACACTGAATCAAAAAACTTTTATTTAGTTTTTTATTATTATATATATATATATATTTTTCGCCAACAATTAAATAGTAGGAAAAAAACTACTATCTCTTTCAGCGCGTGTTTATATATATATATAAATAATGATTAATCTCTACTAAAAAATTTTTATGACGGTTACAGTTGACGGACTACTAACTAAAGTGCAACTAAAATCATATTATTATCCGATATCACTATTATATATATAGTTTATTAAGTCTATGTAAAAGTTGAATCAATTGAGTGCAAGCATTAGATCCCGAAGCCTGTGGTGGTCTCTCTCTCTCTCTCTCTCTCTCTCTCTCTCTCTCTCTCTCTCATATTTTCTCATACATGAGCTGCTGTTGGGAGCCTCCATGTGCCCAAACTTCATGCCCCTGACCTAAAACATGTCTCGAAAGCAGCCAACCAGCGCTCAACAGTCGCTACCACGGCTATGAAAAGAGAGACACCTAACACACACACACACACACACACACACACACACACACACACACACACACACACACATACATACATTCACAAAAAAAACATACCATTCCTCTCCAATTGTAATATACTTAAGGAATTACTGATGAATGAATGTCTAAATCAATTATCATATATATATTGCCTAATATATACAGGTATTATATATATATATAATATATAACACCTGTTTTGTCGGCTATTTGTCGTTAGCATTGACTTATCATCATCACCAGCACAGGCCTAAAATTTGATGACAGGTCTAACAGGACAAACAATTTATATTACAGTACAGTATAGTACTGTATATGTCAAACACAATTGATAACTGTAGCTAAAAAAATAAATTGATTTTATGATATTTTTTCCTTTTATTATTTAAAAAAAATGTGGCAAATATTTATTATTTTTATTAGGGACTAAAATTAAAAAATATATTAAAGAAAACTTAATTTATTTTAAAAAAACGATTTTCAAATTCTACTCAAAACATTCACGTTTTTTCCTAAAATAAAAAAAAATAATTTTTTACAAACAAAAAACATTACATGTAATACAAGTGTTAACCCGAAAATTAATTGCCAACAATAACAACAATACTAATAATAATAATACGATAATGGGTTCAACAGTTATATGATAATAAACTTATGAAATAAATGTTTTTTTTAAAAAAGATAAATATAAATTGTTTGACTAACTGACTGATACAGTACTACTACTATAAGTCACGTCTAATTATAGTTTAGTTAAAATAAATTAATAATAATAATAATAATTAAAAAAAAGTTACGATGAGTTTAGTTGTGTGTTTGAAAAGCGATTTTCGACCTGATTTTCGGTGCGGTTTATAATCTTATTTAGTTATATATATATATACAGTATATATACAGTATATATACAGTTATATATACGGTAAATATATATACAGAGTATGTATGTCCTTGACATTCACAGACTAACCTATTTTATAAAACGGTTGGACCAAACAATGCGTGTATAATACTTGTATATAATATTATATAATACTGTAATAATATAATATATGTATAATATTGGCGCTGATCTTATCAATAAGTTTTTTATAGCTCTCTCTCTCTCTCTCTCTCTCTCTCTCTCTCTCTTTCTCTCTTAATTAAATACAATTTTTTTTATTGGAAATCCTATATAACTATAAAAAATTATAATATAAACTTAATTTCTAAATAAAGTTAAAATTTTTTGAAATAAATTCACAAACGGATTTAATGTAATTTAATGGGCACTCATTTTTAATTTATGTTATTCTGTTTTTTATTATTTAAAAAAAATAGTTTTAATTTTAATTTTATTATTATTGTTTGTAAAAATTAGCAATAAAAAAGTATATAATAAATAATAAAAATAAAAATTACAATTTATTTAATTTATTTGGGCAGTAAAATAATTGTTATTTTATTATTATTATTATTATTATTTAATAATAATAAATATCGCCCATATATTTGCTAAATTTCCAAATTTGTTTTAAAATGCAAAATTCATATTTTTATAATATTATTAACAACAAAAAGTTTTATTATAAATTTTCCATATTTTTTAAGCTAAAAAATATTATTATTATTAAAAAATTGAATATATATATATATTTTTTACTTTTTATTTTCAGTAAAAGTTTTGGTGGCAAAATGAAAGCATAAAAATATGAATTTAAATAAATAAATAAATAAAATTATTATATATTGTTTGCATAGATAAGAGAAATAAAATTAAAAAGTCGTCAAACTTTTTATGTTTCACATAAAATATATATTAATATAAAAATTATATTAATAAATGTCTTACACTTATTTGGGGGAAAAAGGGTAGAGAAAAATGTGCCGATAATTAATGTTAACGCCTGTTGACTATCACTAGTAAACCAACACTTTTTTTTAGGTATGTGCTTATAATGTAATAATAATAACAATAATAATAATAGTAAAAAATAATAATGTATTATAAATTACAAATTGAAAATAAACCATAAATGTGTTGTTGAAATTAAATTATATATATATATATCACATATAAAACACATATATGATAGTAAATGGTATTTTTACTAAATAAAGTATTTCTATATAATAATTATAAAGAAAAAGTTATTAAATAACCCAATAATACACAAATGATCGCCTATTTCGATGATATCATACTTATCATTAGTTAGGGTTGGGATTTAAAAAAAACAATGTTTCCTATTATTTATATAGAATTTAACATAAATTCCGGTAGAATTTAATAATATTAATAGTTTATATATTTTTGAGACAATTTGATATATTTTCTATTATAACTATTATAGCATTTTTTAAAAATAATTTTATGTTAATAATTTATTTGTCCGAGGACAATTTTTAATAACTATAATCATCAAAAAATACAATACGGTATGTACAGATACCAACCATATTACATAACAACTACACCAACAAAACACATAGTTTTTAATTACATTTCAAACCTATTTTCTTAGTGTTTTATATAAACTAATAAATACATTAAAGGCTTTCATATAATTCATTAGAAAAATAAGGGCTAACGACCTGTTATTTTTAAAAAATACAGTTAAATATTTTTAATATTTTATAAATAAATATATATATAATTATAGCTATTTATATTTTCACAAATAAAATAACCTTGCATATATATATATGGTCAAAATAAATTACTCATAATAATCTATAATCTAGTTAAAAAATTATCTATTTCCATGATCAAGGCTATTTCCTAGTAATAATAATAAATTTTTAACTAAATTAATAAATATTTGGCATATATATCACATTTTTATACAATATAAAAAATAATTAAAAACATTTCTATGATCAAAAAAAAAACTTATTGATTAATTTATATATACTTTATATAATTAATTAACTGTTGTACAGTAATATTGTAGAAATTTAATTATAGTTTTAAATTAAATATTGGCTACTAATAGTTAAATTTCTAAGTAATAAAATTATTATAGAGTAGATAATTAATTAAGTAATTGATTAAATTTATAAAGTAAATAAATTTTTTATTTTTAAATTTGTTTAAATTAATATAACCTTTAATAAGTAAAAATTTAGTAAAATTTTTTTTCTTGTTATAAAACAAACAAACTTTTTAAATTTAATTATTGAACTTTTATTAAATCAATTTTGTTGTTTAAAAAAATAATAAACCCATGTTAATTTACATTATAATTTTACATTATTTGCTTTACAATCCAAAAAATATTATACTACAGTAAAAATCAATTTGTTATACAACAACAACAACAACAACAACAAAATTAGTGATAATTAGCACAAATAAATTTAATGATAAAAATCAAGTCCAAATCGATGTTTATTATTATTATTTTTTAATCTATTAATAACTCAATAATTATAATAAGTGATATATTATGAAATACTAGTATATAAAGTATTTAAATACATAAAATAGGAAATTATAAAAAGTTTCTATTAAAATAAAAAAATATTATAAAATATAGTTTTTTTTAAAAACTTTAATTTAGATTTTACTTGAATATTGTCGATATATTTTTACAATTGCCTACGCAATTGACTGTTTGTATGTGTGTGTGTGTGTGTGTGTGTGTGTGTGTGTGTGTGTGTGTGTGTGTGTGTGTGTGTGTGTGTGTGTGTGAAAATATAATTAGATTAATCGAGTTATTTATTATTATTATTTTTTTTATAAATATAACTATATTTTTAAATATATATATATATATATTTATTATTTGACAGTTGGTTTCCGGTGACACCCCATCTCAACCGTAATGGTTGTGAAATAAAATTTAAAAAAAACTTAAAAACACTTACTGTGTGTGACATTACTTTTACCCCTAATTTTCTCTCTCTCTCTCTCTCTCTCTCTCTCTCTCTCTCTCTTTCTATGATTATAGACCCCATAGGCGTTACCCGTGAGCACCCAAAATATAACCCATTTTTTCATTAAATAATAAAAATATTTTATTAACAACATTTATATATTGAATACATAAATATAATATATTTTTTTTTTAAAATAAATGATTATTATTATAGATAAAAACTTGAAATGCCCAATTAATGTTTTCGCATTTTATTATTATTATTATTATTATTAATTTACCGGTAGACTATTTTCTAAAAAGCTAAATATAGTTTTTTCCTATGTGTAGTATTAAAATAATAAAAAATTAATTTTATTATTATAATTATTTTTAATATATATATATATATAGTATACAGTATAACTAGTTTATTATTATTATTATTATTCAAAACACATCTATTGATAGTTTTAAAACACACAAACATTAGAAAACCAACAAAAAAATGTGTGATAAGCCTTCAAAATATTTAAATTTCCTCAAGTAATACAATAAAAAAATAACAAAACAAAAAATATATTATATTATATATATATTTAATATTAACTTTATTCAAATACATATCAAATGATAAAACTTTTAAAAAAACATATTTCTAACTTTTTGTTTTGTTTTTATTTTTAATAAATATATACTATTATACAGTATATCTTTATAATAAGTTTTAAAAAATTTTGTTTAAAATCACGTTATAAAAATAAAATTATTATAACTTATTTTTATGTTTAGAGTATACAATATTAAGTAAAAATTCGGTAAAAATATGTATTTAATAATATAACAAATATTTAAAATTTAAAATTTATGCAAACAAAATGTTACTACTAATTGTATAATAAATTACAGTGTGTTTCCATACAATGACTATTTGATTAAAAAATGGTATATATTATAGTTTTTATGTATGCTATGATATAATTCATTAAAAAAAATTTTTAATAAAGTTACATATAGTATTTTTTCAAAATATTTATTTAAATAAAGCATTAATAATTTTTTTCATTAAATAAATAGTATATACTGTTTATATAAATGACAGAAACTAAACAAAAAATAAACTAAAGTATTAGTTAATAATTACATCATTTTATGTTAATATTATATGAAATTTTTATATTATTATTAATATTACTGTATATATTTGTTTTATAATTATTTATAAGTTATATATATTATATATATATATAGTGAATATAATTCTATGTAATTATTATTTATACAATACAATAATAATAATAATATTGATTAATATTATTATTAAATATTCATTACTAAGCCACAAATTATCATAAATTAATTAATATATACTATATGTACTGCATATTAGAATTTATTTATTATTTTTGTTTATTTTGCTAACAAACACACAATCACATTATATGGTACTATAATAATACCTGTATTATTATATGATAAATAAGTCAAACATTTTTCCATATTTTTATTTAAATTTAAAAAAAATAAAATCTAAATTGTATTTTATATGTAATTGTATAGACATGAATCTGATGACAAAAAATAAATAAATAAAATTTTACTAATAATTTGTAGTAATGCCTATATGATGACTAATACAGACATTAATAATAATTTCCATAATATTATTAATTTATATTTATTTGATTCACTAAATGTTTTATTACCAGTTATAGTATATCGCATAATAATATTAATAATAATTTATTTAGTTATATATCTACTGTTTTTTTAAAACCTATAGTACTTTTGGTTGTTGTTGTTATTGAATAATATCCAATAATTAATTAATAATTCAATTTAAATACTAATTCATAATTCTACGAAAATAATAATAATAATAATTAATTGCTAAATTATTTTACATTGAAATTTTTTTTAAAAAATTATTCAAAAAATGATACCCAGTGTTAATGTCTTTAAAAATATATAATTTTAAAAAAATCTACCGGTAGTGCAAAAACTTAAATTGATTTTTTTTATCCATTTAATTATAAAGTATTATTATTTAAAACAAACAAAAATAGTTTCAACTATTTTGTGACTTATTTTTTTATAAATATATTTTATTTAATAATATTTCCGTAAATTTACCAAAAAATACGATTTTTGAAAAGAAAATATCATATATTATAGTATAAAATTTATCAAGTGATCGAAAAATAAATCATTTATTTATTTAATTATTTTTTTTTGCTTAAATATTTCAAATTACAAAATATAATTTTATTGAAAAAAATGTTTAAATAATAATATTTGTTTTATATTACCAGTTATTAAAATCCTAAATAACTTTTTTTGTACTAAAGTATAATTTTTAAAAAAAATCAAATTACATATCATTTTAAACCCCTAAAAATAATGATAATAACATTTAAAAATATTAATTTTTTTGATATTAATAGCTAACTAACAACTCATTTAAGACTTGTCTTCAAATCATTGATTATTTGTTCAGCTTTTTCCAGTGTTTCGTCTTTTTTGATAAAACAAAATCTGTAATTCATTTTATAATTAATAATAATTAATTAATTATTATTATTATTATTATAGAGTAATTACTAAATTAAATTTTTAAATCAATAAAATATATATATTTTAAAATCATAGCAAACCTAATCAAATTTTCTGCCAGATGTTTGTGCTCTTCTGAATAGAAAGCACTGGTAGGTATGCCCTGAAGTTTCTATAGTTTAAAAAAATAAATATTTATATATATATTATTAATTACCCGTAATTACCGATAATTTGAATATATAATAAGTATATTATATATATATACTGTATATATACAAACATACCTTATTTTTTGACAACCATCTGGCAAACTTGTAGTCCCGGGTTCCCGTTTCGGACGACAAGTCCAGCTTATCGGCCAATTTGGAAAAGTCGGCAATCATAAAATAGCCGCCCTCGGGAACGGTCGGATTCATCGATACTGATGACAAAAACTTGGCCATTCGGTTGCGTTTCGGTTCCAACATATCCGGCAATTCTTGCCAATAGGACTCGGGTTTACCGAATCGTTGTAATTCTAGTTCAAAACCGGCGGCCACTGCCTCCTGAATGGGTGTCGCACAGGTATAGACACTGTTTTGGTGAACCATACGCAACGGCTGTAGTAGATGTTCGGGTCCTTCAAATAATAAACATTTTTATAATCAAAAAACTATTACATAACTATTTTGTGTGATCTATAACTATCAAACAGACAAAAAATGTTGACTTACCGTAAGCCCAGCCCAACTTCCAACCGGTCACACTAAATGTCTTACCGGCGCTTCCTTTATATATTATTGATTGATAAAAAATACATAATTTTTATAATAATTAGTTAAAATTAATTTCTCCTAAAAAATTTCCTAAACCTATAGTTATGGTTCGGTCCCACATATCTGGCAATGATGCTAATGATTGAAACAAAAAAAATGTATATTAAAAATAAAATCAATTATTAAATAATTAGGTGTAATGTCTCGCCAAAAAAAACCTACCCATCCGTAAGTGTTGTTCTCCTTTATAGGAAATCCATTCGTAGACTTCGTCCATAACGGCTATTGTATTGTATTTTTTGCACAAATTACCGATCATTTGGAGCTCATCTTTCGTATAGATCTTAATAATAATTTTTTTTTTAAAAACAAGTCATTCAAACAAACTGATCCATAAAATCTAACTGTCCTCATAAAATCTCATATCTACAGTATACCAGTATAGATTGACAGTACATACCTTTCCTAATGGATTGTTAGGTGTATTGACAACAATCAGTTTGGTTTTCGGGCTAAACTTTGACTCCAATTCTTTGGCATCCAGAAGCCAATCTTTGCTGGACAACGGCCGGTCGGTTATCGGTTGCGGCCTTAACGGTATGAATACCGGTTTACCGCCAGCCAAACGGGTCATCGGTTCGTAACAATCGAAAAACGGTTCAATGATAATAACTTCGTCGCCCGGATTGATTAGCGACATAAATGTACAAAACAAGGCCTCGTAGGCGCCAACCGTTACCAGTACTTCCTTTTGGGCATTCAGGTCCCGGCCTAACAATTGGGAGTACAGTTTACTCAGTGCATTGACCAGTCGAGGATGACCCTATAAATATAAAAACAATATATATACCGGGGGGGGGATGTTATTGATTTGAAAAAATAATATACTGTATATTATAGCTTACAAATCCACGGGTATATTGATTTAGTAGGACATTGTCATCGTTGAGTGTGGCCTCGGATAGTGCGGTACAGACATGTCTCGGGGCAGCAAAATCGGGAAATCCTTGTCCTAAATTCAGTGGCTTATAATCGATCGCCAATTGTATGAATTCAACCCTTAATTTATTATTATTATTTTGAAATTATTAGTACATTATTATTAGATAACAATTAGATATATTTTATGCTAATTTTTTTAGTTATATATTTGTATTCATTTTTTTTGTAATTACTGTCTATATATTTATGAAGTGTTAAATATTTATTGATATTATCTATAATTATAGTATTGACAGTAATTTTGTTAAGTATTACCATATACTGTATATAAAATATATTAATATTATACATAAAATATATACATTTAAATTCAGCATAAAATTTTATCCATAAGTTTATTTAAATTTTTTGACACTTAAAGTAATAGCAATTTATAATTAAGTGTAACATTACATAAATTAACTAATTTGTAACAACTATTATGACACAACTAATTAACACATTTTTTAGACATTCAATAAAAATAATTATATTATACAGGTATAAAAAATTCAAAAAAGACCTATTATTTTATTTATTTCTATAATTAAAATCATATCATATAATTTGTGTAAAATTACATACAATTTACACTAATTAATAGTTAATAATAATAATAATAATAATTAAAAAAATACTAACCAAACACTTTCTTGACTACCTTTGATACGGTCGGCGGCAATATCTTGAGTGGCCATCGATGACGACATGACTGCTAACTACAGATATAATTTTAAAAAAATTAACAATTTTTTTAAAAAACTATTATTTTATCGATAATTGAAAAAACATATATTTAAAAAAACTTTATACTATATTTATTTTTTATAAAATATTTTATACATGATATGTGTAAAAGTTATTTTTATATTTAAGTAAATTATTAAAAACAAAAAAATAATTTATTTATTTACATATAAATAATTTGAAAAATATAATTATAAAAACCTGTGATATTTTTGGCGATAATTTCAATAAACTATTATTAAATGAATTATTGATGAAATGAGATCTACTAATGATGTCTACAGTTGTCTTAAACAGTCTATTCATTGAATGGTTTTTAAAAATAAAAACTATTTTATATATATATTTGAGTATTTTAATAGTAAATTATTATTATTATTAACACTGGGTTTAATATTTTTAGGTACAAAAAAAATGTTATAATATGGTGTGTGATATCAGTTAAAAAAAAAAAATTTTTTTGATGAATAAATTGATTAAAAAAAATATTTAAACAATTTTTTTTATTTAGGGGTCACTTAATGTATTGATAGCTATGGGGTCTATAATATATCACACAATCATATGGCAAGTAATAGATATTTAAATTTAATATTTATTTATTAAAATCTAATATTAAATATCTGTATAAAAATCATGTGTTTTTTGTTGTTGTTGTTGTGTTGTATTGTTTATAACAGTCAATACATTAATATAAAGATAATTTAATATATAAATATAAATAATTATATTGTTAAATATAGATTTAAAATATTTTTTTTTAAAAAGTAAAATTACTTAATTTTTTCTAGTAACTCACCTTGATCAATTTGTTTTTAAATACTACAATACAATTTTTTTTTCTCAATAAAATGGTATCCTATAGCGATAGTATACTGTATTGTATATGATATGATAATATTTGATAATTCCCATACATATAAAACATAGACATTTTTAAAAATTTTATGAATTTAAAAAAAACTATTTTTAACTATTAGTTAATTTTTGAAAATATTTGAAAACTAACATTATTAAATGGTAACTTTTTAGCTAGATACATTTTTTTAAAAATATTCAAATTCACATTTATATATATATATTTTTTAAACAATGTATTTATAGCGTATATATACAGTAATAGGATATGACTTTCCGGAACACTTAAAAAATTTAAGTTTTAATTTTTAAAATGTCATTGATACTTTTTTTTAAAAATAAATTTATAAACAAAATTTATGGTAAATATATATATAATTATTTATTTTTCTTTTGACAATAATTATTATATAATAATAAAAAATAAAATACCGATAATTGATTTATTAATTTAGAGACACAAACATAGCAGTGAATGAATGATAAGTAATAAAATTAAATTTAAAAAAAAAACTAATAATAAATTATTTACAAAATGATTGACAAACTATAATGATATGAAATAGAAATTCAATGAAAACAAATCAATTGATTGTTTTTTTAAGGAAACAGTTTAAACCAAACATAAGTGACAAAACAAAGAGTAAAACTTATTTTTTTTTGTATAAATATGATAATAAATGTTTGAAAAAAGCAATTTCTTCATCAATTTTTTTTGGCCCATCAATCGTCATCGTCGTCGTCATCATCAGCCGTCTTAAGACTTCCGAACACTTCTTTGGGAACCATTTTTTGTTGAATTTCTGTTTAACAAAATATAAAACAATATATATATATATATATATTATAATCATTGAAATAATAAACAAAAAAAATATTCTAACCTTTTTGCGGTTCCTTTTTCCGGGAACCACTTTCGTCGTCGCCATCGTCATCCTCTTCATCATCGACCTCCTCGTCGTCGTCGTCTTCATCGATATCAATTTCGTCGGGATTAGCCGTTTTCTGTAACGCAATAACAGCGGCCTCACTGTCATCCGGAACCAGTTTAGCAGTTGTTTGGGACTTAACAAACAGTACGGAACTCTTGTTGGCGCCTATTATCGGCGCTTTCAGATTAGACTCTTCGTTCGTAAGCTTCAAGTCTGTCTCCAATTGGCTCATAGAAGTCGGTTCCAGTGCTTCATTACTACGGCCGCCACCGTTGACTGCGGCCAACATCTGTGCGGTCATATAGTTGACTTGTGTGTTGAAAGTCGCGGCCACCGATCGCTTAATACGTAACATTTCTCGTATGGTGTCTTCGTTTCCGTGTTTAACCTCAAACTCTTTCCAAACGTTCCAGAAGTTGGCCGAAGTTCGCGGATCACACATTTGACTGCAGTGGCCATAGATGGCTCGGGCTCTGTCTATTTCGCCCAACTTTCTCTCCAATTCGGCAAACTTTAGACACATATCCTGGGCCTGGCTATCGTTCAGGACATCGATAGCCTTCTCGTAGATTTGTCGCGTATGAGTAACGCCAAACATTTCGGCCGCTTTTCGGACAAATATGCTAAACAATTCATATCGTTCTTCAGGTAGAACTGCTTGTACGGCCCGATCATAGATAGTCATCGCGTGTTTAGCTAATCCGTAATCTTCTTCGCATTTGGCGTACAATAGATAAAAATTTTTGGCAAATTTTTCCGGACAATTGGCCAAACATTGTTCAAATAGATCTCTGGCTCTTTCGAGTTTCGAGCCTTTATAACGTCTCAAAAATTTCGTTAAATAGGTGTTCCAAATATCGTAAACATTTGGCCACCGAAACAGTGATATACCTTTTTCGTAGGCTTTGAACGCCTCCTCATAATAGTTAAGTTCTTCGAGAAACAGACCGTAATTCATGATTGTTTGAGGTGTGGCTATCCTTAACTCAATAATACGGTCGTAGACGGCTTTGGTTGTGGTAAACGTACCGAAACTTTCTTCTAGGTCGGCATACATGGACCAAATCTTCAGAGATTTGAATAATCGATTTTGTACCGGTTCCGTGTGGTCATGATAGGACACTTTCTTGGCCGACGGCGGCGGTGCTGCCGTAGCCCTGTACATAAGCTGTAGGGCCTGTTTCCAGTTGTCGTGTCGGAGCTCCATCTCAACCCATTCGCACCAAACAGCGGCCAAATCATCAACTTTGGTAAACGCCGCTGTAGTCGCCTTTTCGAATATCACTCGGGCGTCCTCTAACTGGCCATTTTGGTCGTAAAATTTACCAAAATTAATCCACAGTGTATGTACTTTGCCGACAGCCAACTTTGGATCTACGGTTTGTACGGCTTCGGTATAGACTTCGACCACTTGTTCGGGTTTTGACTCTAACAGTCCGACTCGTTTGTGCCATTCATCGACATTATGCGGATTCTGTCTCAAGGCTACACTATTCAACAGCAGTGGTCGCCTATCGATTAGATCCTCGTAACGGGCTATTCGTAATTCAAGATCAATATCGTCGTCATCGCTCAGATTCGTCATATCCATCGTTGCTTTGATCAGCTGTTCCTCACTCTGTGCGTAGGCGTCAAAAACTTGCGAAAAATCTTTGATCGTCGTTACCGACAGTAAGGCTTCTTCATAGATATCGCGTGACTTTTCAAACAAACCGCTGCGGATGTAGTACTCGGCCAACGATATCCACAGTATTCCCTGTTCATCGGCATATCGTTTGATACCTTCGCGTATAATGGCGTTGACGTTAAGCGAGTGTACTTTATCGGGATTCTTGCAAATCAATTCACTCAATTCGGTCCACAACTGGTGCTTAGATTTGCCGGCTTTCGATAGAAAGTCGTCTCTGTTGACAATATCGGCCAATTTGATGGCCGCTTCGTCCAAACGATCGGCAGTAATCAAATACTGAATAAATTCTTCTGCCTGTTCCGGCTGTAACTTCAAATATCGTTTGTATACCCGAACGGCTGTCTCCGGAATATCATAGGTCTTAATGAGTGTCAAATATATCGGCCAAATACGGTTGTGTTGTGTAATGGGCAGAGCCTGTAGGGCCCGATCCAGTGTACGGCGGCATTTGGTGATAGCATTTTGTGTCAATAAAAACTGGCAAAACTCTAACCAAATTCTGGGCATTTTCTGCATGAAAACCAACGAACGCTCGAAACAGTTGTTCACATCGCTGACCTGCGGATCGATCATCGGATGGCCAGTAATTTGTTTGACCCGAAGCCGAAGATAGGCGATCCATAGTTTATAACTACCGGGAAGCTCTTTGAGCGCCCGCTCGTAGACCATGTTTACCGCTGCAGCTGATGATGTCGACACCAATGGCGCCGATGATGATGACGACGACGACTGTTTGGTCTGCGGCGGTAGCGATTGTTGTTTCTTATGGTCAATATATCGGAGCCAGTGTTTTACCGAAAACGGATTTCGGAGAATGTCCTCTTCGAAGGGCAAGTCTTCGGTACTCTGGATTTGGTTTATAAAAAGGTATTATTCGGTAAATTTTTTCGGATCAAACTTATTTTACGGGTAATATATATATATACTAACGGTAACAAAGTATGCGCTGATGTCCATCGTATCCATCGTGGCGTAGGTCAACAACAACGGCAATATCACCCGTCAATTGATCCGTTAGTTAGTTTAGACAATACAGTAGACTGTCTTATAATATACGGTATAATAATAATAATAATAAAAAGCAAACGTTTTGTTTACACACATAACACACGTGTTTATTGTGGACGTCATTGATGAACAGTTAATTCAAATATAATGATTGTTACCAAATGCATACATTGATGATTCACCTGGACATTGGTTGTGAAAATTTAATCTAGGTTAGTTTTTTGTTGTTGATATGATTATAAAATAAAATTTACTAATTAAATAGTTTTCATAATAAAATGTATTTGTATTAGAAATTGTTTTTTTAAAAAATTATTTTTTTATAATAATAATAATAATAATGTACAGGATTTATCTGATTATATTTGTGTGTTAGTGTTTGGTCACACTATACATGTAGAACACAATACATGTATTTAAAACAGTAATAAAACTATTCAATGATATTATTATTGTAAAGCCAAACAATAATGAGAGCTGTCTTATTGGTATATAAATATAAATTTGTATTTAATTATGTATTTAATTTATTACATAATTTTTTAAACTAGTATAATCAGTAGTAGTAGTAGTAGTAGTAATTAATTAATTAATTTTATTATTTTTTTGTAGAATTTATAATATTCTAATTAATAATAAATAAAAAATAAATAATAATTATAAAAACTTATTACATATTATTTCTCTATTGCCATAACATAACATACATTTAGTGGTGATATCTAATGGACAGCTTTTATTGGTGTTTATATAATACTATAGAAATAAAAATATGTTGTTATGGTTTGTATTGAATATAACAACAATAATATTAATAACAATAACAACGAGTGTATTGTACTATCAATTACACAATGAGTGGCTATTATTATAATAATAATTGTGGCCAACATTTTATCGGGTAATAGTCGGCAAGTGTGTGACTGTAGTCAAATATATATGATTTTGTGGATCAGATTACCAGTGACTGAGAGAGAATTGCCGCCAATTGGTGACCATCATTGCGATGACCACACCGCCGACGGCCAACAACAACAACAACGGCAGCGCCAACAACAACAACACCATGGCTTACATGCCGTCCATATCGGGCGTACCGCCGTCGGTAATGTGTTCGCTACCACCCCCTGCAGCTGCTGTTGGTGCTGACCAATGGTCGGCCGCAGCCGCCGGTATTTTGGCGACACCGCATGCGGCCGCCATTTATCATCATCATTATGGTTATCATCAGTCGATGACACCATACATGATGAATGGTTTCAATGGTATGCCAATGATTGGCGGTCCGCCGCAAATGAGTCCATACTTTACCGCTCCCGCACCCGCCACTGCTGACATCAATGGTATGGTTAACGGACATCAACAACAACAACAGCAACAACAGTCAGTTGTGCCATCAAGTCATCAACGATACGGTTCAAACAATTGTGATATTAATGGTGGTATCAGTGGTTCCCAACAACAACAACACCAACAAAGTAGTCAACAATACAACAGTAATAATAATAATAATGTCTTCAGAGGTAGTGGTAATAGTAGTGGTAATAGTAGTAGTAGTCATCACTCGACTAAGTCTTCTTCACGTCATAACAAGTCATACACTAATGGCAAAAGTAGTCAAACAATTAATAATAATAATAATAATAATAGCTCTCAACGACATCACGATCGACATCATAATCATCAACAACAACAGCATTATCAACACAATAGTAATAATTATAAAAATAATGATAACAATAGAAGATATACTAATAATAATAATAGACATCGAAATGATAGCCGAATTGGATCAAAGTATAATAATAATAATACTAATAAGTCAATCGATAGAAACAACGATAAAAACGAGAGATATAGAGAATCAGTGGATCAGTTGTCTGAAATACATCCACCGTTGAAGAGACAACGAGTCAGCAATAATACTAAGACGACGACAAAAGAAAAGGATGAAGAAATTGGCGAAAATTCTGGTAAAACAACTCAGAAACAAGAAACAACTCATCCCGTTGTCAGTACCGGCAGCAGCGGTAATGTTACCACAGCAACAACCGAACAGGTATTGACACAACCGGTCGAATGGATGCGCTGTTCGCCGGCCGATCTGTTTTACGAACCTCAACGTACTGCTGATGGTAACGATTGTTCTGTTGGAACCAAACGTATGCAAGATTTGAGAGACAAGTTTCGCTACGATCTGTTGGAAAGATCGCGACGGGCTATTCAACTGAAGCCTAAAGTGGAACTACCGGCCCGTACTTTGAAGTTAAAACCTTCGAAAACATGTTTAGGTTTGCAATTGAATTGTGTTTTAATGTCTTATTTATATTTTTATTTGGTTACACAGCGTCGAGCAGTGATTCATCTTCATGTTGTGACAGCGATTCCAACGATGATGATGACGACGACGATGATTGTGAAGATACGGCATTTGAAGAATTGCAACGAAAGAAAAGACATCCACTAAGACTTCACGAAGAGCTGTGGTATAACGATCCGGGAGAGGTATGTTGTGTTTATATTCGTATCTTCTCTATTGATGTCATTTCTGATTATTATTATTATTGTAATTGTTTTGATTGTATTGGTTGTGAAAGTATTTGTGAGCGAAAGAAAAAAAAATTAATTATTTTTTTGAGACCAGACTTTGATGTATGATGTGATGTAAAAGCCGTTTATTGAATATCGCAATCAAAAGTGTTTTCAAGTTATTTGTTATTTGAAAGATTGTGATTTGAAATCTCCTTTTGTTTGCGTACTATACTATTATCTACACATTTGTATGTATAAACAGATGAACGACGGCCCACTGTGTCGGTGCAGTTCAAAGGCACGCAAGACGGGCATCAGGCACGGCATATATCCGGGCGAACAATATCTACCCGGGTGTAACCCGAACAGTAACAATCGTCATCGGCTACATCACTATCGTATATCAATAACACCGCAAACAAATTTTCTAACAAAATTTCCGACAACCATCGGACACGATGGACACGATTTTATATTTGAAGGCTACTCACTATTGTCTCACTGGCCACTGACCAATCCGATTGCTTGCAAAGTTATACGATTTAATATTGAATATACCGTAACGTTTGTTGAAGAAAAATTTCCCGACAATTTCAATGTCTTGGATTTGGATTATTTCCAGCGATACGTGTTCTTCGAGATACTCGAATTGGTTGATCTTGACTTCAAGGCCTACAACAACGAGTCCACTGCCGACAGCAGCGGCAATGATTGTCCGCGGTTTCACTTTATGCCACGTTTTGCGCGTCTACTTCAAGATAATGGCAAAGAGCTATTGTCGATGAATGTTGTACTTCAGTATCTGCTGAATCAAAGCAATCTGGTCATCGATGACAATCGACTAGAAGAGTACAAACAGATGGCGGATGACCAGTGGACAGATTATGCTAAACAATTGAAAGGTATGATAGTTACCTGTCCGGGAATGAAGCCATCATCGCTAAGAGTCGATCAAATAGATCGCGAATCCGATGATTTGATCGATAATACTAATAATAACAATCAGAAATCTAATGATAAGGACAGCAACAGTTGCAGCGATGGTGACAACGATGAAGACAAGAACAATAACGACAGTGACACCGACGGTGTAGTCGACGACGACGGCTATCCTGTTATTGTTCACTTTGGTATACGTCCGCCTCAGTTGAGTTACGCCGGTAATCCTAAATACCAGAAAGCGTGGCGCGATTACGTAAAATTTCGTCACCTATTGGCCAACAAGAAGAAGGTTTCCTATACTGATAAGCAGACACTACTTCAGAAAGAAGAAAAACTCCAAGAGATGCGTATGAAAAGTGATCTGAAACGTGATGTTACGGTTGTCCTCAACAGTAAAGGTTTCTATACGACTGGTCTTCAGTGTGATATTATTCAACATTCGCTACTACTTCCAGTACTTGTATGTCATTTACGGTTTCATCAATCGCTTCAGTACTTGGAATCCATTATCGGCTATACATTTGCCGATAGATATCTACTACAGCTGGCGCTAACACATCCATCATATCGTGAGAATTTCGGTACAAATCCTGATCACGCCCGCAATGCACTGACCAATTGCGGCATTCGGCAGCCACAGTACGGCGACCGACGCGTCCATTTTATGAATACCCGCAAACGCGGTATCAATATGTTAATCAATATTATGTCCCGATTCGGTTGCAATGAGGAAACTGTTTCCAATATCAATCACAACGAACGACTAGAATTTTTAGGCGATGCCGTAGTCGAGTTCATGTCGTCCATACACTTGTACTTTATGTTTCCCGATCTGGAAGAAGGCGGTCTGGCCACCTATCGGGCAGCGCTGGTCCAGAATCAACAGTTGGCTGTATTGGCCAAAAAATTACAATTGGAAAAGTTTATGCTCTACGCTCACGGCTCGGATCTGTGCCATGATCTGGAACTCAGGCACGCAATGGCCAACTGTTTCGAAGCACTAATGGGTGCCCTGTTTCTGGACGGCGGTATCGAAGTGGCCGACCGAGTATTTTCCAATACATTGTTTGCCGATGAAAACCAGTTACTAGATATTTGGATCAACTATCCCCGACATCCGCTTCAGCGACAAGAAGTGAACGGCGATCGGCAGTACATCGAAACAATTCCCCGACTAAAGGAGTTGACCAAATTTGAAGACATAACGGGAATCGAATTTACACATATCAGACTATTGGCCCGTGCGTTCACCCACCGGTCAGTCGGATTCAACAATTTAACTTTGGGGTCCAATCAGCGTATGGAGTTTCTCGGCGATACCGTACTCCAGTTAGTGGCCTCAGAGTATCTGTACAAATATTTTCCCGAACATCACGAAGGTCATCTATCGCTGCTGCGTAGTTCATTGGTCAACAATAAGACCCAGGCAGTGGTATGCGATGATCTGGCCATGACCTCCATTGCCATCTATAACTTTGCCAAAGGCGAGCTCAAAACTAAAGATCGGGCCGATCTGTTGGAAGCATTTCTCGGGGCACTCTATGTCGATAAAGGACTGCCGTATTGTCGACTGTTTTGTGAGGTTTGTTTTTTCCCCCGTTTGGAGCACTTCATTATGAACCAGGACTGGAACGACCCGAAGTCTAAACTACAACAATGTTGTCTAACTCTGCGATCGGTCGATGGCGGAGAACCCGACATTCCTATCTATAAGTATGTGATGTATTTTTAATCAAAAAAAAATATATAATAATTTATTATTTATAGTTTCAATTATAACTGTCTATTGCTATCCTATACACCTGTTATAAAAATAGACTGTTTTTTTGTCATTTCATTCAAATAACATATCATATATACAATATATATGTATATATCTACCGGTAGTTTGTTATATACAGTATATATTAATGATTGATTGATACAAATATTTTATTTTTTATTATAATCGATATTTAATATAATTTTTTCTTTTGTTTGTTGAGATATATTTAGCAAAAAAAATATTGTGTATTATTTTTTATACAATTACTGGTACTATAGTATACTGTACACCGGTTTATATAATTTATATCATCAATAGTTTGGTATTTAGCTATTACTACCATATACTGTATGAATAATAACCTATTATATTAGTATTAAAAGCACTGTTTGCTTATTATTATTATTATAGCTAATAATGTTAATACTATAGTATAAGTTATAATACTTATCGTAATATAAATTACTAATATAATTGGTTTGGATTTCTTGAAATTAAAATGATTTTTTTTGTTTTGTTTCCAGTGATTAGTTTTTGTATTTTCATTGTCAACGATATTCACTACAGTATATATAATTAATTTGTAATAAGATTTCTAATTAGAGTCAAAATAATTTATATATATATATATATATATATATATATATATATATATATATATATATATATATATTATTTCATTGTTGAGATTATTAATTTTCTTTATACAATAATATGTTTTGTGATTTACTTGTTATGTTTAGACAGTATAAGACAACTAATAATCTCAAGAATATTCTATTATATTATTAGTATTATTATTATTATTGAGAAAAAATTCTTTAAATTCCTATATAAATATTTTTTTCTAACTTATTATACAACAAGAGGTTTCCATAAAATATTTATTATTATATTAAGTATATTGTTATGCCTTATACTTTATACCGTATATAAAATATGCCCGAAATTTAGCTAATTTAATATCAATATAATACATATACTTTTTTTGTATATAATAATAATCAGAGAATAGATTTATAGTTATTTGTTTTGTTTTTCTTATCTAAATATTCACTACATAACAAAAAAATGGATAAATTTTTAAATCATATTTAAAAAGTTAGCCCAAAAAATATGTTTCAAATAGGAATTGAAGTTAATAACAGTGTATTTACTTAATTACCTACTAATGTAAACATATTATCAAAAATAATTATTGAATAATATTTTTGTCGTATTTATTGTTTATATTTTCTACATTATTTTTACTTCAAAACTAATATTTGTTTTATTACGTTAATACTATGTAAATACAGTAATATACTTTTTTTTGGTATTTAAATTATTATAATAATTAGCAAACATTATGTGACAATTATTTATGAAAGTTTTAAATCAACAATATGTGTGTTATTCAAAACAAATAATATATAATATTTAAACTGATTATTTAGTTTAAGTAATTTAGCCTGACAATAAATGCATAGTTAAATCAATATATAATTTATTAATTTAAGTTAAATAACTATCAAACTATTCTCTAATAATAATAATACGGTATAATATCTATACCTAATCAACAACAAAAATACCTCAAAAAAATATTTGTTTGATATGTTTTATGGCTTGTAGTAGTAGTTATTGCACATAAATTTTTCACATACACTAAATGTCTGCCTCGTGTTGTTATAAATTATATATAATTTATAACATATTTATGAATAAAAATATTTTTATGTAAAATAATTTTATACAAATTTTTTATAATATATCATAAATAATATAACATATAATATAATCATATAATATTAAATTTATTTACAGTACAATGACTTATATTTTTTTTATTTAGTAAAACTATGCTAGAGTTTAGGTATTTTTTATTTATTTAATATATATTACTAAAAATTGAGAATCTATTTTTGATACTAAAAAAAAATGATAACTATTTTTCCAACAAAAACAAAATTTTTTGGAAATATTTTTTTTAATAGTGTGGAATATTACACTGAATAATTATATTTTAGAAAATTGCTTACTGTATTATAAAAGTTATTTATTTGATTTGTTTTGTTTTTTATTACTTACTATTGAACCCATACTGTATGATACTATTACATAGCGCCTATAGTTTTTTTTTGCACAGTTAGCTTAATATGAATTTGTTTTTGTTGTTGTTGGTGTCTCTTATGTATTGAAGTGGGTGTTATTTTTTTGTAGTGAGAGATTATTATGAATATTTTAAATTTTTAAATGTATTTTTGTTGGAAATGTTTTAAATTAGATTTTTTTTTTAAATTTTGTTTTTTATTTAAAATCCGTAATAAAATATTCATATACTATATATATATATTTTTATCTAAAAATGTTTTTCAATTTTAAAGGGTCATTGAATGCAGAGGTCCGACAAATACCAGAGTCTATGTGGTGGCCGTCTATTTTCGCGACCAACGATTGGCCACCGGTACCGGTCATAGTATACAAGAGGCCGAAATGAGTGCCGCATCCAATGCATTGGAATCATCGAGAGGTTTGTTTTTTTTACTAATTAATTAAAATATTATTTATTAAAAAATAATAATAATAATTAATTTTTGTTATTTTTTTCTCCCCTCAGAATTATTCCCCCAATTGAATCACCAGAAGAAAGTGATTGAACGAAGTGTCAAATCATCGATTAAAACGCAGACAACAAAGTCATCGACAAAAGACAACCACAACAAACACAGAAGACATCATAAATATAGAGGAAATCATTGTAAACGCGAATCAATTGAAGACATTTGAAGATATATTATATATCATATTATATAGAAAACAAAAGACACACAAAATTTAAAAAAAAATGATTTATTTTTTGTGATTAGTTTAATATATAATTATTTATTTACAATTTGTCTTTCAAATATACATTATTATATCATGTATTTATGTGTTGATAATAATCATAATTACAAAATCGAAAAAAAAGTTTTGACTATAATTTTTATTTAATTATTTAATTAATTATTTACAAATTAATATAAAAAAAAATCTATTTGAAGATAATAATAATAATAATGCTATTTATTGATTATTAACCCTATTTTGTATTTTGTGACCTATTTTGACTATCAATGATTGATTGACTAACTAAAGTAATTAACTAAACAAACAATATATGATTTTTTAGTCTAATTTTTTATATGCATTATTAGTATTACGATGATGATGATGACCCTGATTAGTCTTAAAAATTATACAAAAACAATAACAAAAAATGCAATACTAATCAAGACAAACAAACAAATAAATTGTTGATAATTTTCTATTGAATCACACAAATATTGTAATGAATTGATTATAATTTTTTTGTTGTTGAAAATATTTTAATAAAGTCCTAATTAATGTCTTATATAATAATAATATTATTATGTTTTTGTTGTTAATAACTTGTGTGATTGAAATTGTCATTTATTTATGATTTTTAAAAGTTATTTTTGATGGACAGTTATATATATGTTTAGATAGGGGTTTGAATATATAAATATATTGTAAAAATAATATTATTTTTAATAACCGTATGATAAGCTCTCCGTATGAGATGACATCCCAATCCAAATACTGAACAACAATGGGTATTGTATTTTGAGATTCTTGTCGTGTATTTTCTATTGAATATATATACTGTATATATATATAAAGGATGTAATATTCAGTGAGATATATATTGAATAAATATATTGTATATAAAAATTTTTTTATATACATTTCTATCATTGAAAACGCAAGTGTATAACAACAACCACTGTAATGTTTAGAGACAATTGACGTCAATATCCACTTTTCTATGTGTATCCCTATGTTACCAAAACTATAGCAAAAATTACAGCTAAAGCGCAACCGTTTTCCAACACAGAAAATAAAACCACCAGCAAAATGATGGCTATGAAAGGCAAAATCCAATGGAAAATAATAGTGTAATAATCAAAATGTTAAACTATAACCAACTCTCTCTATATAGTATATCTCTCATTGAATAAAATACAAATATATATACATATATATATATATATACTTTTTTTAGGTGATAAAAATGGTGGCGCAAATTGATTGAAAGAACTGGTAGTTTAAAAAAAAAGTAACTGTGCAATGTCATCATCAACAGTTAAATACCAGTCTAAATAGTTGGTTAAACTGATCCCAATCATATCAATCAATTTTTTTCAGCGGACAATGATTTGCCAATTTCTATTAATTTTGTTGGCCATAACTTTTTTATTGTGTCCATACGCTTACAGTCAGCCACTACAGCAACAACAACAGCAATGTATGTTTGATTATATAATAATTTATATAATATATAATTTATATTTTTTTTATTAACCTAATTATTCCTAACCATATTATTATTATTATTATTATTAATATTTTACATACATATGGCTAATATATATACTATATATATTATATATGATAGCTCCAAATCATAACTATGATATTTATTCAAATATTATACCATATTTTTTAAAGTTATTATTGTTGTTATTATTATTGCAATTAAAGTAATTGTCTCATTAATATTAAATGACATTTTATTTGTTGAGTTAATAATATTTGTTTGAAAACAAATACTATATATAAAAAAAATTTTGTTGTTTGTTTTATTTTAATTATAACTAATTGACAGGTGTTTATATACAGTATATAATTTTATTTTTGAGTATTAGCTTAATTATTACAGTATTATTGAAAACAATAGCAAAAACCAAAATAAAAATCTCATTAAGTTTTTTTTGTTATTAAAAAAATACGAAATCTTATATATATTTATTATTATGTGTTGAAATGATATTGAAATAGGATATCTTAATAATTATATGGTATATAATATATTTTATGATAAAAAGTATTATATATATATATAATATATACGATAATATCATATAATTTATATATAGGTAGATATGGTTTGATAATTATATTGTACATTATTTTTTCACACTATTATTAATTATGTGTAAATGATATATGGATATAATGTTATTTACCCTAAATAAATATATTACAAAAATTTTTATTTTTCATTATTATATATATATTTATTTATTAACTCATATATACATTATATAGTAAATTAAATACACACTCCATATATATATATATATATGATGATTACATATGACATTTAATAAAACAATTTAATAGTATAGTGTAAATGTATAATATATTAATTTAGAAATTTGTTTATCAAATATGTTAATTTGAGTGCAATTTCTTTAATTAAGGACACAAAATAATAATTATTATTAATTAATAATAAATTTTTATTTTCAATGTCAGATATTAAATCATAATTATATCATTTGAATTAAAACACTTTTATGTAATAATATTTATATTATTATTTATATAAATTTTTGAATATATTTGATATAATAATAAGTACGATATTTTTATTTCTATACTCTATAATTAATTTTTCTAGATTTACAGTACTTTTTGTTATTTATATCAATATATATATATATATATATATATATATATATTATTTTTTATTTAATTATATTAAAAGAAAAATCATTTTTATTGTTAATATTGATCTATAATCACACAATTTATGACATTTTTATTATCATTTAGAGAGTTTCCAAGAGATTTAAAAAATTTTCTACTATTGTTAACTTAAAAAAAATAAAATATTAAATATTATTGTGTTATATACTGTATATAATATTTAGAAAAAGATTTATTAATCAAAATATAAAATTATTAATATTATTTAAGTACATAAATCTTGAATTAAATTTCAACAACAAAAAAATCTTCTAAATTTTATTACTGTATTATTTCATTATATTATTTCATTTATACTATATTTATATATAATTTATATAAAAATCTCATTAATTTATTACTAATGCTATTCAAATGTTAATTTAATATAAAATTATATATAAACTATAATATAATACAATGAGTGACTCCTTATATTATATATATATATATATATATATATATAAATTTTATTATTAGATTATCAATAATTACATTGCTGCAACTATAATATAAAAAACCTTTTATTATATTTTATTTAGTTAATAAAATAAATAAAAATTATTTACTAATTTTTCTGAATACTAAACTAAACTTTTTTTTCAAAAAAATAAAATTTAAATTTGATTTTTCAATTGAATTATTCAACTATAATATGATGTATATTGTTATAATGTAAATATGTGTTTATCAGAGCATATAATTTTTGTCAAAAAATTATAATATAATATTTAGCTATTTTTTGAAATACATTTATATAACTTATATAACAGGAGATTATTTGAGTTTATTTTAATTTAATCTAAAATTTTACGCTAGTATTCCCTATATATCTATTGTATATCATATTTACATTTGACATCAAAAATGTTTTTAAAATCTTATTATTATTATTATTGTTTAGATGAGAGCAAACAATTTGTTAGCTTTTAAATAACAAACAAAAAGAAATACATTATCTATGATAAATAATATTAAATCATATAAAATTCATGATAAATTATATAAATAGTTATATACATATAAATTACTGTATATTATACTATAAATTATTATTATAAGATTTTATGGGACTTAAGTCGACCCGATTTCTATATATATATATTGTAGACACCATTTAGTTTGTTATTTGTTAAAATTAATTGTTTTATTACAAGATTTATACATTAGGATATTATATATATATATATATATATATATATAGGTATAGGTATTATTAGGACTTTCAATACTTAAGACTATATGACTATCGATTGATTTAAAGGTTGGTTTCTTATATAAACGTCTTATTTATCTATATATATGGCATAAATGAAAATAAAAGTCTATGTATTTACCGGAAAATAAATGTTATTTGTAACCATATATCACAATTAAATTTGATTTATATATATATATGTATATACAGTATACCGTATTTTTAATATAATACTGTATCCAACGTTTTCTATTGAAATCCATTAAATTGTTACTAAATTTAGATTTTATTTTAGACGACACTATTGAAGTTTTTCATATAAAAATTTGAGATATATTTTTAAATACTTTTATAAGAAAATGTCTACATTAATACCATTTAGATATATGATATATAAGTAAAAAAATTTTTAATCCAATACTAATACTACTAATAATAATAATACTAAAATCACATATTGATAACAACAAAAATAAAGTGTAAATAAAATCTATAAAAATATAATAAATATGATAAATAAATTTTATTATATAATAATACATTGATTGTAATCTCAAATAAAATCTTATGTAAAAGTTATTATTATTATTATTAAGTTAAGATAATCAGATTTTACGTCCAAATTATATAATAATGGATTAATTTTTTTGTTTGTTTGTTATTTTCTCAATTAAGATATAATAATAATATTATTATTATATACTATACCAACATTTCGTTAGTGTTTTAAGTTTTTTAGGCCATAGTTGACATACAATTGACACAAATTTAATTACTTTTTTCTACATCAACCTAAAAATTTGTTGAAACAATTTTCTAAATGTTTTATATTAAATTTCAACAATAAAATTGCAATAATAATAATAATAATGAAAATTATTTTATTTTATTTTTTTACTTATTATTATTACTTATATAGTTATCTGAAAATAAAAATCATGATTAATTAAATTATATTATCATTTATTGCCGAAATCACACATTCAATTGTATTCAATTACTTATGAGTTAGTTATATCTTATATGTTATATATTAAACTATAAATCAATATATCTTATATAACTTTATACTGTATATACAGCAATATTTATACACTTACATACAGTATATGATTGTCATTTAATAAATATAAGTTAATATCAAATATTTATATATATATAAATGCCAATAACTTTTTTATTTTTCTTATATTAAATATAATATAATTTATTTATTTGTTTGCCAATATAACTACATAAGTATATATACAATACTGTATATACTATATACCAATGTTACACAATAAGTAAGAGTACTTTAATTTACTGTAATATTCAGTTACTAGTAATATATATATATATATATATATATAGTAATTGTATATTTATTTATTGTATTTGCACTCAAACACAGTGTATTGTGTGTCAAGAATATATAAATGTATGAATATATTTAATATATGAAATATAGATCAATATAAAAAACTCAATTATCATAGTATTAGTAAATACAATGTTTATATATATATATACTTGTACTACAAGTTTAATAATTATGAATATGTATATTTGACCATGTTAATTTTTTTTTTGTTATTCATCCATCAATTATTATTAATATTTACTATACAGTACTAGATCCTGGTTAGAAATTATTGTTTTCTAAGTATAACTATACTTAAGTCATAATGATAATTAAATTATATATATATAAATATATATATATATATATAATTATATTAGTATTGATTAAGTATACTGTAACTCAAGTAAGTACATGTGTGAACACCAAAGGCTTAAGTGTACAAATTAATGAATGTAACTATACTTTAAACTATACTTAAGTCATAATGATAATTAAATTATATATATATAAATATATATATATATATATAATTATATTAGTATTGATTAAGTATACTGTAAATGTACAAATTATAAATGACATAACACTGTGTATAAATTATATATATATATATACAGTATATATAATATATAATTAAGTGTTTTTATAATTAAATTTTTATCAAATAATATTAATTACAAATTAAATATTTTTTTATATGGTTAATATAAGAAATAAATTATGTGTTTTTATTTTTTTTTAAAAAACTAATTCATAATAATTATTGTATATTTAAAAAAAGACATAACATATAAAAGACAAATTAGTTTTTTGAATGTTTTTACAAACGCCTACTGAATATTAAAATTATTATTTATATAGTATTTAGTGTTTAAAAAATCGTAATTTATATTATATAACGACAAAAAATTATATACAATTACATAATACTGTATAAATACTGCTAATATTAAAAAAGCATTACATTTATAATTATTAAATAAAAAAAACTATGAGTTTATTGACTACCAAAATATCATATCCTTTAGGGAATTAGAAAAATATTAATTTTCTCAATAAAAACTATAGGATTTATTTAATAATGAAAATATAAATTAATATGAATTTATATTATTTTTGCTTAACATGACATTTGCAATTATACTAAAAAAATTTTTTAATTACAAGTTAGTAATAATTTTTAATTAAATTTGATTAAAAAAATGAAATATTAAGTATATGTATTTATATATACATGTATATATAAATGTATAAATCGATATTAAAAAATTTTTAATTAATTTTTAAAAAAATCTTTAATTTTTTAAAAAATAATTTTAATTATCATTAATTATCAATTAATATAGTTAATAATAATAATCAACAACAACAACAACACGATAATAACGATAAAGTTACTAACAATAATAATAAAGATAATAAGCCGGCAAACAATGTTAGGACTGGTAGTCGATCAGCAGCTTATGTAGGCGGAGGCCAACGGGAGTACTATATTCCCACTTATAATAATCCTCAACCATATGAAAGATTAGTAGAAGAGGCAGAAGAACCAGAAGTTTTATATAATACTAACAATTTTGGGAATTCATATCAATATAATACCGCCGCCACCGCTGCCGACTATAATGTAGCCGACAATAGACAACAACAACAACGGCAACCGCAATGGCATTTGACGCCAACGTTAGGCCACTATAGTAGACAACAACAACAACAACTGACAACAACCCGTCAAACATCAAATAATAACCGACTGAATAATAATAATAATTACGATAATAGTAATGATAATAGTTTTAATAATTATAATAATCCCGACATAACTACTAGTAGTAATAGTCAACCAATTATTATTAAAAGTCAACCAAAACTAAGTCACAAGTCTTCTTCTTCTTCTTCATCATCGGCGTCGTCGTTAGCTAATGACTACAAACACCGACGGCCATCACAATACCCGATCGGACCAAATGATGAGATACAGACACCATCACCACCAGCTGCTGCTGCTGTTGGTGTTGATGCTAATGATGGCACAGTCGACGATAATAGTCGACAACGATTACGATCCATAACTAATAAATTGATTCAATTCAATGACGAACAGCAACAGATAGCCAACAGACACGGCGCCGGTGGACAACATCACCATCGAAACACTGGTGGTGGTGACATCCAAACCGCTGATGATAATAGCCATCACCAGCAACAACAACAACAACCAGAACAGCCGACGACACCAAACTTTTATGTTATGAGGCGTAAGTCTGCCAACAGTGGCGGCGGTGGCGGCGATTCGGCATTGCAGGTGTCGGCAAATCACCGAAACATACCGGTACCGATGGCCAGACAACAGGAGGCCACGTCTATCAATGAATCGGCTAATGGCGGCTCGTTGGGTGATGTCTATTTTGTCGGTAAGTGTGTGTGTATGTGTTTATCTACGTGTGGGTGTGTGTGTGTGTGTTATTTATAAGTTTTTTTGTTTAGTAAATATCATTTAATGATCACTCTATCGATCTCTATAATTAACGATTAACTTTGATTATAAATTTTAGTTACAATTTATTCAAACTAGTTAATTGACTGTTTGTTTGTTTGAATGTTTTTTTATTTCAATTAATCCAGGTATACTAATTAAAAAGGTTAAAAACATTGGCGATAATTTTGTTTACTTAATTTATTATAACTAAATAGGATAAATAGGAAACTAATAATAAGATATTATATATGTATATTATTCTGTAAATTATTTAACAAATCTATTGATTATTTTTTTGTGAAACTTAACTTAAATATTTTATAGCATTTTTCCAGCCTATAGTGAAATGCATTTATGGCACTATACAGTATATCTACCTGCTTATAAATTACATACCAGTGCCAGTACAGTATACTATTGATATAAATAGGTGTTTGTCTATAGTGTGTGTGTATATACTGTACTATATAGATATAAATTTTTAGATATTTATAAAACAATTTATAAATATATATATATATATATATATCTAAAAACAACAATAAAATTTTTATTAACATAATAAAACAACACAATTTTTTTTGGACATTACTGTAAATATTATTATATAAATTGTTTATAAAATTATTTCCAGTAGTATTAGTAGTAAAAAATAAAAAATGTTTTTAAATTGTTTTTACTTAAAATTAGTCACAACAACAAAAATGATAATAATTGAGGAAAAACAACATTTTCATTACAAATTTAATTTGAGATTTTCTTATTTATTTTATTTTATTTTTTTGGTATTTTATTTTCCATTTTATTTTGTGTGTTTGTTTTATATATTAAGTTTTATACTTATCTACTAATGTTAGTATTATATATAGTTAGGTATTATTTCTGCTACTAAAATATTTTCTATTGACGACTAAATGATACATAAAAAAAAATTTGTAAAGAAAACTCAATATAACTATTAAAAACTATTGTATAGTAGTATTCTGTGCAGAATATTCTGTATATCTATTGTGTTGTTATGTGAATGAATGGCATCTCTCTCTCTCTCTCTCTCTCTCTCTCTCTCTTTCTTTCTCGTTGTAGTCAAGAGAGCATACGAGTAGGTCTTCCAGTCAACCAACCAATCCCTTTAAGTTTGAAAATGGTTTTCACATTGATTTTCCGATCAATGAAAATAAAAACCTGAAACACACTGAATACTGAAAGAGAGTGAGTGTTGACTATACTAACAGAGAATATGGCTATGAGTTGTTAACCTTGAAATTCTGTGTGTGTGTATGAGTGCTAATATGTTTGACTGACTAATACAACAGTATAGTATACCTTTCCTCTCCAATATATAACCAATAACCTAACGGGTTATATATGTATATATATCAATATATTCTGTATGTTTCTATATAGCATTGGTCGCCTGTGTCAGCTCTGTCGCCATATTTGGCGTAATCGGCGCCGGTATTTGTGTCTACAAAGTTCAACAAAGTAACAAAGCAGCCGCCGATGTCGACTATCCGGCCTACGGTGTAGTCGGACCGGCCAGCAAAAAAGAGACCAATTCGACCGGTGGTAGCGGTGGCGGCGGCGGTGGTGGTGGTGGCACTGGTGGTGGCGGTAATGTATCGCCCAGTGGCGACCGAAAACTGGCCCAATCGGCCCAAATGTATCACTATCACCATCAGAAACAGCAGATGATTGCATCGGAAAAGTTAGTTTTTTAATATATATATATATATACAGTAGACTATTGGCTAAACAATTATTAATACATACCGTTCCCCTCCCTTATAGAGCTGTTACCACTAATCGACGCAATTCGGCCTCAGATGTCGAATCCGATGAAGAGAACGAAGAAGGAGAGTATACTGTCTACGAGTGTCCCGGATTGGCGCCGACCGGCGAAATGGAGGTCAAGAATCCCCTGTTTCACGACGATATTACACCAGTATCGTCACCGCCGGTGGTCACCGGCGGCGGCGGTAATAACTCAAAGGACAAGTAGTTCTTATAATAAATGACAGACAATTCAACCAAACAAACAAACAAATAAATAAATGTACCGACGATTAAAATCAATGATATTGAATGACAAATATAATAATAATAATAAAACACAAAACTAAAACACACACAAAATTAATCTCTTTTAGCAAAACAAACAAACATTATTATTAACTAATATTAACTAATAATTAATTAACTATAATTAATTATAATTAACAGCTGATTATAATATTAAAAATACCAAATTGAATGTAAAATCTAAAAAAACATTCCCCGATATCTCTCTAGTCATTTGAGACCAAATAATTAATATAAGTAATTAACTGACAATTATTTTTTGTGATTTTATAATTTTTTTAAAGTTATTATAATTAATTTTTATTAATTTTTTTTATTAATTATTTTTTATTAATTAATTTAATTATTAATTATGTGATTAGGCTTTAAATTTTGTTGTTGATTTAAATAGTTAATTAATTAAAATGTTATGAATATTTATTTTAAATAATTATTAATTTAGATTAATTATAATCAAATGAAAACTGCATTTATTAATTAAATAGCAAAAATTATTAATTATTAAATTATTAATTTAATTAAGTTTAATAATATTAAATTAGGCACACAATGCTTAATGTGTGCGAAAAAATAATTTAATTTTTTAATTAATTAATTAACTCAAAAAAATTATTTGTTTAATTAATTAATTAAATTAATTAAATTATAAATTTTTTATTAAAAAATACAAATTTCTAGTTAATTTTATATTGCTTATTTTATACGAAATTTTAGTTAATTTAGTTTAAATTTATTTTTGATAGCCAAGAAAAATGATAAAGTTTTCTAAGTGAGAAAAATTGTTATTAAAAATATTAATACTAATGATAAATAGTAATCCTTAAAAATTTTAAGCAAAAAAAAGTTAAAAATATTTTAATTATAAATTATGTTTAAATTTATGTTTTTGTTAAATAATTATAATAAAAGTAAATTATATACAGTATATATAAATTACTGGTAAATACAATATAATTTATGTTATTATTTATAATTTATATATATATATTAGTTATATATTTATGATATGCATTTAAATTACAGTATTATTTTTAAATTAAAATTACTTAAAAAATGTTATTTATTTTTTTAATTTTTTTTTGTTTATAGAAAATAATAATTTAAATATCAATATATATATACACCCAGATATAAATTATCATTTTAAATAAATTGTTACTGATAAAAAAAAACAACAAACAGTACATTAGATTAATGTCAATCAAAATTAATAGATACAATTACTAACTACTAAACTACAACCTGATAATTAAAAATTAATAATAAAATTTTATATATTAATATATATATATATATACAGGTATATAGCATTTTGTGCAAAATTAAAAATCAAAAAATATAGAAAATTTTTATTAAACGGAATAATTAAAATCCAATTTTTGTAATAATAACACACACTTATATTTTTCAGTAATTAATAAACACACAAACATTTTATTGTTTTTTTAACAAATTTAATTTAATTAATTAATTGTACAAAAATTTTGCGAAATGTTTAATATCCTAATAACTAACCAAAAAAAACCTAACCAACCAATCAATCCAAATGAGACACTCATTTATATGATGCATATACTTCATGTGTATATCAATAAAACAAACAAAAAATATTAATATTAATTAATATTACGATATTATAAATACTGTAATACATTATGTTATTAATTATTAATATATATATATAGATAAGTAACACAAAAAAACCCCTTAATTTAGATATTTATTTGTTATTATTATATATTAAAAGCGTATAATTATTATTTTATAACAAAATTATAGAAATGCTTAAATTTAATTTAATTTATCTATATATTAATATATTGATATATAAATAATTTATAAATAAATGTTGTTATATATTTTTTGTTGCTTTCCCCAATAATTTATTATTATTATAAATAGTGTATTTATAAATGGTGTGAAATATTGTAAAATTTATTTATTTATTTATTTATTATTATTGTTATAAATTGTGTAAATTTTATTACAAATTGCTGTAAAAAATAAACTTATAATTTTGTTGAATAAACCAAATGTTTAATTGTATTTTTGTTGTAGTATTTTATTTATTATAGAAATAAATTTTTATTATTATTTTAGGTAATATAACAATATTATTTTTTTTGTTTTTAATTAATAAAATGCAATAAATTATATATTGCATCAATATCAATTAATAGTATGCAATTAAATTTTTATCAAATAATAATAATCATAAATTTTAGTTTTTTAATTGACGTTATAATACGTGTGCATTGAATACCAATGTTCTGCTAAAATAACAGTTAAAATATAATATTTATTTAAAAACTTTTTTTTAAAAAACAAAATATGTTTTAGGATTTATATACTTAATATAAATTAATACTGTATTAAAATACATTTTATATCACAAGTCATAAATCAATTTGAAACTATCATACTATTAATAACTATTGAATTTGATATTATTATTAATACTAACAAACAAACAAAATTAATTGTTATTGACAATATAATATCAAATTATTTATTAACATTTAAACATATCAAAAATAACTAATATACATTATAAATATATAATTTTATTATTATCGCTAATATAATATATACTGGGTATATTCAATATAATGTAAATTCAAATAATATAATTTATTTTCACATAACTTAACATATGATGATATACTGTAAATTACCTAGGTCATATATGTTTTTAAAAATATTATTATATTTTAGTCAATATCCATATCACTTATAATAAATTTATAAATTGCAATAAATGATAATTATATATAATAATAATATTACTAAATAATAATAATAATAATGATAAAACACTTTAACTAAAACATCCTGTTGTTGATTATTACACAAAATAGTTAAACATATCATAAGTAGTCTTATCTACAAAAAAATATGAAATATATATTAATATATAAATAGTTTTATCATGCTCATTTTTGTTATTTTGTCTAAATGCAATAGTATGAATCATCCATCAAGATTATCATCATCACCATCATCATTGACATAGACATCAGGTGTTATATTATATTATTTATTTCAAGGTTTATATAAATACATATATATATGATATAATAGTTAAGTCTATCTAATATTTATTTATTTGTACAAATTTATCACATTTCAAATGAGTCATTGAAATTCTTAATAATTGAATCAAAAAATGATAATAAAATAAAATAATTATTTAAGTAAGCATTTAATTTTGAAACCAGAAAAAAACTTATTTATTTATTATGTAATTTATAAATATGAAAGTTAAACAACAATGTTGATAATCTAATTTATAATTATCCAGTAATGTTTAATTAATTAAATGTTTAATTTGTATTACTGTGAATTGTATCGAATTAGTACAAGTAGTTTTTTTAATTAATTTTATTTTTTACAAAATTTTTTTAATTAATATAGAGCTTTATAAAAATATGATTTTTTCTAAGTTATGTCAAATATTATGCTTACACATAACTTATGTAAATAGTGAGCTAGCTTATTTTTTAAATATTTGAGTAAACATAATAATTGTTAACTAAATTATAATGTTTATATACATTATCAATAACTAATTATAAATATATCTATTTATAATAATATATAATTTATTCGGCAATACCCGATTTATTTGAATATTTAATTACAGGTAGTACTAATTTTATTTATTTAAAAAAATAGACTAACCAAATTATCATGGATTCAAATATCCTTGAAAATAATATTATCATCACCTTTAAAAATCAATCAAAATTATCAGGGCAATAAAAATAATAATAATTAGCCCAGAGTCATTTTTATACCATATAATTAATAAAAATAGTTATTAACTAATATATATATATATATACCGGTAATATATATATATAAGAAAATTAAGATATATATAATATTAAAAATTATGTATTTTAATCAAATTATTTTTATTTTAATAATCAATAGTTAAAAGATAATTACAATAGAAAAATAATATTTATTATTATTATTATATAGTAATAACTTAATTACGTTAATGCATAATGAAATGAATTAAAAATTGTGTTTTTATTAATGAAATTATTGTATTAATTAATTAATTAATCAAAAAAACAGACACACATATATATGATAGACAGCAACAACAATGTGGATCAATTGAGTCCAAGAAAGTCGTCCATCAGTGTTCCGATGGCAAAGATATCGGTTGCGTCGATACGGGTGCCGACAATCTTAAGACGAATCTCGTCGTCCTGTTGTATCACAACATCTTCATCCTGTGTCTTATAGCACGGAGGCGTTGAATTGGCATCGAAGGTCATATCGGCCGGAATCGAGTGTCGGCTAATGAAACACGAAAGCGGACCGATTTCGGTAAATATCCCCACTTTGTTAACCTGTGTGACCACACCGTCGAGGACTTCGCCTTTGAACGGCCTGAAGACAATAGCTTTGTATTTGATCGGATAGGTAACAAATCCGGTACCCGATTGTATTAGGCCGGCACCGATGTTGTCGATAGTGGTCACGGCAATGACAAAACCGTGTTTTCCCGTACAGGTGCCCTCAACTTCGTTGAACAGTTTCTGGCGGACAGTGTCCAGTAGTTGCGAACCGAAATATCGCGGATGTAATTGGATTTCATGTTCGAGACTCATATGAAAAAACATTTTTTTTATCGATGTTGTCGGTGATGATCACCAGTAGCTGATCCACACACTAATACACACGTGATATATGATATCAACTGTTTATTTGTTTGTTTGTTTTGTTTGTAATATTAATCGATTGGTTATTATGTTTATGATTAGTATCACTGGTTTTAATGCAGTGTTTATTACTGTAATGTTGTTTATTGCGCGCGCATAGAGTGTCCAACTGTCTCTCTCAATGGAGTTAATCGGTATTTTTTGCAAACAATATGTTATTTTATGTTATTATAGAATTTAAGATTTTCAAAAAATATAATTTAACTAATTTTGTTATTTTGTCAATAATTGTCATGAAAAAAAATTGTTATTTTTAATGTATATATATATTGTTTTTATTATTTAAGTCTACTATTTATATATGCATGCATAATGCTGTTATATAGCAAACTTTAGATCAGTGATCAAAATTAAACTTTATAAAACTAAATTGTACAAATAACCTAGTACATATTAAATGAGTAAGTGTTTGTTTAACTTACTCATTGTTTGTTATAAATTATGAAAATTACTATTAAATATCTGTTAAATTATATGTTATGTTATATATGTATCACAAAGTTATCATGATAACACTTAATTGTGATCACTGCTTTAGATTGTCCTGAATTATTTAATAAATAAATCTGGTCACACTATACAATTTTTTGAAACATACATACAATACATTACATTACTAGAGAGGTACCCCCACCCCCACCCCCCATTTCAATACAAAAATTAGTATTAATAATAATAAAATTTAAATTATTAAAAAAAACAAATAACAATATATAGATATATAAATGTAGATAGATTATTTTTATTTATTAGAATATTTTTAAAAATAAATTAAGCATGCTGGAAATATTTTTTGACTTTTTTAACTTAACACTATTATTATTATTATAATAAATTATATCGAATATATATAAAAAAAATGTAACGACATATTTGAACGATTTGTTTGCAAAATTTCTATGCAATAATACATTAAAATAAAATATAAAAAATACAGTATACACTGCATATATAGTGTGACGTCAAGTACAGTATGTATTAAATATACAGTATATCTCTAGTATTAATATGTAAGGCTCTGGTTATACTGTATGTACAGTATATACGATTAAATCAAACCAAACATATAATTGCAGTAAAAATATATATCTATTTTATTTTTTTGGGTAATCTATTACTACATTAATATTATTACTGTTTAAATGCAATTGTGTTTACTATACGCTGCTTATAGTCTATCGAGTACTGTATTGACACTGTATTTACTGATTATATATTAATTTATATATTAATTATTATTATTATTTCCACACTATATATATACAGTATATATACTATGAGATAATGTATTTAATTAATTATTAGTTTAGTTTTTAAAAACAAATTATTATATATTTTGTATTATTTTTGTATTATTTAGTTGTATTAATAATTAAATAAATAATTTTCATGTATTGATTGATTAATAATAATAATATCAACGAAAAAAACTAATAATTAATTTACTATACAATGTCTACACAATTATTATATATTGAAATGCAATTCAATAATTGAATCGTTGTTTTGATTAATAATCACTTAATATAATTGAAAACCCATTTGTATTGTTATTATACAGTATTTTCATTGAATAATAATAATAATAATATGATAACAATAATAGTTAATAATAATTAATAATAATTAAATCAATCAATTGATCCAATCATTGATTGATTGATTGTTGTGTTGTTGACCACAAACAACAACAACAACAACAAGTGTGACGACAACAGCCATCACAACAACCCGTCTCTTCACGCGTGTTGTCTCTTAGTGTGTGTATTGTCCACAACATCGGTGAAGATCACATCCAACTGTCTGTGTGTGTGATCATCACCTAAATTGGATCCCGTCGTCAAAATGATGGCATCCATTGAAAAACAATTGCAAAGCCTAAGACAGCGGCTAAATATGGAGAACGAGACGGCCAGCAGCGGCGGCGGCGGTGGTGGTAGTAGTAGTAGCGGTGGCGGCGGCAGTGGTGGTCAAAACGGGTCCCAAAGCGGCGGACCGAACAGCCAAAAACAGTCGCCATCGTCTGCATCATCGTCACCGCAAGCAGGAACTGGTGGTTCTCCAGGCGGGTTTCGGGCGCCACCAGCCTTGGCCACTGCCAGCCATCATCATCGCCAGTGGACACCACAACCGGTCCAACAGTTTCCGAGAAGACAGTATTCGTTGAGCGCTACTCAACGTCAGAGTAATACTAATTTACAATTGAATTTAAATCAAGACGTTTCGGCAGCCGTCGCCGCCGCCAACCGTAATAATAATAATAATAATATTCGCCAAAATGGATCCCAATCGCAGTCACTTAACGCTCAATGTCTTAGTCCACGGCCTCGTCCGCGAAATTGTCCGCTTTGTTCCTCACTTTTTATTCATTTTTTCTAATAATTGCTGTCAAAAAAAACTAATTTATAACTTTCTTTCTCTTTTGTCTTCTATTGTCAACTTTATAGTACTGATTGGCAGCAACTTTGGCGGTGATGGTAGACCTGCATCGCCGTCGCGTAGTGTCAAACCGCTAAATCTTGGTCAGCCCAGCGGTGGTGACCATCGAAATCAATGTCCGCCAATGCAGGTGATCAACGATTCAAAGTTTAACAATACTAACGACGACCAGAAGCTCAATGAGATGTTCAGGCAAAACAACTTTGTGCTTACCATCGATGGCAAAGTATATATATATATATATATATATATTTATTTGATTGAATTGATTTGTTATTTTAACTGATCTCTCATTTGTCTATTATTTATATAAACAAACACAGAAATATGCCGCACAAGACACTGAACTCGACTATCTTGACGAACTCGGCTCAGGTAGTTGTGGTCATGTCGTCAAAATGAGTCACAGACCGTCTGGCAAAGTGATTGCCGTTAAGGTCAGTAACTTTGTTGTTGTAGTTGTCTTCAAATTACTTGAAATTAAAAATATATATATATTTTGCACCAAAAAACAACAGCAAATGAGAAGAAGTGGTAACAAAGAAGAGAACAAACGAATTACAATGGATTTGGATATACTGCTCGCCTGTCACGACTGTTCCAATATTGTCCAATGTTATGGCTATTTCATCAAAGACACTGAAGTCTGGATCTGTATGGAACTGATGACCACTTGTTTCGATAAGATGTTGAAGAAGTTTAAGTCGCCGATACCCGAACCGATTTTGGGTAAAATATCAGTAGCTGTAAGTGATGCCTAAAAATGCATTTATTTCGTTAAATGTCTGTATTATATATCAATACTTATTTATCGGTAAATTACTGAATCGGTTATATATATAGACTGTAAAAGCGTTAAACTATTTGAAAGATAATCACGGAGTCATCCATAGAGACGTTAAGCCATCAAATATATTGATCAATGAAAAAGGTGTCGTCAAGCTGTGCGACTTCGGTATCAGCGGTCGTCTTGTCGACAGTAAAGCCAAAACCCGATCGGCCGGTTGTGCCGCTTATATGGCCGTATGTGTTCAGATAGGATATGTTTTGTTAATATACCTATTAATGACTTTACAATTGTTTACTTTTATTTTAAATATACAGCCCGAGCGTATTGATCCACCCGACACATCAAACCCATCATATGATATCCGAGCCGATGTAAGGCCACACAAATGTGGTGTTTATGTTAAATGATTTTTTTAACCAATTTGTTTGTTTGATTTGGTGTTAAATATATAGGTCTGGAGTTTAGGCATAACATTAGTAGAGTTAGCGACCGGTAAATTTCCATATCACGAATGTATTACCGATTTTGAAGTACTAACAAAAGTGATCCAAGAGGATCCGCCAACACTTCCAGCCGATAGAGGATTTTCACCAAACTTTTGTAGTTTTGTTAAGTCATGGTATGTAATACTTTTACCGGTAAAACGGATGTATGATATATGACTGTATGTGTGTGTGTGTGTGTGTGTGTTTGACTATGATTTTGATTGATTCCCTATATATTTTATAAGATATTTATATAAAAAAAAATTATAATTTTTTTGTATTTAGTCTAACAAAGGACTATAAAAAGAGACCCAAATATAAGAAACTATTGGTAAGTAAATGAAAATCAAATTATATCTCGGAAACCAACTCTCGGCGAATCTAATTGAGTGAACATTATATTTTTGATTTGATTGATAGGAACATCCATTTATCAAGTATTACGAAAAAGTTGAGGTCGATGTCGAGCAATGGTTTACTAATTTGATTCGCATTGAAAAACTAATTGAATCGGAATTGAGTCCAATGATTGACAATTGATTGACTGACTGACAGATACAGACAGACACACACACACACACACACACACACACACGCAAAGCATTATGTAATTAATAATTAATTAAATAAATTAATGATTTGGTTTTATAAATTTAAAAAAAATGTTTGTTTGAATTGATAGATAAAATCCATATATTATTGAAATTAATTACCGTAATTATTATTATTATAAAAATATTTTTTTTAAATATAAATGTTTTCATCGCTCAATTTTTATGTGTTTAATATCGATATTATGATATATATATTTTTACCGGTAATTTTAAAATTTGTTTTATTTTATCTCTATAATAATAATAATAACAACAAAATTATTATTTTTTAATTTTCTATTCTATGATATATATTTAAATTTTCCAAAAAAATTATTTATACTATTTTATCCATTTTTWAAAAAATAATTAATTTCTAGTTTTTAAATAATATTTTACCGTAACACCTAATAATACGCGGTACTATTAATAACTTAATTTAATCTTTATTTTTAAATTAATAATTTTAATCTTCAATTTTTTTTTAATTTATGAAATTGTATAGAATTTATGTGCAATTTTTTGTGTGGGTTTTGAAGTAATTTTTAAAACTTTATTTTAAACAAATTCACATCTAATATGATATTTACAATAGTTTTAGATATAAAATAGGTTTAAAAGCAAATTTCAATGGTGTGAATATCAATTTTATATTGTTTTTAATATATATTTATATATAAACTAAAGTAGTTGTAGTAATAATTTTATTTTAAAAACAAAAATTTTGATCAAATATTTTATTTACTTTAAGATTCAGATATATTTTTCAAAATCTTTTTTATTATTTATATTTTTTTGTAGACAACTCTATATTGTTGTTTAGTTAGTTGTTTTGACTATTTAATTATTACATTAGTTTATTTCAAGTGTTTTAGATACACACTCACGCTTTGCATCATTTAATTTAATTATAAGTATATTTTATAAGTAAATTTCATGGATTTTCCCATTAATTATCGTTTAATAGTCATTTTTGATGTTATCTTTCAAAAAAAAACTTTTTAATGACTTTCAATATATATATATATTTAATCTTTAATTTTTTAAAAACATTATCACAGTTTTCATATTATTAGTTATTTTTTGTTTAAATTAAATTTTAAAAAAATTAAATTACTCTAAATTTATTAATTATATTTAAGTGAGATATAAAATATTATCAAATGATAGGTTTAATACAAACAATGATAAATAATAATAATAATAATTGCTTTCAATTAAAATGTGATTTGTTTTTTATTAATAATTTAATTTTTAAACTAGCAAACAAATATAATTTATTTATAATTATGACATAAAATTTGATATTTAAGTTTAATTGAATTATATTTATTATTTTATATTTAAATGTCATCATGGTAAAAAATTTAAGTGATCTATAATACTTTTTTTTAAATATATAAAAAATTGTTTTTATTATTTATAATAGATTTGATTTTTTTGTCTGTATTTATTGAGAGACACTTTAAAACAAACAATTGTTTTTGTTTTGTGTATTACTGTAAAAAACATAAAACAATTGAATGGCCACTCAAAGCACATATAGATTATGCCGTCCTTTAAAAATTAAATAATAAATAAAATATATGTAATATTTAAAAAAAATAAATAAATATGATATAATAATAATAATAATTCAATGTTTGTGCTAGGCACTTTTATTAAAAACACATACATACACACACACAATGATGTAAATATTGTATTAAAATAATTAATTAATTAATTATTTTATTATTATTATTGTAATTTGTTTTTATAATAATAATTATTATTTTTGATTATAAATTTATTTTTACATCAATAGATATGTTTTACACACACTTATACATACATAAAATTAAATGTAAGATAAATCATTTGAATGTATATATAAATCTATAATTTTCAAAATAATAGAATATTCTGTAAAATAAATTTATTTTCATTAACTAAAGTTTATGATTATTATTCCACAATTATATATATATATATATATATATATAGATTTATATATTATATAATATGTATAGTAAAATATACATAAATTGAAGTGTGATATTAGTAATTAAAAAAATAATATTATTATTATAATAAAATAAAAAATAAATGCAATCATTGTCTAACTTGCCTTAACTTTGATTGTGTAAGTAATATAAAGAGACAGAGCATAAAGTTTTTTATTTAATTTTATTTTTCATACAATAATTGTTTAGATAAATTGTTTTCAATGTTAGAGAGTGTATGTATGTATGTATGTGTGGTATAACTTGATTTACACGTCAATGATTTACAAGTCCGGAATCGGTGTGTATGTATCTATGTGTGTGTGTGTGTGTGAGTCTATGATGCAATTATTATTTCAATTACTTGGGAGAGCCTCTGAATGGATGATAATATAATCACTTATATGTATATAACAACAACAACAACAAAAAAAACAATAATAATTTGTTGTACTATTTAATAGCGTTATATACTAAACATATTAAGCTATCTCTCTCTCTCTCTTTCTTTCTTTCTCTCTCTCTCTCTCTCTCTCTCTCTCTCTCTCCATTCACTTACTCACTCACTCACTCACACATTCATTGATTGACTCATTGAATCAATCACTTCATTCACTCCCTTCAATAATATCCGCCAATTCTTCTACTTATATATTATTATTATTATTATTATTTGTGATTTCAACGGCCAATTCTCTCTCCATTTTTGTCTTTACTTTTTTATATTTATTTAATGTCTCACTGAATGGTAGTTATAGTGACCGCGCATTACATCTGTGTGGCGGAGAGGACACACACACACATACATACATACATACACACACATACATACACACACACACWYACACACACACACACACACACACACACACATACACACACACACACACACACACTTACACACACACACACACACACACACACACATACATACATACACACACACACACACACTTACACACACACACACATACACACTATCGCAGTCTCACACCAACTAATCAATAGATTTGATTGTCAGCACTGCCAGAGAGTGAGTAAGTAAGTAAAGAGAGAGAGAGAGAGAGAGAGAGAGAGAGAGAGAGAGAGAGAGAGAGAGAGAGAGAGAGAGAGAGAGAGAGAGAGAGAGAGTACTGGGTTTTTTGGTCACAAAATGCTGAATAAAAAGCTGCTAAGAGATGGGAAAAAGGTCTGCCATCAAGAGTACAGACTCGAAGTATACGTTACGCCACAACATATATATACTGTACTCATAGATACACACATATATAGATAGATAGATACCGTATATATATACTCACTCACACACACACATAGAGAATATGCTATATATACACAGAATATTCTTATATACGTATAGTAAATATATATATATTTAATGATATATATATTGTATATATATGTATATTTCTGGTATATATATATATATATTTATAAATATATATATGTGTATATGATATCTGTTGGCGATTGACTGTAGGAAAGCGCGATTCAAATATGAGTCGCCTTTAGATCTCATTTTTTTAAAGGACTTATATATATATATAATATTAATATATATATTATATATATATTAAACAACACATATATATATATAAACGATTATTAATATTATTATAAGTTTAATAATAAAAACGTTAATATTAAAAATTAAAAAAAAATCCAAATATATTTTGTAGTTATAATATTAATAATTATTATATATTGATAGATGTTTTTGTGTACTACTAATACTACTAATAATAATAATAATCATTGTTTTTTTGCTACCAAATTGTTGTTGTTGTTGTTGTTGTTAATGTTGTTGATGTTTTTGTTATATTTATAATGATTATTAATACTACTAATTAATAATAATAATAATAATAATAATGATTATAATGAATTTAAAAAAAATTAATTTATATTATCACTGATTGATTTTTATACATACACAGAAAAATTTGATTTAGTTATGGCATAATTGATTAGAAAAATTGTGGAAAATATTTTTTTTATCCAATTTTTTTTATTAAAAAATAAAATAATTTTTTTCAATAAATTATTATTTGTCTATAAGAAAATAGAAACAATTTTCATAATTTTTTTTATATATTAATTGTTTAATTGTTGTCTTCAATTGTTTGAAAAGTGCAGCGATTGTGTGTATATGTTTGCTAAACAGTATATATATATATATATATATATATATATATATTTCGTATCTTACTATCCAAATGGTTGGATCCAATGGTTAATTCATATGATGGCCATCAACAACAACAACAACAAAATATAAGATATCTCTATTAACAACAACAACAACAACAATACCGATGAGTGACCACTAAATATTTGAAAGCCATGTTCAGCAACAACAACAACAACAACAATAGATTCTTAAGCCAACAACAATATACTGATTATTATTATTATTATAATTGTCACCAAAAAAAATAAATTAACTGATAATTAGCTGCTGTTGTGATGAAGTGTTTGCCATCAACTTTGAACAACTCTTTTAAATGTGATTTGTCTTCAGTTATATACATATATATATATATATTTGATGAGTGATATCTATTTTTCTTCTTCTACTTCTTTTACTTCTTCTACTTCTTCTTATTCTTCTTCAGTACCAATAGTGGAGGCCTTTTAGCTTAAAAACAAAACAAAAAAAAAAAATAAATTCAAAAATTATATAATATTAAAAATTATTGCAATTATTTAGTTTATATAAATTATATATATATATATATCTATACATATATATATCACATCACGAAATCGCATCTAATGTTTTGTCTTCCAATTAATTGGCATCACTTACGGACAGCAATTGATTTAATTATAATAATAATATATAATAAAAATACTACTAATAAAATAAATTACAAATGCATCGATAATACTAATACTACTACTAATAGTAATAATAATAAATCACACAATTTATTATTGTGTACAACAATTATTATTATTATTATTATTAATTTAATAATATTATACCACTAAATGACCGATTTGGCCGCCACTATGATGGCACCGACAATGGGTGGCCACCAACAGCAGCAGCAATCGGCGTCGCCGTCGGCCGATATGCCCGATCTGAGCCATCTGACCGAAGAGGAGCGACTGATCATCGAATCAGTTATGATGAGACAGAAGAAAGAAGAGGAAGAAGAAGCCGTTGTCTTGAAGTGAGTTGTTGTTGTCGTCGTCGGACAGCAGATAATAGCAAACAATTATTGCAGTCTTTATCATCACATTATGTTTTTTTGTTTGTTTGTTTGTTAATAGCTTATTGAATAATTTAAATTCAATTATTTTTTTTAGATGATATAAATCAAAAGATATTGAAATACAATTAATAATTGTTACAAAAATAATCATTATTTTTAATATTTTTTAAATTTCATTAATTAATTGTATCCAAACTGATTGATTGATTGATTAGGAAAAAACAGGACGAAGTAATGATATTAGAGAACGCCATTCGTAAGCGAAATGAAGAACAAAAGAAATTGGGTTTAGAAATGGAGGCCACGTGTCAGATATGCCTGAAGACCAAGTTTGCCGACGGTATTGGACACGTTTGTAACTATTGCAACACCCGATGCTGTGCCCGATGTGGTGGCAAAGTCACTCTCAGATCAAACAAAGTATTAGTTATTTATTTATTTTACTAAATAATAGTTTTAATTAATTAATTAATTATAAACCACAGAATATATGGGTTTGCATATTGTGTCGGAAAAAACAAGAGTTGCTTATAAAAACTGGCCAATGGATCCATTCATCGATGGCCAATCGTCTACAACAATTAGAAGCTGAAGCCGAGACACCGCTCATGGAACGAATGGGCAGATTCGGTGTCGGTGGCGGCGGCAAAGAAAACTATATGAACTCTGTCTATCAGTCCGGCATTGGTGGTGGTGGTAGTGGTGGCCGCCGAAGTTCACTGAGCGGACTGCCCCAGAATCCGCTAACACAGCAGCCGAACAAAGAGTTGCGGCGACAGTATTCGCACGAGAATCAGTCGTCAACTGTCCATCACCATCACCACCATCAGCAGCATCACCAGCAGTCGCCAATCGTATGGGACGGTCGATCAGCAGCTGCACAGCCTTTAGTTGAACACATATTGCCATTTAATTCAATAATGCAGTCAAAGATGATGATGAAGACAGGGTCTGCTGCCATCACTAGTCAGCAGCAGCGGCTGATGCCCGAGATTCCTATTATCGGCAGCAGAAAGTTGGACCAATCGACAGATATTTCCATATTCCGCAACAACCATAGTCGCAGTGTCGAACCGCCGATGATGCCATCGTCGGTGGTGACCACTATCGGCGGCGGCGGTGGTGGTACTGGTCGCAAACTGCCGCCTCAAAGACAACGAAGCAACGAATCCAATTGGACGAGTGGCGTATCGGACGTGTCTTTCGGTACACTATCCGATTCAACAGTTCACGCCGAGACTACAACATCATCGATGACCGCCACTACCACTACTACCCATAGTAGTGGCCAACAACACCAACAACTGCCGGCCAGCAAACAGTTGCCCCGTATAACAGCACAACAGCAGGCAATCCTAAGGGAACGGACGACAACTACGGCGACCACCGCCTCGACGACTCATATGGGCTTAGTTAGCAATTTTAATACCGGTGTGCCTTGTATTACAAACTCACAGCAACAACAACTAATAGACGCCATACCTCTCAATAATCAACTATATTCTTCAAATAATGGTTTTTCTAATCAACAACAACTACAACAACAACAACAACAAATGACCACTCATTTAGTAGATCCGACATCTGTCACATCACACCTGTACTCCACCAACACCGGCGGCGGCGGCACTGTCATCGGCGTCGACATTAACCAACAGCGACAGTCATTTCATTACCATCAGTCAGGTAATCATCGGCGAAGAAGTACAACAGATAGTGTCATCCGAAACGATTCGTTAAGTTCGGATCAATCGGAAAGTGTTGTCCGGCCGCCGCCGCCCAAACCGTACAAATTGCGTAACAAATGCGGCAAAAAGTTGCGTCCGTACAGCAGCTTCAGTAGTTCCGACGATGAAATCCGTTCGACACCCGATTGTTCCACTGAAGAAGACTTGGACATCGAAAGCGAAAGTATTAGCGAAAAAGGCGAACTCATTGACCATAATCTTCATAATAAGTGCCAAAAAATCATGAAACCAGAGGAAATACTTGACGCCAAAATTAAAAAATTTCTCGCTGTATGTATGCCCCCTACCTATTTATCAAGCACCTACCTATTTATCTAACCATCCCCTATCTCTTATATATCTATCATTAGCATCCAATAACGTGGAAACCGTCGGCCGACGGTAGTCACCTAATCGGACATATGATACTGAAAAAACATTTAGCCGACGATACAGTGTCCTCGTCCAGTGCCACCATATTGGGACTCAAGGTAGTCGGCGGCCGGATCATCGAAGGTGGCCGACTGGGGGCCATTGTGGAAAAGGTCAAAAAGGGCAGCATCGCCGACACCATTGGCCGTCTGAGACCCGGTATATACCTTTCCCATCCCACCCCCGCACATGTCAATCAAATTTATATTTTTTAAAAACCCAATGATCTCCTCCTTCTCCTCTTAGGCGATGAGGTACTCGAATGGAACGGTAGATCACTACAGGGTAAGACCTACGAAGAGGTCTACGATGTGATCGCCGAATCCAAACAGGAACCACAGGTCGAGCTCATTGTTTCCCGGCTAACCCAAAAGCTTCCGTTGGCCACCAATCCGACATCGATACTGCTGAAGGAGGACATGCTTATACCTCCCAATCGTATCGGTAGACGACATACCGATGTTATGGCTAATATGGGACCACAGTTTAGTTACGGTATGTTTTATTGTTGTTGTTGTTGTCTAATAATTACCGGTATAACTAATATACTGTACTAATAATAATAATGTCTACTATTTATATCAAAGATAAAACATTTATGCGGGGCAGTAGCCTAGGAGCTGAACTAAGCCGATCTAACCGACCATTTTTGAAAGTGACCCGCACTTCAACTATAAGCGGCAGAATTCAGGTTAAAATTTTTTTTATTAGTATTATTATTAGTAATAATTTATTTTGTGTCTAATATCGTATAAAAGCTATAATCATATTATATGATTTATATATATATATTAAACTTTTTTTTAAAAAAATTAAATAAATAGTTGACAACTTGACAAATTGTTCAGGTATACTTACAGTAACATTACATTTAGTAATTTTTTTGTGTTTAATAGTAAAGTACAAGTTTTACAATAATTTTCTACTATATGTACTATAAAAAGTAACCCTGAACAATTTTATCAAAGTTGACTATATATTGATATATTTATTTATTTTGAATAAGTTTACATAAAGTTTATACTATACAAGTATACTGTGTATAAGTTGTGTCGCAATGTGATTATTATTATTATTAATTAAAATTAATTTTAACTATAATAATATTAATAATGATTTAAATAATTAACAAACAAATTAGGTTAAGCTCTGGTATGACATCCAATCTTTACAATTGGTTGTAACCATTATGAGCGCAATCGACTTAAATCCGCGAAAAAACGGTTTTCCACGCAATCCGTATGCGAAAATGTTTTTACTTCCCGACAAAAGGTATGTGTGTTTGTGTCGATATCGGGAAGTGTATCTTAACCTAACTGTCCCTTTCATTTGGGGTTTTTTTTAATAACAGTGAGAAAAGCAAACGGCGCACCAAAACGGCTATAAATACTGTAGAGCCGGTCTGGAACCAGACGTTTGCCTATACGCCGCTCAGGCGATCGGAAATGAAGTCCAAAGCACTGGAGATAACCGTCTGGGACTACGACCGATACGGTGCCACCGAATTCCTGGGCGAAGTACTGATCGAGCTATCGGTGGCGCCGTTAGATGACGAACCCGAATGGTATCTGTTGGCCACACACGAGGAAATTGTTGCTCAATTAGTAATAATTGATTTATAATTATATATAATTATATGATATTTATATAACTTATTATTCATTATCATCACGCAATCACTACCATCATCATCATCATCATCATCATCAGCGACTCCAACAAAAGCCATACCTGACAAGTGCTGACCGCATATCACCCTCCACTTCCTCACGCCTTTCCGATAGTGATATATCCGAATTAGACTTTGATGACGGTTTCAATACTTCTAGAGGTATATATATATATATAGTAAAGATATTTAGTTTAACCATTGATTTATCTCATTTAAAAAAATATCTATAGAGTCGTGGAGGGGACTACTGGCCGATACCAGCCAGAGCTCGATTGGCAGCAGTGGTAGTCCGCCGCTCATCAATACTACTACAGATCCAACCAAATCCCATAGTTCCCGAGTTTACAATTATTTATCGCAAGACATGGATAGACGCGGCGGCGGCAGTGGTGGACGACATGGATTAGCTAATGAAGGAACGACATCATCGCTTCCACCCTATTATATGCTTAACGAACACGAAGTACTCAGATATCGGCCCGACTTTCGCAAAAGCAGTTCCCAACCAACTCGTTCACTATCGCCGCCATCGTTGCGGTCGCGATCGCCGTCAGCATCGCTGGGAACGCCGACCAGCAGTTCAGTTGGTTTCAATAAGAAACGCCATTTACCGCAAGTGCCGGCCATTGGTGGCCGAAGCAACCGAGTTGGCGGCGGTGGTGACAGTTTACAATCGACAAGTTTTGATAGACACCAACAACCACATCAACAACAACAAGCAAACTGGAGACCGCATATACCTCAGCGGCGATCGCTTGACCACCGAAGCGGCAGTGGCGGCGGCGGTACGTCTTCGGGCATGTATTCCGATAGTGAGATAACCACTCGGCCTGTATTCGGCAATCGACAACTGTACGCGCATCCGATCAAAGACCAACCACAACATCATCATCACCGACGGGATAGTGGTCGCCAATCGCGGCGATCGGCAACTTTGGACGATAGCCACTCTGGCGGTGGTGGTGGCGGCGGCGGAGACGATAGTCATCATCATCATCACCAGCGAGAGTATCAATCGGAAACTGAAGGCCATCATCATCACCGACGTGACACTGTTGAACGTCGGGACAGTTATCGGGATAGAAAAGACAGGGATCACAGGGATCAACGCGATCAACACGATCAACGGGATCAACGGGATCAACGGGATCAACGGGATCAGCGGGATCAACGGGATCAACGGGTAGTACGCGACCAACGACGAGTGTCGACCGGCGACCGCGGTAGACATGGTGGCGGTGGTGGTGGCCATCAGGACAGCGGCGATGAATCGGAAAGTAGTCTACAGTCGAAAGCTAGTGTTCAAAGTGCCTTCTCTACACTATCGGATAGACCCAAACCCAGTCGTACACTTAGGTATGTTGTGTCCAACTCTAAGATTTATTTTTTTTTAAATTACGGAATTTTTTTTATGTTTGACCGATCAGTTTGAGAGCTCAAACAAAATATGCTTTCACTTTCCACACAATTATTCAATAAGTTTTATGTTTTACCCAAACGACTCTGCAATGATAGTAATAAATTGTGTTTAATTTTGTGTGTGTGTGTGTGTGTATGTGTGTGTGATTTATTAGAAATTTACTAAAAAAATTTCTAATAAAATTTCCCTACTATTAATCGTATAATATATTAGATATAGTTATATATTAATAAATAAAAAGTTTCATAAAATTAGAGATTTCATAATATAATAAATATAAAATTTATATATTTTTTATTCTTAATAATTATTATATATTTTATTTTTAAAAACTTATTTATTTTGTTATAATAAGTGATTTTTTATTTAAAAAATACTATACTGAATTTTTAGTTAAATATTTACCCATTATTAGCACTGTTAGTAATCTTAGCTAAATAAGTTTAATGATGTGTTTATACAAATTTACTTAATTTTTTGAGTAAATTAGTTTTATTTATTATTATAAAATTATATATATATATATATAAAGTGTGATATATCACATTTGGTTGAAATTTATTTGGTATTATTACACATCACATAAAAATATATTTATACAGTACATACAGTATAACTATAATATAAAACAATATGAAACTTAAAAATAGATTAAATTAAAACTATTTATTTTAAATAGATTTTTAATTAAAAAAAATAATTAAAAAATACTACTTATTAAAAGCAAAAATATGCACCAAAAAAATTATAGCTTATGTTTATCTAAATATCTAAATTGCTTACTGTATATGAAATTTGTTACACACTATTATTATAAACAATACCCAAAAAATTTACATCAATATATCATATAATATCAATATATAATTCATGTAAAGTAAATATACCAATACTTTAGTATTATTATTATTATTATTATTACATATTATTATTGAATACAATTATGCATAATCATAATTGTTTATATTCAATGAATAAATAATTATTATTTTTTTTAAAAAGGTTTCATTATAAGTTAATAATATAATTGTAATAATAATAATAATAATATTTACACAATTGTCTTTAATAACTATATAAATATTTACTTAATGTTAGAGAATAATTTTAAAAATTTCCGTTTAATACTTAATTTATATAATAGTATTACAGTATTATTATTATTATTATTATTATTATAACATTTTTGTTATTATTAACTATATATGTATCGAAACATGGGTATTATATATTAAATTATATATACAATATGGTTGCCAATTGTCAAAATTGTTGTCCCATAAAAAATAAATAATTAAGTTTTATATATATTTTTCTACAATTCTACAAGTTTTCATATAATTGCTAATATTATAGTTTTTTACAAAAGAAAACAATATTTACTTTATATATTAACTATTGATTTATTGATCCAAAAAAATTAAATTGCTTATATAAACAGTAATATCTTTTTAAAAAAAAATTTAAAGTTATCTAATTGTTTATAATATTGTTAATCCTATTGTCTGTCTGTGTTATGGCAACTCTACCTATAATTTCTGATCGTCCTATATATCTGTTAACAACATATATATCAATATATGTATAAAACTAATGATAGTTTTTATATTTTCTCTCAAAAAAGATATTTATAACTTATATTTTCATATACTATTACTATCACTTAAAACACACACAATTTTTATGACAATATTATAATTGTATATACAGTAACTTATAATAAATAAGTTAATGTTATATAAAATCTATGCATGAATTTCAATGCCAAACATTTTTTAAGTGTGTGTTTTTATTATTATTAGTAGTATTTAAATTTTTATTTATAAAAATGTGTTAAAATTATGTTAGTTGTGTGTGTGTATGGAAATATTTTATTATATTTAATTTATTTATCTGTTAAATTTTTTTGTAGTGTTTTCTATAATTAGTTAAACAAAATTCACAGTCTAAATAAAAGTCAATTCAGTAAAACTAAAATTTTTGTTTTATTTGACAGTTAGTTAGTTAGTTAGCTATACTGTCTATAATATAAATATTGTGTTTAATATACAGTACTAGTACTAACAGTATATAATAAGAAACAGTGAAAATGTTGTAACTATTTTTTTAATTACTAAATATTATTTTTTAATAGTTTTTAACATAAATTAGTCTCTTTTTAAAATAAAAGAGAGATATATGTATATCTATACACACAGTATGTGTCGTAACAATCATTTAATAATAAAATTCAATACAGAATATTCTGTGTGTAGAATATTTTTGTAGTTTTTATTATTATTATTATTAGTCGTTAATTGCTATTGTATTTTTGAAATAATTATTATTTACAAAATACTGTGTATATACAGTAATATTAATAATAATAGCAACAAAAATGCTTTAAAAAAATCTGAAATATCAATAAAACTAACTAAACACATCCCTATCCTTATTGTATTTGAATCAATCAAACAAACAGTGAGTTTACATCAAAGATGCAAAGTCATGGACCCGTCCATCCGGCGCATCCGTCGCGTACATCAATAGCAATAAGTCGGTTAAATGAGTTGGACTTGAAAGACGAGTCCAGTTTATCTGATACTGGTATTGGCGGCGGTTCTGACGGTCAACTAGATTTGTCGACAACAACGATGCCGACAACGGGAGCGGCCAATCAGCCGCACCAGACCGGCAAATCGTCGTCGACGTTGACCAAGAAGAGCAACAGCACATCCCAGCTCAGCGTTTCCGGTCAGTTATGTCTAATCTAATTGTCAAAACTTAGACTAGTTGTCCGCACTTGTCTCTCTCTCTCTTGAGAGTTGTCTCTCTCTCTCTCTCTTTCTTTCTTTCTTTTTCATTGTTTCTCTCAGTTTATAATAATAATTAATTAATTAATTAATATAATTTATTGCAATTTTTATAAAGTATTTTTTAATATTAATATTATTAATTTTTTAATTATTTAAAAAACTCTATTTATGTTTCAATCAATAGTCCTATCATTATATGTATATAAAACTTTATATATATATATATCAATATCATTAGACTCTAGTATTATTATTAGTGTGTCGTTATTATTATTATTATTATTACATATACTATAGCTGTTAATTATTGTGTGTTGAAATATCCAACAAAACACGAAAAAAAGTGTTCAAAAAATATTATTTGCCGCAAAAAAATCAATATTATTATTATTATGATTATTGTTATGTATATTAAAGGCACAAAAAAGAGGTTAGGTTTCCGTCGAAAGCAGGCGACGTCTTTTAGTGTCCACCGAAGCGAAGAAGTAGTTCCCGACGAAGTCCGCTATTTAGTCAAACAGTGCAGTTCGGCGTCCAGTGATGGAGAGGGAAGTCTGAGTGGGGATAGCTCTCAGACGTAAGTGTCGTAACCAACAAAAATAAAATAAAAGCCTAAACCCTAAGCCCTAGGGTTTGTGTGTTGGCATACAATTCCCGGATGCCATACAAAAACCTCATAAAAATATCATTCACTCACAGACAGACAGACACCTAAACATATGCCAAATAAATATTGATATAAATAATACATTTTTCTATAAAAAAAACAAAAGTTTACTGTAATTACCGGGTATTTTAATTTTGTTTTTTTTGTTGTTGGGTTAATTGTGTATACAATTAGTTTATATGAAATTTATTGCTTACTATTACAGTATATATACGGGTATATATATTATATTACACTATTCATCATCATCGGGTAATTGAATTGGTATAATACCCGAAATATGTATCAATTGAGAAAAAAACGATTGACCAGAAAAAACCGCACGTTTAATATATATATATATATTAGATATTATTTGAAATTTTATCAAATCATATATATATATATATATACAGTATATACGGTATATATATTGATCTATTAGTATATATATGTCTGTTGTTGTTGGTGTGTATGTGTGTGTACTCGACTAAGAGCTTATGTATCATAAGTTATATTTTATTAGATTATATATATATAGTGTATATAATACCACACGATTTGTGATAGATTAGCAAAAGAAATCAATTTGTTTTATATATAAATTATATATATATTGCTTATATATGAAGAATATTATTGTGCATTGATTTTTAGTAGTAATAGTTGTAGTGGTAGTAGTGATCCTCTATTTTGTTGTTGTATACCTATTGTCGTATATCTATCTAATATTTATCTATTAATACATATATATATATATAAATTTATATAGTTTACAATCGATTGCTTTATTTATATATATATCTATCTATATATTTGTAAATATCTATTGAATGAAATGAACAAACAATAATAATATGGCATTTAATTGTTTAGTAGAGGATAAAAGATATTGTTTTATTTTATTTTGTTTTTTGTGTGTGGAAGTAATGTCTTTTTTCTCACTAGAGATTAGTATATAAACTGTATAATATTTTTTTCAAAAAAAAGAAACATAAAATGTTGTATATTTTTTGAAATATCAAATTTGTTGAAAACTATTTTTTTGCTATTTTTCTTTGGCATTATTATTATATTATTATTAATATTATTACTGTATTATTATAACACTATTATTATAATATTTTTGTTGTTGTTATATGATTGAATTTAAAATTATAATTTTGTTGTTGTTGTAGTTATTTTTATTTAATATATTATATATTGTAGTATAACTGTAGTATGTATTGCTTATTAACTTATTATAAACTATATAATGCTATAGAATTTATATATATATATATAATTTTTTGAATTAAACTTTTTTTTGTTAATTTTATTATTATTATTAATATTATTATCAAATGCTTTATTTTTCTGCATGTTTTGTTTGTTTGTTATTTTGCAGATACAAACCGTAGTAAAACTAACCATAAGTCTAGCCGTAATAGCCGTAGCCGTAGTGGTTGTAGTGGTATACACCGTAGCCAAGAAGTATTGCCCAATAATATAACCCAATTAATAATAATGCATTCAAATGTGTCCACTGTTAGACAACTGTCCAACAAGGAGGATGACCATCAGCATAGCATGAACTATGTTATTAGCAATGAGTCCTCCCTGTAAGTGGACTCTCATTTATATATATATATATATATAAATTTATATATCAATATACAGTATAGATATGCTGTATTTTTCATAATAATAATCTATAACATCCTATACCTAACACACAAAAATATCCCCAACCCGGGTACCCGTAGCATACGTTAATACCCGCACTTGACCTATCCCTCCCCCTCCCCCGATACCTATCCCTTTATAAATTACAAATATGTGTATTTGGATAACTGTTTTGGATTTTTATCAAAATTGTTTGCATGTTTTTTGTGTGTGCAATGATTTCTGTATGTATAACTACCCCTTACTATAAATTTATATGTTTTGATAATATATCGTAAATACCTGTATATTATTAAATTATAATAATATTTTTAATTAATTAATGTCAACCTATTTCACACACACACACACACAACTGAATTGGTGTCCACCACACCATCACACATACACACACACACACATACAGATACACCGTCACAAACACATACACATATATACACACCCAACCCATCCAAAAAAGTGATACATAAACTAATTAAAATTATTTTCAACCCACAACCCCTATACAACCTCCCTTTCCCACTCTCATCGTTGTCACCAATAATTAGTTGGGTGCCATCGTTACGGTTGGCACCGGAAGGCGAGTTTTCCAACTTTGTCGAAGGTCTGGGTCCCGGACAGATAGTGGGCCGGCAGGCACTGGCCTCACCAAATCTTGGCGATATACAGCTGAGTCTATGCGATAGAAAGGGCAACCTTGAGGTAGAGGTGGTCCGGGCCAGGGGTTTGCAAGCAAAACAGAGCTCGAAAACACTTCCAGGTAAAGGGGGGTTCAGTACCCCATATCTAGCATTTTTTTGGGACATTAATGATAACAAAATTGATACCATTTTTTTGTTTTGTTTGTCTTGTCATATATCCAGCGCCTTATGTCAAAGTATATCTCGTTAAAGAAAGAAAATGTATAGCAAAGGCCAAGACGGCTACTGCCAGACGAACATTGGATCCGCTATATCAGCAACAGTTGCTCTTTACCGACGACTATAGAGGATGTACTCTTCAGGTTAGTAGTCCACTCTCTCTTAGTTAGTAAGTCTCGAGAGAGAGAGAGAGAGAGAGAGAGAGAGAGAGAGAGAGAGAGAGAGAGAGAGAGAGAGAGGAATCCATTATATCTTTTTTTAAAAAAATAAATAAATATATGATAATCGGGTAATTAATTAGATTATGGTTTGGGGTGATTACGGCCGAATGGACAAAAAGACATTCATGGGTGTCGTCCAGATTATCATCGACGATCTCGACCTATCCAACATTGTTATCGGTTGGTACAAACTGTTTCATACATCATCGGTAATCAGTTTACCGCAAAGCGGTCGGGCCAGCAATTCATTGATGTCGACGTCGATGGAGAGCTTTAGTTAACGGTTAGATCCCAACAACTAAACTACAACTAACTAACCATAACTACAACAACAAACAAATACCAAAAAAACCACTGTTTTTCCAATTATTATTGATTATTATTATTATTATTAATTACCAATTATTATATATACAGTATATTGATTGTATAATTTATTATATTATATATATATATGAAAAAAGTTTATAAATTTTGTTTATCGAAAAAAACCAAACAAACAAACAAATGACTGTTATATCTATTTGCTAATAAATTATAATTAAAATTAAATACAAAAACAATTTAATAATCAATTGTTTTAATTTAAATAAATTATATACAGATTTATATGATATATATATATAAAATTATGATAAATTACAGTAATAACGATATTAATAATAGTTAAGGTATAATGTATAACATGTGTTAAATTAATTACAGGTAATTAAGGACATAATAACAGGACTTATAAAAAGTAATAATTAATGAATAAATCAATCATTCAATTACACGTAAGTGATTACTATAGTGATTGTGATTTTAATGTATTATTATTATTATTGTTAATATTATTGTTATTAATATTATATCGAGATTTGCGAATCCTATTCAACAATAGTCGACAAAATTTACACCGAATGGAACCAACTTCTGGCAAAAATAGACAACAATGTCGATGACGGATCCGATTCGTTAGATTACAAATGAAAGATCTGATGGCTATTACTTGATCCTCAAGTATTTTGTTGTCGTCGTTGTCATTGCCGTAACAGACACGCCATTTGGCAAACAGTTCCAGAGTTGACTGAAATTCATTGTCACTAGAGATTAGATTTGGCACTAATTTATAGAATTGATTTCTGGCACCAATTGATAGACCAAAAACTTTGACATCAAAACAGCCGCTTTTGTCGACAATAAGTTGTTTGCGGACAACTGTTGCCTCAATATCGCTAAATGTTAGCCGATGTTGACCCGAGACGAGGCCAACACTTAGTCCCAGTAGTGATAGTTTCCGATAAAACTCGCTGTTCATGACATTTGTAAACCAATTCTTCGTGTCATTTATGGAACCAATTGGAACTATTAAACAACAAAAACAAAGATATTATCAACTAATGGCTAATCAAATTGCTATCTCATAACTTGATTACCGGAAAATGTGGAACCGATCACAGGATTAGTCGCCGACGGAATGATAATCAATGGCAACGAATTGTTTAGCACTTCTTGATGGTTACGACCAGTGTTTTCATTGATACTTCGTATACCATTCTGTTGTCTATTATTATTATTATTGTACGACAACAACGAAGAAGAAGAAGACTCGCCACCGCCTCTGCTGCTGACAGTTGTTGTGCTTTGATTGACAACTCTTGATGATTGACTATCATTTGCTATCATCTGAAGACTCTTGTTGTTGTTGTTGTTCAACAATTTGGTCATTAATTGTGATTCACAACTAGTAGTAGTAGTTTGTAGCAAATTTGTCGACAATTTATTGCCGACAAAGTGCTGGTCATTATTAGGAGGTCTCTGGAGTGTTGTATTGGTGTCGATAGATGTACTGCTGTTGATGGCTATCATCTAAAATGAATGAATGAAATATTCGGTCAGAGATATCATCGGTTATGTCCAACACTACTACTACTACTACTATTCAATCATCAAATACCTGTTGCGGTGACAGTGGATCAGCGTTATCAACGGTCGGGCCGTTGCCGCCGACAAAATGTTTTGAACAAATGAATGTCTTGTCGGTAACCAAATCGATGGTCAACTGGTTGGGCCGATCGCAGGCCATTACCCACTTCTGGCATCTTTGCCGATGAGTTACGGGATTCGGGAATCTTATGAAACAGACGCCTGAATAGAGAGAGACAGACATAGAGATGAAAGAAAAGATTTAGTGATTAAGTGGTCAACAAAATGATTTGCGGCAAAAAATAACTAACCTTTCATGTAATCCCTGTCCCAATATCGGGAATCGCTTTCGCAGTCCTTATAGACACAATGTTTGACAACCATTGTATTAAACACATCCGCGTATTACCGATAATATTTAATGATAGGACAGTCACAAACGCTCAAACGCGGGTGGTTGTGGTGGTCAACAATCTGGTGGACAGACAGACACACACACACTATAGTAATCGTACCGTTAGTTTTTGGTTACCGTCGACGACACCGGTGGTCAACAACAACACAAAAACAAACAAACAAACAGTGGATATGAATAATGTTATGTTTTTTTTTGTGTTCAATCAATGGATTTGTTGTGTGTATTGTATTGACGATTGAGATGTCTATCAAGTTTTTGCTGACGTTATTGATTGGTTAGAGAGAGAGAGAGACAGACAGAGACACAGAGAGAGAGAGAGAGAGAGAGAGAGAGAGAGAGAGAGAGAGAGAGAGAGAGAGAGAGAGAGAGAGAGAGAGAGAGAGAGAGAGAGAGAGAGAGGTCGACAGAATCGATGGCCTTTCCCGAAGTCGGCCCACACATGACTGCTGCGATCTGATGGCAGCGGATCGCCGACACACCGATGTTGGCGGCGTCAGCCGTCAGACAATACTATAATTTAAATTAAATGTTTTTTTTGCAATTAATATAATTACAATTTTTTTGTTAATTTGTAAAAATTTTGAATTATTTTATGAATGTTAATAAAAAAATACTAAATTTTTCTTTCCTCTCTCTCTCTCTCTCTCTCTCTCTCTCTCTCTCTCTCTCTCTCTCTCTCTCTCTCTGTTTGTCTATTTTTTTTATTATCTATAATATGTCCGATCCATCGAAAACTAAATTTATTAACTATTATTAGTTTTTTTGTGTTAATTTAAATACGATTTAAAAGATATTTATAGATAATTATAGAAATGCTAGAAAAACTAATATATTTAATTATAATGAGTATTGTATATATATTTTTTAAAAATCATAATTATTTATAGCATATATACTGTATACACAAATAAAAGAATTTTATTAATTAATAAACTAATTTCAATTCAATAAAAAAATTATGACATTAATGAACATAAAAAAATCTGTATTTAATTACAGTATGTTATCTCTATGTATCTGCACTTAAAAATCTGTATATATATATATATCTCTCTCTCTCTTTAGAGAGAGAGAGAGAGAGAGAGAGAGAGACATACATTTTTAATATACTTTTTGTAATCATAATAATTATTAAAGTTATAACAAATTATATAATTGTATAAATTCTATGTCAATTAATTTGTTACAGTTTTTAAAATTAAATATATATATATATATACTGTATATAATGTATGATTAGACTATATAGTTATACTTTTTAAATGCATAATTACTTTTGTTTTGTATCTATCTATCGAAATAATTCAAATACCGATAATTTCTAAAATAAAATATTTTAAATTAAAATTAAAGTTTATTTTTTTAGTAATTTTCTTTACAAAAAAAACAAATACCGTAATTATAATAATTACATAGTATTGATAATAACCGGATCAACCAATTTTTCACTCTAATAATATAACATTAAAAAATAAGTTAACAAAAAAATTATCGGGTATTAGCTTTAAAAATAAATTATTTATATAAACATTAACCGGTAATAGATATTTTAAGAGATACCCTAAAAAGATATATATATATATAAAGAGATCCATACATATACAAGATATTGGATCAGATAATATGATTTTCATCAAATGATTATCATATATGATATGACATCTCTATTTAAAAATGTTTATATTGTTTTATATAGACTTTTAACAGAATATTAACAGAAATTTTTCGATAAAAAAATTTTCGGAGAGAAAGTCTTGGGGAGAGAGAGACGGCTGACCAATGATGACGACGACGACAACAACGGTGATAATAAATGAATCAATCTTTTAGATGACTAATCGTTTTTTAAATAAAAAACTTCTATCCATCTAACTATTCCTCCTCTTCTTCGGTGTCATCGATCAAAAGTTTTATTCTCTTTCTATGTTTCGTTGTTGTTGTCGTCGTCTTCGTTGACTTCTTTGTTTGACTACTACTACTACTGGTCCTAACAATCAATTGATTTTCACTGTTAAGTTGTTTGGCAATCATTTCTATATAATTTTGTTTTTCAATTGAATTCATCCATTGTTTTCTCTATAAAATTAAAGAAAAAAAATAACAATTAGTTTTTTTAAATAATAATAATAATTATAATAATATTACATGAATTCGTTGTAAATAATAATTAAATTCTTGTTTAATGTCTTCATCATCGGTACAGCAATCGATGATAATCGACAAGTGTTTGGATTTCAATGATATATACTTCATATACTTGAGTGTCAGATATTTCAAGTAAAAACATTTGTTTTTTGAATTGTTTTTGTAGATTGATTTCAACGATCGACTGATTAGTTTTGTTAGTCTCTGTTGTTGTTCTTCATTATCACCAGAAATTACTGGTGATATCAATGATACTAAAACCAAATATTTTAAAATCTTTTCGGTTAAAACTAAATTACTATTTCCTCCTTTTCTGGGGATCAATTTCTTGTCGATAGTTTCAGTTAATTTTAACAATAGTTTAATTAGAGTATTATTATTATTACATTTGTCGTTATCATTGATCTGTTTCGACAATAAAGTGGTCAACAAATTGATGAAATCGCTGGCAATTTGTGGTTCTTCATCACTTAAACCGTTGATAAAGTTATTGACAAACACATCGAAGAATATCTTTTGATGAAAATTATTGACTAAACAATTATTACACAATTTAGACAATACTTGAATTTCGTAACTATTAATCGGTTTCTGATTATCAATTGATTCGGTAATAATTCTGTTCAAGTAATCAGTGATCAATTCCGCTGACATTAGTATTGAAAATCTAAGTAATCGCCAGATTCTTGAATAGCGAAACAAATCGTAATCATTGATCAATGAGTGGAATTCGTTGGCCGTAAGAATGGGTAGCAAACGATTGATTAGCGAAGTGGTAATCAGCAGATATGTATCATCAATGTGTTTGCTTAAGATGAACAGTACGGAACAATAGTGATAGCATAGTGTCGACGGTGATAGTCGACAGACAAAACAGAGGACATCGGAGGCCAACTGATTGCACACTGACTTATCGGACAATAGGTTTTCAAACAGCAACTCTTCAACATATGGATAGTGATCCGGACCGAGTGTGGCCACCAATTGGCAGATATTGAAACATAGAAACTCATAAAAGCTGATCCGTCTGTCAGCGGATTAAACAAAATGAATCGTTAGATGTCTTACACATCATTGATGAGACTACTAAACAAAACACTTACATTCGTTGGTCAATTCTGGACAAATCAATTAGTTTCGGTAAACATATTTCCCGATAGCAATTGGGCAGCAATCGGAATAGTGTAGTCAATAGACAATAATCGGATTGTCTATCGGATCGGATCCACCATTCGATAATAGTGTCATCAATTTGGGCCAACTTTTGCATCAATCGTGTCAAACCCAAGATGTATTCGACAGTAAGGTTGGTGTCGTCATCTACAGCGGCGGCGGATTCGGTAACCGTTTTGCGGAACTCATCAAAATTGAGAACAATTTCAGGTAAAGATTCGTTGGTCGACAAACTCAATAGTATCGACTCGTCCTCGAAGTCATCACCGAATAACTTGTCAAAGATATCGCTGTGTCTATCGCGTTGTTGCTGTTGTTGTTGTTGTTGATGGTGATGATTGTCTAAGACATCGGCGGCGACAATGTCATCGATGAGATCATCCTATATATTGTTCAGTGAGTGTTCAGTGAGTAAGTGAATAATAATAATACTAATAATAACAGATGGGATCAATCAAAACCCAAGACATATCCCAATCAATCAATACCTCAAACGAATCGTTAAATGAGTTGTCATTTGTTGCCGACATCTCGCTCTTCAATCTTCAGGATATCTACGGAACTGATTGATTGTCAACAAAACAAAACATGAAATACTTTGTATGTTTTGTTTTGTGGATTTGTTTGGATTGACCGCCAAATCACTGCAGATGTCTGTATGACTACAGATGTCGTTACCAATGATTACTGTATATTATGTGTAAACCGACAATACATATGTATTACAGTTTAGTCATAAAAAGTACCAATTGTTTCCTATATTGTGAAGCACTCAGATTTGGACCTTTTTGATGCTAACTGTGTTGTAACGGAAGTGATGATTACTATAGTGTGTGTTAAACAACACATGACTTCCTTTTCTGTTGTCGTTTCTCTCACAGACAGCACTTCTTCTTCAATCATCGCAAGTAATCCATTCAATTGGGTATCAATTGGCCATAAAACACAATGGCTAAGGTATGGGATCAGATGATAATTGATTGATTTCGTTGTTGTGGATGAATCAAAAATCCTTACAATTTGTTATTAATTATAATTAACAGAAAGGTTTCGTCAAAGTGGTTAAAAACAAGGCTTACTTCAAGCGATTCCAAGTCAAGTTCAAAAGGAGGAGAGGTATGTACTTATTGTAGTTGTAGTTGTAGTGATGTTGTTGAAGAAGTAGTATTAATAAAAAAAACTGTAACCGAAAAACAGAGGGCAAAACCGATTACTATGCCCGCCGGCGACTGGTGGTTCAGGACAAGAATAAGTACAATACGCCAAAGTATCGGCTGATTGTCCGCTTCACCAACAAAGACATCACTACACAGATAGCCTACGCTAAGATCGAGGGCGACGTTATTGTCTGTAGCGCTTACGCTCACGAATTGCCCCGCTATGGTGTCAAAGTCGGTCTGACCAACTATGCCGCTGCCTATTGTACTGGATTACTACTGGCCCGACGTTTGTTGAAAAAGTTTCATTTGGACGACATCTACAAAGGCTCTGAAACTGTAACCGGCGAACAGTATAATGTTGAAGACATTGAAGGCAAACCCAGGGCTTTCCGAGCCTATCTGGATGTTGGTCTGGCCCGTACGACAACTGGTGCCCGTATTTTCGGTGTAATGAAAGGAGCGGCCGATGGCGGCATCGATATACCCCATTCGACCAAACGTTTTCCCGGCTATGACAGCGAAAGCAAAGAGTTTAGCGCCGATGTTCATCGACAACACATTTTGGGTCAACACGTGGCCGACTATATGAAGAGTCTGATGGAAGAGGACGAAGACGCCTATAAGAAACAGTTTTCGCGTTTCTCTAAATTGGGTATTACTCCGGATGAGGTATGTTGTCGTGTCTTGTAATGTCTAAATGGGAAAAAATATCTTATCATTGATTTAAACCAATCAGTTGGAGGGCATCTATACGAAAGCTCACGAAGCCATCCGAGCTGATCCCGAACTTAAACCAACCGTTAAGAAGACCTACGAGACAAAGAAACGCTGGAATGCATCCAAGTTGTCGTTGGCGGTCAAGAAGAATAAGATTGCCCAAAGAAAGAAGGCTGTTATCCAACGATTGGAAGCCGGAGACGCTGAATGAAGATAAATAGACCATCGATGACGATAATGGTTGATATTATTTTGAAATTTATAACTAAAATAAAAATTGGATATTTAAAAAAAACGATTGATTTGATTGCAAACTTATAATTTATTTATTTAAATATATATATATATATCATAATTATTATAATTTAAATTCAAACATCAATTAATTAATTATTAAAACACAGTATAAAACAGTAGATAAAAACAGTTATACAATATATATAATTATCGATAATATATGCTGTGTTTGATCTGATTGTGTGATTATAAAAACATTACTAATTAATCATTAATAATATTGGTGTGTATTTAACAAATACAAAAGGCATTGGCATATATACTGTATGTGTAGGTGTGAGTGTGTGTGTGTATGTAACTGTGTGTATGTGTTTCTAGGAAAGTACTGATAGTATTAATAATAATAAGTTATAAATAATTTAAATATTTATAGTGATTTATATAATATGTTTAGATATATATAATAGTAATTACTTGTGTGTGTGTGTGTGTGTAATTGAAATCATTAAAAAAATAATTAATCATTAAAATTATATATATAAAAAATAGTTGCCAAACATCACAACAATAGCCACCAATCAATCAATCAATCAATCAATCAATCAATCAAATTATTACAGTATTGTATATATCATTAATTGCGTTATCAATAATATCAGTATTTTTTTGTTTTGTTTTTTAAAGTCATAAAACAACAGGTATTAGACATTTGTTTTTTGTTTTTTTTTTCAATAATTAATTAACAATTAATTAACACATTTAAGGCACATATAGGAAGTCAGTCTCGCATACATACGCACACACACACACACAGATCACACCTAACACAGGCCTAAGATTAAAATAAAGCTTATCTACCGCTCCGGTAGCCGCCCGTTCACCGTTACCGACAGTCTAAGTGTTGGATCATATTACTAAAACGGTTTTTATCGGGTAATTGTGTTGTTGTTGTTAATTGTTATGAACGCTTTGGTTTGTTTGAATTGTACCGGTAATTGCAATTCATTCAAATTAGTAGTGAGACATTTTGCGGTAAACAATTACCGGGTAATAGTAATAGTTATAATAATAATAATAATTGTAATAAATAATTGTGTAAAGAGTTTTGTGTTACTGTTGTAGTAGTAGTGATAATCCCATCAAATAATTTCAGTCACATTTTTGAATTGTTTGTTTGTTTGATAAAAAATAAAAGCTCTCAAAATAAATGGCATATAACTGTTGGGTCAGAGCCCACATACAACACACCCACCCATCCACCGACGGGTTAGGTCAGCACCAGTCGGCTCTGAAGTCAAAATCTTTGAATAATTGTTGTTCTTTGGCTGTCAATGTTCGCGGCTCTTTGGGCGGACTCAGTATTGGCTGTTCGGATGTAAATTCTTCGTCAAAATTGGTTACATCTTCCGATGATTTGACTGTCGGCACAAACGGCGGTTTGGTTTTACGTGTTATCAGATCGTCCCAATTGATGTGCTATTTTGGATGTACCGGTAAATAATAATAATAATAATAATAATAATAAAATCGGTTATTCAAAAACTACAATAGATTTTCAAAACAACAAAATAAAAATAATTACTCTAAAGAAGGCCTGTTTCTTGACATCTTCGGCATCCCTTTCGCTTGAACCCAGTCGTCGTTCGGGATTTTTTCGTAATAACTAATAATAATAATTATTATTTAAAAAAAATCGATAAAAAGTTAGTATTTCGTATACACCACTATAACAACAAAAAAAACAATACATACTCTTCTCATGATGGCTATGGACTCCAACGACAGGAAACGTGGATAACGGACCTCATCGTTGACAATACTATCGAAAACTTCTTCCTCGTCATCGCCAGGAAATGGCGACTATTTTTTTTGTTGTTGGTATAGAAAAAAGACAACAAAATAAATACGGTTAAAAACAAACACTTGTTAGACAAACACTTGTTAGACAAACACAACAACAACAACAACAACAAACAAACCTCTCCGACAAGCATTTCAAATATAAGTACACCGAATCCCCACCAGTCGACTGCACGGGTATAAGATGTTTCGGTAAGTACTTCGGGCGCTAAGAATTCAGGTGTACCGCAAAAAGTACCCGTCCGATCGGCGTAACCGATTCCCTCTTTACAGAGACCAAAGTCGGCAATTTTGACATAACCATCGCGATCTAACAGCAGATTATCCAGCTTTAAGTCTCTGTTAATTATTGAATCAGAAAAAAATAGTATAATTATTTGGTATGTCCTCTCTCTCTCTCTCTCTGTCCAAACCTGTAGACAATGTTATTTATATGAAGATATTGAAGACCCAGTACCACACAGGCGGCGTAGAAGGTGGCCCGCGGCTCGTTAAATATGTCGTTATGGATGTGCATCATCAGATCGCCGCCGCACGCGTACTCCATCACAAAGCACACGTGTTGGCCGGTTTGGAAACAGGCAAACAGATTCACTAGAAACGGATGTCGGACGCGTGTAGCCGTTTCGAAGATACGTTTTTCGGCCATCAAACTTTCCACTTCATCTCTGGCAATGATATCACCCTTTTTCAGGGCTTTTATAGCAAAATATTCGCCACTTTTCTTATTCTTACTTAAGATAACCTAAAAATTATAAAAAAAATTACGGAATATATACAGTATATATATATTTCAATCAATTGGTAAACTATTAACTAAAAAATATTTTTCTAAATCATACTTTTCCGAAATGTCCTCTACCGAGTACACTGATAAACTCGAAGTTTTCTAAACCAAAATCGGCAAAACCACCGAAAACTGGTTGTTCCACACCTACTTGTGCCGATTGTTTACTTGAGGCGACCACCGAAACATTAACATTGTTGTAGTTAACATCGTCATCGGGCGGTAAATCGATAATCGGTTCGGGACCGGGCGAATAATTGCTTCGCAAGTTGTTATTGTTATTATATTCAAAACTATCGACACTACCCATCCGTTCGATACGTAATCTGCCGAACGTATCCAATAGTTCGGGCGAAGTCTCTTTGGCAAACATCGGCGGTGGCGGCGGCAGTGGACTCATCGGTGCAATCGAGTTTGCCGTCGAACCGATAGTACTGCAGGATATGTCGTGTAAAAAGTCAAACTCTTCTAGTGCTGATCCAATGTCGCCGCCCGACGGTTCGTCAACTATGAGTTGTTTATTATCGTTAGTAGAAGAAGTAGTCGTTACTACAGGTTGTCGCTGTCTGAACGACGGTTCCGATAGTGTTGGCGTCGATTCGAGTTTAGATTTCGGTAGACTATCAGTTAGGGATAAATCAATAGACTTTTGCGATGGCGTAATACTGGCGTTATTCGGTGAAGTGATGGCTGTGGTGGTGGCTGCGGATGAAGCGATATTCTGTTCGGATGACGACTGAGGTATAGCCCGTTTCATAAGTCGACCCCAAGTGGCGACATTGATGTTCATCTGGTTTGGGCGCAAGAAATTCTTGCCTTTATGTCGGAACAGTTTCTGTCGCTGGAGTTTCGGTTTTCTCGATATCATTGGATTCAAAAACTTAATCTCAGCGAAACATATGCCCTGGGGTTCCAAATGCAAAGCTATTCCGTGTCGGTTATCGTCGATAAACTCTTCCAATCGCAGAAACTTCAGCGCACAAAGTGCTCGCCAGTCGTGCCAATAGATTTGTATCTCGAGTTCGCGACTTCGGTCCAAATCCAAACTGAACCGTTGATCCCAAGCTTTCTGACTGCAAGTCTTCCACGTTGTCTGACCGACGGTCACATTATCCAACTTAAGTATAGCCATAATTTCATTAGTGATTTCGTCTTTAATCGAATACGATCGCGAAGATGTCCGACCGAGACCTTTGGATCGGCCAAATATTCCGCCCAAATCGCCCGACACTGAATTGGTACGCGACCGGCCGGGAACATCTTCGAGTAGACCCTGACAACCGATTAATCGGACTTCTAGTTTACCGGTAACGGCTGCCGGCTTCGACATTGTTGACGGAGTATTACTTTGAACCGAATTTCGGCCGCCGCTACTGTAGGCAATGGTCGGCGAGTAAACTATATTGTTGGCCGACTGACTGTTATCCAATTCGATCTTCAAGGCGGCCGATTTCGGCGACCCGGGCGGCAACTGTTGCCGACACATGTCCAGTGCTTTGCGCAAGACGTCCACTTTATGGCTGGACTCCAGCAGCGATGACTGGGCTTCTTGTAAGGCCTTCTTATCACTTAATTTAGAACTTTGAAGTAATTTAATAACATTTTTGGCGCCGTCGACAACAGCGCACTCGACTTTCAGTCGATG